TGGGCTCTCTCTGGCCAAATGCTCTGGACTGCCTCTAAGGAGAGATTGTCAAATTTGCTGCCCAAATGGGTTAAGGATAGAAAAATAACTGATTTTGTCAGCAAGCAATTATAGTAAGCCCAGAGGGTGCCCCTACCCACACTAGGTGTTCGGTGGGTATGGTACAGTCTCATAGAGAAACCTTTCCATAGTACCCACCAAAAGTAATCTGTTAAAGGGAATTTAAGCAAATCCAGGAAGCTAAGGCAGTTAGACTAGTCTGTACGCCAATCATGAGGACTTCACCTCCTCAAATCCACACACAACTTGATTGTGACTTGAAAATACTTTTCTCAAAAGTGGCATCTGATCATTCTCTTTCTCATAGACTGTTGATCTCAACATCTCCTTGTCCTTCCTCTTTCCGAGATACAGACCATGTTCAGAACAGCGCGTTTAGTTGTTGCTACATAATGTTTACATGGACCAAATCAAGAGCAAACATGGGAAGTTTAGACTAATTTGTTTGGTGCAAATTCCTGGGGAATGTGTTAAGAAAGAGGAAAATCATTATATTTTCCCACCCATGAATGTGTCCAGCATTCCAAGGAGAAAGTCTTTGGGATATGACAAAGAAAGAAAACAGTAACATAAGGAAAGCTTCCTTAAGACATTTCTATTGGTTAAACTTTCATTCATTATAAAGTCACTTGCCTCTCTTTCATGATGCTTCTTCCTCAGAATAGTTCACATCCAGGTCTCAGTTTTTGCCTAAAGCCCAAAGTTATAGGTATCTTTCAAAGAATGGCATGTAAGTAAAAAGAATCATTAACATACCTAGGGAAAATATTTGTAAGGTATGAACATGGGAGCAGTGTGGGTTGCTTCACAAATTGTAAATGGTTCCTTCTGTTCTAATTAACTGCAATTGCCTTTACAGGCTATAGTCCAACAGCTCCCTCTTGGGGTTCTTTCCTTCCCTGGGACTCCTCATACCGTCCACAAGGGTGGGCAGGGTGGGAGTTGAGGGACGTGAGCACAAACAAGCAGGATAGCAACACTCAACTCACTAACTTCCAGCTTCCTCATCTGCAAAGTGAGCATATTATTCAAGGTCTCTGAACTACCTTCTAGCTCTAAAATTTTATCTGAAATATAAAGGCTTATATATGGATAAAATAAAAATCTCACACAATTAGTTGGTCTGAAATTCCCAGTGCTGAAGGTTTTGAAGGGCCAAATTGATATTTGTTGAATAAATGGATCTTCTTTCAATTCCCAGGAAGGGTACAGAGCAAACAAAAACTGAGCTCAGTGATTTTAAGGCTCCTACTTCTTGCCTGTAGACTGGTCCTGAATAAATAACACGGGAAAGCAAATAACCAATAGACTATACCTGCCTCGGGGCCCGCAGATTTGGACATAGTCATTTCTCCAGCCTTACTTTATTGTGTTTTGTTCAGCTTTACTGGTGCATAGAGCATGCCTGGCTGTTCTGAAGAAAATGATGATGAAACGGAAACCTTTTTTCAAACGTGAAGCTCATTCAGTTATCACACATTTCCTACTGGTCCTCAGCGGGGCGGGATCCCTGCCTTCCTCCAGCTCCCCAGTGAACATATGTCCCGGCCGCAGACAGGGAAACGCAGCGACTCTTCCCTCCTGGCTTCAGTTTTCAAGACGAAAATCCTGAGGGTAAATTGCTGACAGCTGTTATTTATTAAACCAGGCCCTCGGTGTGAGTCACCTGGGTTATCAGGGTAAATCTGAATTATTTTTCCAACAGTGACAAGGATCGGGTGATGTGGTCAACTTCAGGAGCAGTTCACCTTAGCCAGGCCTGGTTGTCCATAAGGGACCCTCAACCTGCAGAGAAATACAACCTCACATAGCTTTTTAACCAGTCTATCCTGCTGGGAAACCCAAAAATATGTTCTCCGGGGCCTGCTGTTGCCCTCGGCATAGGCTGGTCTCACTCATTTATCTTTCTTCCACCACAAGGAGGCGCTGGACCGGGAGAGTGAACCTAGATGCTGTTTGAAATTCTCATCCCAGAAGATGTGCCTCCACGACCCACTTACAGAGCTTCTGTCAGTAAATTTGGCAAAGCAGTTATGTTCTCCGATTAAAGATTCACAGTAGACATTAGCTTGTTAATGACCCGAAGAGGTTTCAAAACAAAAAGAGAAGGGGCTGAGTTTGGAGGGAGAGAGGAAGAAACAGAACAAGGGAAAGAGAGAGAAACTTGTATTTATTTCACCCTGCATTTTAAAAATAATAATAATTTAGCTACAAAACCTCTTTTTTTTTTTTTATCCTCACCCGAGGACATTTTTCCATTTTTTGTTCAAATAGAGCGGGAGGGAGAGAGAGGAAGAGAGAGAGAGAAACATCAATGTGAAAGGGACACATCGAGTGGCTGCCACCCTCACGACCAACCAGGGCCGGGGACAAACTGCAACCGAGGTACGTGCCCTTAGCGGGAACTGAACCCGGGTGTCTCTGTACCGCAGGCCGACGCTCCAACCACTGAGCCAAACTGGCCTGGGCTACAAAACCTCTTTTTAATATAAGACATATTAAGGCCTGCTGAATTTGAGTTCTGTAAATGTCCCCACTTGGAAAATACTGGACTAGATGATCACTGAAATTATCCTAAATTTGAAAAGTCTGAGCTCTATTTACATATTTTCTAAAGCACAATACTGATCATACCCCTTTTTTTGCCCCAAATCCACGGTGGCTCCCATCTGCCCATTAAAGTCCAAATTCCTTAGTACAACATTCGACACCTGCCAGAGTTCGGCTCTACTTCTCCCGTCTTCCCTTCCTTCCGTCCACAATCTCTGTTCCTTCCACACTGGGCTCCCGCTCTGTCTCCACGCCTGCTGCTTCTCGGCCCTGGGCTTCTGCTCATGCTGCGGGGCCAGCGGATGCCCTTTGTGGTCTTCCTGCTTGGAAATGCAGCGCCCTTTAACGCAGGGGCTGCGCCCTGTGGCCATCTCTTCTCTAACTTACATTTGGAGCTCTATTTAGAGCTGTTGTGCTAGACAAGGTCCTGGGCTCCTTGGGCAGAGTGTTCGGTACCTTCCCTTGGCTTCTTGGAAGAACGGCTTTATACACGGTTGCTGGTTCCCTAGTTCCTTCTTTGCACATAGCATATGTTTATTGAAAGAATAATCTGATGGATACATGGCTGATGTGACAGGAAACCCTCCCAGGTTAGAAAGAACAGTGGCGTCGGGGCCAGAGCCCAGTTCTGGTTCTGCCATCAGCATGTGGGGCTCAGGCCATTTGCTCCTCTGCCTGGGCCTCAGCGTGCCCAGATTTACAGAAACAGAGAGAGGCGGCAGGGCCCACAGGCCTTCCCGAACTAAATATTCTGAGACTCTCTAGATTTATAACCCACTTTATAAAGAATTTAAGACAATCCCACAGAATGAAAAATAGAGCGAAAGAGAATAATTAATGACAAAAAGAGAACAGACTAGAAGTCTATTTGAACTTTAATAGAGGAAAAACAATTAATCCAAAAGAAAGAATCTCTAACCTTAGGGCCTTAGGGGTCAGTAAGGGACTAAGAGGAAAATATTGTTTTAATTAGAAAATTACTCTGAGTTCTCAAAATTGTCCACATAAATGACTACTACTTTATACGGTACGCTTGATCTTAAATATTTATGTTTATAGTTCATCTTTGTCACCTTTTAAAATAACAAACAAAAAATCAATTCTCTAATGCAGTGGTTATCAAATTGTGATAAAGGAGGTCACTGGGACCTCCTGAGAAATACAGATTCTCAGTGCCCATCCCAAACCTCTTATATCAGAAACTCTGGGGGGCAGGAGGTGGAATCTGTAGGGTTTTTTGTTTGTTTTGTTTTTTTTAATTTATCTTTATTGTTGAAAGTATTACAGATGTCCCCCCGTTTTTCCTGCATTGACACCCTCCTCCCAACTCCCCTGCCCCCCTCCCACCTTCACTGCACTGTTGTCTGTGTCCATTGGTTATGCATATATGCATATAAGTTATGTGGCTTATCTCTTCCCTCCCCCCTCCCCCTTCACCCCGAGATTTGTCAGTTTGTTCCCTGCTTCCATGTCTCTGGATCTATTTTGTTCACCAGTTTATTTTGTTCATTAGATTCCACAAGTAAGTGAGATTACGTGATATTTGTCTTTCTCTGACTGGCTTATTTCACTTAGCATAATACTCTCCAGGTCCCTGCTCTGGCCTGTTTGGCTCAGCAGTTAGAGCGTCGGCCTGTGGTCCAGAGAGACCTGGGTTTGGTTCCTGCTAAGGGCACGTACTTCGGTTGCAGTTTGTCCCCGGCCCTGGTTGGTCGTGCGGTGGCAGCCACTCGATGTGTCCCTTTCACATTGATGTTTCTCTCTCTCTCTCTTCCTCTCTTTCCCTCCCACTCTATCTGAACAAAAAAATAAAATAAAAAATACTCTCCAGGTCCCTTTATGTTTCTCAAAGGGTAAGAGAGCCTTCTTTTCTTACAGCTGCATAGTACTCCATTGTGTATATGTACCATAGCGTTTTTATCCATTCATCTACTGATGGGCACTGGGGCTGTTATCAGATCTTAGCAATTGGAAATAGCACTGTTATGAACATAAGGGTGCAAATATTCTTTCTGACTGGTGTTTCAGGCTTCTTCCTAGAAGCGGGGTCACTGGGTCAAATGGCAGTCCTATTTTTAATTTTTTGAGGAAGCTGCATACTGTTTTCCATTGGAATCTGCTTTTTAATAGGGCGTCTAGGTGATGCTGACACACAACTAAGTTTATGCATAATTATATTTGGAGATAAATATGTTATCACCCGTGTCTGTAAACTTGTTTGTCAAAGATACAGAAACACGTGGTTCTCTTTTCACTCCAGTCCGTGATCGGTACTGCACAACCCACTTCCGCACGGGGTGGTAGCAAACATATGGGTTCTTGCTTTGACTTCTGCCAGTTGCCCTGCTCAGGCCCCATGCATTCATTAGTATGTACCCCATCTCTTACAGCCGACCAAGCAGATCCCTGCAAATTCCTGGCCTGTGGCAAATTTGCCCAGTGTGTAAGGGACGAGTGGACCGAGGAAGCAGAATGTCGCTGCAGACCGGGGTACGAGAGCCAGGGGCCCCTAGACCACCAGGGGACCTGGGCCTCTGCGACCCTGGAAAGGAATGTGAGGTCATCCAGGGAAACAGAGCTCTGTGCAGGTAGGTCGAGCACACCAACTCTGTAGACCCGAGAATTTGTTTGTAATCCTGAGAAACCTGTCATTAGAATGAATTCATGTGCTCCTTTAAAGCTGTGGTTCTCAAACGTCAGTGAGTGTCACAATGTCCTGGAGGAGGACTTGCTAAAACACTCAGGACTGGGTTTTCCCCTTTTTGCGAACACAATAGCTTTCATCATAAGAAAACCGGAAGATATAGAAAATAATGAGAAAAGAGATAAAAGTCACATAGACTCTTCCTACCTTTTGGTGTACATGTGTATACAGAATGTCCATATAGAATGTTCTAAAGCAAAATGGAATCGACCTGGCTTCTTGTTTTATAGTCCACTTTTTTACATAGAACATTCGCTCGTGTCACTAAATATTTTCTGTAACATCATTTTTAATGATTACAGGGTAGTCCGTCCCATGGATGTACTGTGATATGTTTAATCAATCCTTTCTGACAGAATGGTTAAAAGGAGGAGGAGCAGGTGAGATATAATTGGCCTTCTGTTCATGCACCAGACTTCCGGGTGGAGGTGGCCTTGTGAACAAACAGGGAACACAAATGTTCCTAACCCTTCTCCGAGCCCTGTGACACCCAGCTAAGACCCACACCGTGGACTCTGCCCGTAGGACTGCCGCGTGAGCTCGTCTTGCCTTCCCCACTGTGAAGCCGCGCAGCCAACGCCTGCTCGGTGTGAACCACCGCAGACCCGCGTCTCCATTAGCCCAGCCTGGTTTTCCTCCTGCTCTCGGACTCGTGCCAGTGACCACGGTCCCCAGTTTCCCCCGGGGACTGGTGGCAATCTGCTTCTTCACTCGGCTAACAGGAAAACAGTGATTTAGACTTTAGCGTGAGGAAACATCTCCTGTTCCTTTAAAGTATTAACACGTTAAAGACAACTATACAGCAGTGGTTGAAAAGCAATATTCTGGAGTCAAAGTGCAATTAAAATTTTGGTTTAGCAATTTACTAAGCAAGTGACCTTGGAGAAGTTACTTAACTTCTCTAAACCTCAATTTCCTCGTTGGATAATGAGACTAATAAAACCCACCTGCTGGGTTCCCGCAAGGGGTACATGAAATTAGGCTTATAAAGCATCTTCACAAAGAACATAAAGCACAGAGTGTCCCTTCAGGCGAGTGAGGATTATGATGATGCTATCAATTTTCTCAAAGTTAATCCTGATTAAAATCCCAACTGGATTCTTTATGGAACTTGACTTCCTGGTTCTAACGTTCCTCTGGAAATGAAAATGTACAGGAGAACATATTTTTTAATATGTTTTTATTGATTTTTTTTTTTAGAGGGAGAGAGAGAGAGAAACATTGATGTGTGTGAGAGAAACATATTTAGTTTTTGTTTCAATCAGCCCTATTTGCTGTGATTCTAAACATCCCTCTTTCTTAAAAAATACCACTTTAATGCTAGTTGTCATAAGCGAGATCAACAGAACAAGGCATGGGCCCATCTGGAAGTGAACAGCCCGTATGAAGGTTTGCAGGTCTCTGCTCCCCGCCTGTGACTGCCTCTGGGAACAGATAACATGAACTTCTGGTAATCAAAACCCAGGAATAAGAAGCTCCTTACGCCAATTCAATTCAACGAACATTTTTGAGCACCAGTGTGCTAGTCTCCATGTAGACGCTGGGCAGCAGACAAGAAGGAAGGGAGGACGCCAGGGAGAGAAGGCGGGAGGAGGAAGGAAGACCAGAAGGAAGGAGAAAAAGATCCTCGATTTCTTTTCGGAAGAAAAGAAGATCCTCAGCATGAGGACAAAGCCCACGCTCCAGCCGGGCAGAAGGACTCAGCGGAGAAGAAACCTGAGCCCAGCCGTTACCTCACCCCCTGCTCCCAGCAGTTGTCTCCGATCCTCTCACGTGCCAGCATTTATGTGTCTGATCATTTGCTTATGTGGGAATCGGTGACAAATTAAGACCTAATCTACCATAGATTAAGACACTGAATCATGTTAAAGGCTTTAAAATTACACCCAAGATCAAACTCAAGCTCCACCTCTAACTAGGAAACTTGAACAACATTCCCCCTCACTTTAAACCTCAAATTTCTCATCTACATAATGGGTGTAATAGGAACAAGTTCATGAGTTTAGGTAAGCAGTGAATTAGGTGCTCCTCAGTGTGAACTCCCAACTGCTGGCATTGTTGGAGCTGTTTGATAATCACCAGCAGAAGGCAGCCCCGGCCCCGGCCAGTTTGGCTCAGTGGTTAGAGCATCGGCCCTTGGACCAAAGAGGCAAGGGTTTGATTCCTGATCAAGGGCACGTACTTTGGTTGTGGGTTCAACCCCCAGCCCAATCGGGGTCATGTGGGAGGCAAACCAATCAATGTGTCTCTCTCGCATTGTTTTCTCTCTCTTTCCCGCCCTCCCACTCTATATAAATAAAAAATCAATGGAAAAATTATTCTAGGGTGAGGATTAAAAAAAAAAAAAAGGTAGCCCTGTAAGGAGAAACTGAGATTCCCTACTTGGTACTTAAACCTCAAACCTCAACTCAGAAGCAACTCGGCTGAGGACACTCAGCTGTGACTCTGAGAGCAGCATTCTCGAAAGAATTGTCAGCGTGGCCGCATTTCTGTTTTCCTACCTGAGAGTGAAGAAGGAACCAGGAAAACTGGATGGAGGGCAAGCGCATCGCTGAGATGAGCATCTCCCACTGGTTCCGGTCCTTGTCATTCTGCTGCTGAGCCATTGCCTCTTGTTTGCAGTCACCTCATGTTCCCTCCTGTGCTTCATCTCCAGGCAATATTTATGAGAATATGCCATGCATTTATCATCTCCCTCCATTTTACATGTTCTATACATAGACTCAGTTGTTCTGGGAACTTACTTGGCGAAATTCCCCTCAGAATAAACAAAATTTTCATTTTCAAAAGTCTCTTTTGTGACTTGATGAATTTGCTTCTATTAATCACAATTATCATCGTACATGCACAGAAAATGCAAGTCTAGATCTAAGGGAGTAAATTATTCACTTTTCCTCTTCAGATCCCAAGTTTCACTTTGTCCTTTAATAGGCCTGGTGTGTTCTCCGTGACATTATTTATAGTCCTGAGAATCGTTTCCAAGTGTAGGGGCCAGATTAAGTGATGGTACAAAGTGACTCTAAAGAAGGGGCTTTAGTAACATGAAAGCACTTGTCCCAGCTGAGGGAGGTCACAGGTGTGCCCGCTCACTGCACCTGCAACCCGAGGGCAGGGGACGGCCCGCCCCCTCCAGCAGCTGGTCCTCTCTCTGTGAGCCCTTTCACCTCTGGGTTAGAGGGAGAGGCGAGGGTGGACTTGACTACCGTCCAATCTAGTTTTTAAAACTTCATCTGATTAACAGTTCAATCAATCAGTCATTTTGGGCAACTCAGTTTTCCTGAAATATATAGTCAGGCTGGTAGCTCCTCTCCCCTTCCTGTCTCTTCTCCAAGCAGCTGTCTGGGTGCAGTGGGGGGAGGGGCTCTCCTTGTCTCACCAGGTCCTTTGTGAAGTTTCTGTTCCCGGCTTCTCCTCACCTGTGATCTCCTACTTCTGACCCCGGCATCTGCCTGCCCCTGGTAGTCTCAAAGCCTCCAAATCGCCCAACCAGGACAAGCTGACCCAAAATGCTGCCTTAGCTGGTTGTAGGAGAGACAAGGAAGTTGTTACTCAACCTTCTGGAAATATATCTCTCTCCTCTCTCTTCTGCGACCTACCCATCAAGCGCTGGGACCGCGAGAAGAGTTTCCCGCCTTCTGCAGTGGTGCCCACCTGCCCCCATTCCCTGCAGTTAGAATGGGCAGAGTGTTGGGAGAAAAAAAACAGTATACTGACAAGGGGCCACACGTCAGAAAGTACCCCCCAAATATGATACCCATTTTATAATGTGAAGAGGAATATAGCAAGGTGCTAACTGTGTATATACTGCCCTCGGTAATTATGAAATACGTATATGGATAAATCTGGAATGATATACATCAAATTTTAAAATAAATTTCATTTTGGAATTGCGTGAACGAAATGTTATCACAGGGTTGTTTTTCAGTAACCACAACTCAGCACTTGACTTGAAGAATAACTCCACTTCCTGCGAGATGAAGTTTCCCTCCGTCATTCTCGGGGCGCTGTTCAGTCCTGAGACCACGGCCAGAGAGACCGCAGCCGGCAGGGAGGACAGCCAGGGTGCGAGAGCGTGCTCCCTCCAGCTCCCACAAAGCCCCGCACGACTGTACCATTTCACTCGTCAAAATCATGTTCACACTAAAGCGGCAGGAAGTGGTAGTTGCTGTTAATGTCGATAAGCCCAGGAAACAGAATAATATCATGTTTTGCTTTCTGTTGTAGGTCACCAGATCACTCTAAAAAATCAAGGAGGGAGGTCAATAGGGAAAAAAGGTGAGACATCTGTAATGCTTGCAACAATAAAGATTTTTAAAAAAATCAAGCTCAAAACCTAGTGTTAAAAAGTTCCAACATCAGCAAAATAACAAGGTAAACTCATACTTTTAAATGTTGATTTTACTTACTGAATTTTGAAGGAAATTAAAAACACCTCTGAGCCTGAGCCTGACTCTTGTTTTATTATTTTATCCTCACCGAGGACATTTTTTTTTTTTTTTTTTGATATTTTGTTCAGATAGGGAGGGAGAGAGAGAGAGAGAGAGAGAGAGAGAGAGAAACATCGACGTGAAAGGGACACATCGAGTGGCTGCCACCCACACGACCCAATCAGGACCAGGGACAAACTGCAACCAAGGTATGTGCCCTTAGCGGGAACCAAACCTGGGTCTCTCCAGACCGCAGGCCAATGCTCTAACCACTGAGCCAAACTAGCCAGGGCACTTTTGTTTTAAATAGAGATAAGTAGAAGCCCCTGTCCTTTGTCAGGTTTTTAAATTTTATTATTTTTAATGGGAGAAAAGCTATTTCCTGGTGCAAGAAAGGGAGAGACAGAAGATTGGCATTAACTGAAATGTGCAGACAACACTATAAAATAACAGAAACAATTCAAGTATTTTATAATATTTTTGTTTTCTTATAAAAATATGCACATGATTTATCAATGCATTTCAACATGGTTGAAATTTTTATAATGATAAATTATATTCCTGGAATCAAATCAGTTTATGTATTTTTTTTGTTTTAATCCTCACCTGAGGATATTTATGCATTTATCTTCAGATAGAGCAGGAGGGAGAGAAGGAGGAAGAGAGAGAGAGAAACATCAACATGAGAGACACACATCGACTGGTTGCCACCCACACGACCCCAACCAGGGCTGGGGACAAACTGCAACTGAGGTATGAGCCCTTAGCGGGGAACTGAACTTGGGTCTCTCTGGTCTGTGGGCCGACACCCTAACTGCTGAGCCAAACTGGCCGGGGCTGTATATTCTTATAAAACGTCTTCTTTTGATTTTATATAATCAGCTGAAGCAAAAATATGTAGAAAAAATGATTTGTGAATGAGTAACTTCAAAAAATTCCTAAAAGTTCATCCTCAGATAAATGTTCCTTCTAGCGTCCTAGATAACTCTTTTAAATTACTCATCCATTCATCAGTTTACTTTACTAAAAAAACAAAATTTCTTTTACAAAGGGAAATAATGTATCTATAACCCGGTTAAATATAGCCCACATTGAGCTTTTTCAAAATGACTTTTGGGAAAATACTTTGGATAATTCTTACCCTGAAATCACCTAGTCAGGAATTACACCTAGTCTTTGAGGATAAAAATGAGTGATCATCAACCAGTGTCCACTCCACCTGAGACCTACAGTGTCAGACGGAAACACGTCAAAGCTTGCACCTGAACCCAGTTATGACAGTCCACGTACAATCAAGAAGGAAACTGAGGCGATCACACCAAGTGGTGATGGTAATGTCGTGTGTCCAAGTGCACACTGGGGGTGACGGGGGCCATTTGACTTCCTGAAACAAGGAAAGCTGGAAAGCCAGGAAAAGTCCAGACCAGAGCCATAGAATGACAATGGGATACAGGATCTGATAGTAACAAAACAGCCGGGATGAAGCAACCACCAGCTAAATCCTGAAGTGCCAGGGAGAATTAAGAACTGCAATTCAAATGAAGAAGAAACATGAAATAGTGTCTGCTATGGAAGGGAACACGGTGACTTTATTTTATTTTTTAATATTTTTTTTCTTTATTGCTTTTAGACAGAGAGAGAGAGAGAGAGAGAAACATCAACAAGAGAGAACATCAATTGGCCGCCTCCTGCATGCCCCCGACTGGGGATCGGGCCCACAACCTGGGCATGTGCCCTGACTGGGAATCAAACTGGCGATCTCTCGGTGCATGGGTCGATGGTCAACCACTGAGCCACACCTGCCGGGCGGAACGCAGTGACCTTAATTCACAAACTATTTCCTACCCCTGCTTCAAGAGAAGGTTCAACCTGAAAATCTAAATAGGTTTCAGAAAAGAAGAGATGGAATATATTTCTAGTAGGTTAAAAAGTTAGGAATATTTGGGAGGCAACTCTAACCTTTCAAAAAAGATATCCTGAATGGCAAGCATATTCTCTCGTCTATCAGCAGAAGTACTTTTGGGATGAATCATTGATTTGACCTTGGATGGCATTTCTCAAATTCTTAAAATTATTTCTCTTCCAGGTAACCAGGAAAAGAAGTTCTGAATTACTGACTGTAGGATATGAAGAATTCAGCCATCAAGATTGGGAAGGAAACTAAAAACTGAAAATGTCCATGTTATCATCTAATCTGTCTCAGGAGAGATGGTTTGCTTTCTCAAGGAAAATTCGACCCCTGTTGTCAAAATTCTGAAAACGCAGGCAGCATATTCACGGTCCTCGGGGGCCAAGCACGGAGTCAACACTGAGAACCAGCACGCACCGCATTCAAACAGGAATCGTGCGCTTGCCGACTGGGACGTTCTGAAGAAAAAGATGCTTGTTTATCGAAACCAAAAACACAGTCAGTGAAACATTTTGACTATTCCATTCCTGGGTGATGGTGAAGGTAATAGTAAACCAGGTTTGTTCCCAGCTGCCCTTAGAATATTGCTCACAGAAAATTTACAGGTGAAACTTACTGGGTTTTTGGTGTGTGGGAGGGTGAACAATACATCGGGAAGCAAAGCTCTTCATATGTCAGAACGTACATAGAAGTTGACTACTTGTGCAAGGAAACGCAGGCCTCTAAATGCATCGAACTATGTAGATGTACGTCAGTGTATATGCCCCCACACACTTCCATGTTACACACACACACACTCCTTCAGTTCTTACACACACTAGTTTTATAAGAAATTACTGCTTACATAATAGATTGTTTTGTTGCCAATAATTTCTGATTTATTTCTTTAAAAGGAAAAGTAACTAAAGTTCAGCTATACATACCGTAGACAATATTTTCTTGTTACTGCATAAAGCTAATTTAAAGGAACACACTGTACTGGGAGGGGGGTGGGAGGTTGTACTTTGTGACGTAACCAGTTCCTGTTCCCAGCACGGATACACTAAGTCTTCCTGTAACCTGTTCGCTCCCTTACACTAACTCCGGTGTGTGCTCGCGTAGACTGGCATCAAGGCGATCCAGTTCGGCCCATTTTTAATGTGCTGTTTAATGACAATGAATTATTCTGTATCTCTTTCCTATGTTCCACTAGCAGGTATATTTGCTGCAAAACCTTAATTACAATAAAATATAAGCACCATATGTTTGATTTATGATAAAATGGGTTTGTGTTTTATTAGATATTTCCTGGATTTGCTTTATGGATTATAATGAAGGATTTTAAGCATGATTTTAATGCAGCCAAAAGATATCAAAATATTAAACATTGACAGCAACATTTTAGCAGCAAACTTAAAAAGAAAAGCAAATGTTTGTCCCCGGCCCTGGTCGGTTGTGCGGGTGGCAGCCACTCTATGTGTTCCTTTCACGTCGATGTTTCTCTCTCTCTCTCTGTTCCTCTCTCTCCCTCCCACTCTACCTGAACAAAAAATGGGAAAGTGTCCTCGGGTGAGGATTAAAAAAAAAAAAAAAAAAAAAAAGTAAGAAAAGCAAATGTTTCCCAATAATAGAGAAGATATATGCGAAAGTATTATGTGACCCTGGTTACAAATCCTTGAAAACTCACTCATGCTGGTCTCACAAATGCATTCATGTCATCCCTATTCCCACCCCAATCCTCCCCAAAAGTGAGATCTATGCGATCTGACAAGGACTTCAAATTGCGACATGACGACCAAGTGCCGCAAAGCGAAGAACGGTGGTAGGAGGTGGACCTACTCACTTCCGTGCCCTGGGCCCCCCAGAGGACAACATGCTTGTTAGGAGCTGATAGGTCGACCAGAAGCTCTTGAAAAATTTGTACTGAGATGAAAATCTAACACTTTCATCTCCCATAATATGCCCTCCACTCCTTACATTTCAGTTGTGTTCTAACTACAGAGAAGGTGGTTTTTGATGGGGAAAGAGAAATAGGTGAACACTCCATTTTTTGTGGGGAAGGTCCTTTTTTTTTTTTATCCTCACCCGAGGACTTTACCATTTTTTGTTCAGGTAGAGTGGGAGGGAGAGAGAGGAAGAGAGAGAGAGAGAGAGAGAGAGAAACATCAACCTGAAAGGGACACATCGAGTGGCTGCCACCCACATGACCAACCAGGGCTGGGGACAAACGGCGACCAAGGTACGTGCCCTTAGAAAAACCGAACCTCAGTCTCTCCGGACTGCAGGCTGACGCTCTAACCGCTGAGCCAAACCGGCCAGGGTAGAAGGTCCCTTTTGAAGCAACTGCTGCTCACTTTTTGGATCACCTGCTTTTTATTTATTTGTTACAGATGTCCCCCATTTTCTCCCCTTTGTCCCCCTCCACTTGGCCCCACCCTACCCCAAACCTTCACCACACTATTATCTGTGTCCACGAGCTATGCATATGTTATTTAGTTAATCTCTTCCCACCCGCCTCCCCTCTTTCCTCTGAGATCTGTCAGTCTGTTCCATGAATCCATGTCTCTGGACCTATTTTGTTCGTCAGTTTATTTTTTTCATTAGATTTCCATGTAAGTGAGATCATGCTCTATGTGTCTTTCTCTGACTGGCTTATTTCTTTTAGCATAATACTCTACAGGTCCATCCATTCTGTCTTAAAGGGTAAGAGACCCTCATTTTCATAGCTGCATAGTATTCCATTGTGGATCACTCACTTTTTAGAGTGGTCTGTTCAAACCAGCCAGAGAAGAGCTGCTGAGGTCTGACAGCCCCGTCTCTGCACTCTCAGTGGCCCACCTGGATCAACGTAGGTTCCAGACGAGAGGCATGAAGTAGCCTACACAGACCAGCTGTATTCAAAGGACTCTTCTTTGGGTCCCCAGTTTTTACATCCTGTGTCATGTCACAGATTGGTAAGGCCTGGGGAAAGGTAGCCAAGATTTAGTTTTTCTCTCATCTAGGCAACTGGGGAGTTGTGGCTCACAGACCTGCTTGTTCCCTGGATGGAAAACCCACAGGAATTCGGACCAAAGCTCTAGGGCGCTTCAGTTACCTGAGTGCCTCACCCCGTCCCACAGCACCTGCTCAGGGCTTGCCGCTCTCTGGCTGGATGAACTCGAGTCCCAGACTTCTCAAACTTACTCCATCTGAGACATGGGGCACAAGTGCAACACTGGCAAGAATTTTAAAAATTGATTACACCTATAACTGTATGAAAAGCACAAGATGCAAGAGGAAGTTCTACACAGAAAGCATTTATTATTTTTATTTCGAGTACATCAGTATTTTAGTTAGGTTTCAGATACACATTTTTCAGGAAATGAGGTCAAACTAGGTAACAGTTACAATTAGATGAGTTTTTAAACGTGAAAAGAAAATAGTCAATTCCACCTATTCGAGGTTTGAAGGTGAGATTCTGCATAGGTACAAACTAAGATTAAAGATTCTCTGTTTGGTGTGTATTTTTCTAATTATCTCTTGAAAAGGATGACAACTAAAAGTACGACAACTTACTTCACATACTAGTCAGTGATGGGGAAGGAAGAATACATTGATTTGAACTTAATTATAGTCAAAGATCTGGCCCTGGCACAGGTAGGACCTACCTCGGAGAGTGTCTGCACCGGACCCCTCCGTGAGGCGTACCGCCCTTCTCCGGGGTGGCAGGCCATTTGTACAGGCTAAGAATTTACACACCAGTGCTATCTTGACCCAACTTCTAATAACCATGGGTTCTGCTGTTATATACAACTCATCCCAAAATTCAGCAGACTTAGGAGCGCTTTGTCACCAAACCTGCAAGAGTGTTTTTCACCCTGGGGATGGAGCCTTCAGAGGCACGACCCTTTTCTTTCCCCTCCCCCACTGCTCCTCTCTGTCCTTTTTGTTACAGCTGTTCCCCCAACTTGTCCTTACTCTCATTTTTAGATGTCCTCTGCCCTCTTCTCCCTTGTTAGTTCTTAGTCTTCTGTGACGAAAAAAATTCTCAATACACCCTGGCCGGTTTGGCTCAGCAGTTAGAGTGTCAGCCTGCGGTCCAGAGAGACCCGGGTTCGGTTCCCGCTAAGGGCACGTACCTCGGTGGCAGTTTGTCCCCGGCCCTGGTTGGGTCATGTGGGTGTCCCTTTCACATCAATATTTCTCTCTCTCCTTCCCACTCTATCTGAACAAAAAATTCCTCAGGTGAGGATAAAAAAAATCCCCAAACTCTCAATACTCATTGCTGGTAGTGAGAGAAACCCGGTCACACCATGAAGGTGTGGCATGACAGAGGGGCAGCCCTTGCTATGTCCTCGGAGGCTCCTCAAAGTGTTTGCTCGTTTTGACTCTTTTTACTCCTGTTTGGAGCAAAGGCATTTATTTATATCTCTTTCCAGGTCTAGAACTAAATCACTTGATCTCTCTGGATCTCTGTTACCTCTTCTATAAAAGGAGGTAGGTATACCACTAACATTGTATTAATTGACTGATTGATTCACTCCATAAATATTTATTTTACTGATCCAAGTACTTTTAAGTTACTTTGGGTAACAAAACTAAAGATCTACACATTTGGATCCCCTGAGAACCATAGTTAGTAACCTGTGAATAAAATATATTTTAAAATCCAATTAATAAAGTTCTGTAAAAAATAAATCCTCATTATGATTCTTGCCTGGAACTTTCTAGTCTCCATCTAAGCTTCTGCAAATACCACCTATTTTCCACTTGAGATGATCACTTCTTGGTTGCTTAGAAAATAAAAAGGTTCACTACTGGAAAGAATGACCTATAAGAAGTCGTTATAGAAAGCAGACTTCAAGTTACAATGCAGTGTCTTCGGTGTGGGTTTGTGCTCCTAGATGCGTTATTTCTCCCTCCCACACCTGTCTGAGAAGGTGCCACCTACTCAGCTTTACAACTAAAAGTCACTCTTTCTTGACATATGTGTATCAGGGAAACTTTCTTTCAGTGCATACTCACAGCTCATAATACATCTCGCATGTGTTAGTGAAATTAGGAATTACTTTATAATTGAACTGAATGTGAAAATATTTTGTTCTCAATTTTTTTTTATCCTCACCCGAGGATTCTTTTGCATTTATCTTCAGATAGTGCGGGAGGGAGAGAAGGAGGAAAAGAGAGAGAGAAACATCGATGTGAGAGAGACACATCGAGTGGCTGGCTGCTACTCACACGACCCCAACCAGGGCCGGGGACAAACAGCAACCAAGGTACCTGCCCTTAGCGGGAACCGAACCCGGGTCTCTCTGGTCCGCGGGCCGATGCTCTAACCACTGAGTCAAACTGGCCAGGCTGTTCTCAATTTTTAATATTTTATGTATGTCTACCTTTGCAAAGCATTCACTAAAGGAGGAGCTGGTATGGAGACAAACATTAAGAGATTAGTTCTTAATATATAATATTAGTTCTTAATATATAATATACTAGTTTAAACTTCTAACTTTAAATCTTAAAATGACTGATTAAAATATGAATTTAGCCCTGGCTGGTTTGGCTCAGCAGTTAGAGCATTGGCCCTCAGACCAGAGAGTCCTGGGTTCAGTTTCTGCTAAGGGCATGTACCTTGGTTGTTCGTCCCTGGCCCCGGTTGGGGTCGTGGGGGTGGCAGCCACTTGATGTGTCTCTCTCCCTCCTGCTCTATCTGAAGATAAATGCAAAAATGTCCTTGAACAAGGATAAGAAAAAAAGAGTCCCGGCTTCAGTTTCGGTCAAGGGCACGTACCTGGTTTGGGTCCTTCAGGAGGCAACCAATCGATGTGTCCCTCTCACATTCATGTTTCTTTCTCTTTCTCTCTCTCCCTCCTTCCCTCCCACTCTATCTGAAGACAAATGGACAAATATCCTCGAGTAAGGATTTTATTTTTATTTTTTTTTATACTTACCCGAGGACATTTTTCCATTTTTTGTTCAGATAGAGTGGGAAGGAGAGAGAGGAAGAGAGAGAGAGAGACATGAAAAGGAACACATCGAGTGGCTGCCACCCGCACGACCAACCAGGGCCGGGGACAAACTGCAACCAAGATACGTGCCCTTAGCGGGAACCAAACCCGGGTCTCTCCGGACCGCAGGCCGACGCTCTAACCGCTGAGCCAAACCGGCCAGGGCGAGTAAGGATTTTAAATATACATACATATATATGAATTTACTTTTTATTCCCCCCGTTTTCACCTAGCGCCTGTGGCTGAGATGATGAACAATGTAAAGTAGTTGCATCAACATCTCTGAAAACACAATGTGTGCATGTGTGTGTACACTGTATGTAGGGTACTGTAAGTGTGTCTGAATTAGGGCAGTTCTCCTGGTAACCGAATTCAACTCAGGAGACTACTTTAAATAGATAAGTTCTAGGACAGCTGTGTGACATAATTAGCGACAAATAGCCTACGACTAACTATAATTTTACTAGCTTTTAAAGTAAAAGACTTGTAACAGTGCTTTGCTGCGATATATTTCTTACAAATTCTTCAAACGATCATTATGACCGTTTCATGCTTGATCAGCCTGCAGCTGGTGCCCGTATGAGTCAGGAGGTACAGGTGCTGTCTCTGAAGTCAGCAATGAGGGGACACGTCGTTACACTATATTTGGTTACTAGTTGAGAAATTAGTAACAGTCACTATCCTATACAAATAAAACCACCAATTAAAGGCGAGTGATGAGAGGAGAGGGAACAGGTCATTTACGTTCAGTAACCTGACCTTCTGTCACCAAAAACGGGGACCAAACGGTGCAAGGGTGGTGAGTTTGTGGAATAGCATCCTCTTCGAAACACAAGCACTTCCACATTCTCGGGGCCACGGGGCTTCTTTCACAGAAGACAATCAGTTCCACGGAATCATGATAAATAAATATTTCTGCACAAAGACCTATGATGAGAGAAGCAACTCTGAACACAGTGTCAGTGGCCCCCAAGCACTACCTACTCAGCTGGGAGATAATTTGCTAACTGAGGTACACTTTCTAGGGGGGGGGAAATCACTGAAAAGTCAGTTCAAAGGTTAATGTCTTCTAAAATCAGAAAGAAAGAAAAAAGAGTACAGAGAGTAATTTTATTTTCTAATTTTATTCTAAAATACAAACAAGACTCTTTAGGATTATGTCAACATACCTCCTTAATGCATTTTTGTCTCCCCATTCCTAACATAAAAGTCATAAATATTAGGCTAGAAACTGCTGACATTTGATCAAAACTAACAGCACACAAAGAAAACTTTTTTTTTTTTAAATTATCAGTTACATGAAAGAAGCAATTACTAAGTACAGGGCTTTTGAATTACAAAGCTTATAAAACAGCTCTACAATTACCAAAATCTCAAAGGCCAAAAAAGACACTATGAACTTTTTAAAAACAAAGATGTTTTGAAGCAGAACACTAGCTTAAATCATATGAAACAACTTGGACAAGATTCTGATATAAAAATCGCCATTGAGATGAAGTTGAAGGAATATTTGAATTCAATCTAGTTAAGCCACAGTACCAACTAAAACCTATTTCCTTTTCTAAATGAAATGAAAGTTAGCCTAAAACTTTTAAGTATTTAAGTGATCTGAATTTCCTTTATTTGTCCATGGACTATAAGAAAAACATTCTTATAACAACACAATGTAATCGAAAAGAAAAACAAATCTGTGCAGAATATTATGAGTACCTTCTTTATCACAAAGTACATCAGTTACATTAAGGTTCCTTCTACAATGCTAGGACTTCCGGCAAATGGCTTTACTCAAACTGAGACACACTGCAAATGAAGGGGGAATAAAAATTTCCACCTTTGATGGAAATTTCCATGAATTTCTGCGAAAGAAAATAGAGAGCTTTTCTGATCAAACCACGGGTGCCTTGATCCTGTTAAGTGTCTTGATTTTTGTAAGAAAATTTAAGCTGTTTCATTACTCGTTATGTTATGGTGTGCCATCTTTAAAAATCTAGTATTTTGAATTATTTTTCAAATTTCTTTTCCTAGGAAGCAATTATGAGTGGACTTAAGGTAGTGTGCAAAGAATGAGACATATCAGAATCTGTCCAAGTGTAACAAGTATTAGAATAACAAGAGGTTGAACAGTTATAGGAAAATAATTTTTAGGTCCCAAAATCACTACCATCATTAACCTTAAATAAACAAGAAGCCATGATTAAGAAAGTCTGTTCACTTTGTGTAAGTAATTCTAACACGATGGTGGAAGGGGTAACTCTCCGGGGCGCACACCCTACCTAGTACCCCGGCAAGGGCGCCCAGCTCAGGTGGGAGGGGACCTCTACTTGAGCAGATTCTGTAGCATGGCCGTGGCGTATGTGGGCCTAGCCTGTCTGCTCTCAATTGCATTCTGAAGGTACTGGATGCCTCCACAGCGTTCCCAAATTTCTTCAAACTGTCTTGGCAAAATCTCAGCACCACGCTTTCGAGTCAGGCCTGTCTCCTCCAGGTTCAGCTCACACATCTCCATGTCATCCTTACCTGCGTAAACAAGGCATCAGAGAATTACCACCTCTCCTTCAGAACCATTAATTACAACCTTTATTGTTGAAGTAGCTATCAATTCTCACAAATTTGAAAACTTTTAAAACTTTATTTTCTTCCTCTAAGATTGAATTCTGCTTAATAAACTCACTAGAAACAAATCTGTCCTCCCAGACCCTTTCAAAATGTATAAACACTACAGCTGATCAAACAAATTTTCAGGGCTAATAAAAATGCTACATTTCCTAAAACATCACAAATCAACTGACATAATTAAATACCAAATGACAGGTTCTTAGGACAGACAGGCTTCTATGTGCTCTACAAGGACATACTCCAAGCAAGTTCACATTATAAATGAGTTAATCCTCAATGAACTGAAAATGTGATCCATTCCTCAACCCTGAAGTTTGTAATTCTTTCCTCCTTTATAAAATAGTTTCATGTGAGTCATACACACCAGCCACAAGAAGGATGGGTGGCTTGTCAGGATGGAGTTCCATCTGCCGGGCAATCCAGGGTCCATCAAAATGGGCATACCACCAGCCTTTTTTCTTATTCTGTGGATCTTTGTACTGGTCGGCGGGGCGGATGAATGGGATGCGGAAGAAGCGCTGCTGTCGGTTCATTTCGATCTCCTGCTGCCTGGCAGGAAGCTGAGCCGCTGGGTTCTGCTGAGCTATTACACAGAACAAAGAAAGTTACACCAGCACCCCAAGGGATAGCAAAACAGCCTTTAATCCTAAAATGTACCACACTTTTTTTTTTTAAAGGAAGAAGAGGGATTCCTCTTAGTGAATTTAAAACAAAATGTAAATAATTGCCTATAAATTAATACAATTCACGGTGTAATTCTTAAGAATTTTCTGTCCTTAAAGAAGTTCCTTTACATTGTAAACACACACACACACGCACACACACACACCTGTACAAACCCCAACAGCAGCAGCTGTAATAACCACCACCAACCCCTAAAATAATCAGCAACTAAAATAAAGTCACACGGCAGGAGAGCAAACTAGTATTATTTACTCGATTTATATTTTTCCTGCAGAGTTCAAATGAATGCTGAAGAATAACTTTTGCAGGACTATTTATGACAAAACAAACAGTAACTTCATAAATCTGAAGAATTATAGACATTTGTCAATTTAATCACAAGTTCCTCAAAAAAGTGGAAGACAAGTTTCCTCTTTTGCCAATCCTGAAATTTTAAATGGCCAATTAATATATTTTACAAGTAGTATTTAAACAACTCCATGACAAAAAAAAAAACTGTAACAGTAAGCATAAACTTCCCTCAGATATTTACTTACTCTGAAAACAGATTTCTCTTGGAATAAGATCTACTGAAATAGTTGAAAAATGTATAATATTTGGTTCTCTTTGCCAATAGAAAAAAAATTTGTTTTTCTGATAGTACTGGGCATATTAAACTTTTTTTCCTTGCTCGATTTTCATTACTAAACAATCAGGTTTTTATTTTATCTACAAATATAAACCTTTCTCTGGGTAACAACCTTACATTTTCAGCAACATAATTTGGGTAAGTCTGTTGAATATGCTTTATACTCACAACTTTCAAAGTGGACCAATCATTTACTGCAGCTCAATTAAGAATCTCACTGAAAAGCTAAGTATGTCAGTGAAAAATTATATAATATGTTTAAGTCAAGAACAGCCATATGGCTTTTGTAAGAATCTCCAAATACTGAAAAGATGAAAATACTCTTCTACTTTTTACACCAACAGCCAAAGCTTTGTAGCGGCTGAATTTATTTCTGTGCAGACCAGAGAAAGCAAAAGCAGTTAGCAAAGTTGCATGTGCCTAGGAAGGCGTGAAACAGAGGCCAGCTTTGTTAGTAACTTTAAAAAGCCGCATCACCTTTAGCAGTTAACAGAGATGAGCTTATTTATTCTTTTGCTCCTGTTCCCCCAAAACTACTTACAATTCAATGTTTCCATTTTAAGGTTTTGTTTGTTGTTTTTTTTGAAGAAAATACATTAACTCTAAGATATTTTAAAAATGTTAAAAAAACAAATCCTTCATCTTAAGCAGTGAATTAGAATTCAATGTCGAATTGATAGAAAACTTACTATATAATACTGATCACCACCCATTATATTAACCTATTTTTTTCTTTAAAATAAATCTCCTATAATTTAATATATTGGGTAAAATTAAGAAACCCAACATAATTTCTTTGATAGCTCTCTTTACTAACATGAGAAAAAAAACTGTATTAGGGAAGCCTGGAAACAAATATCTATCTAGAAAAGTACAAAGATACAGACGTTAAAAGCTTGAAACTAATCTTCTAAACAACTACTTCTTTCACATCCAATAATGTTATCTTTAAGAGTGTGAAATAGCCCTGGCCGGTTTGGCTCAGCGGTTAGAGCGTCGGCCTGCGGTCCGGAGAGACCCGGGTTCGGTTCCCGCTAAGGGCACGTACTTCGGTTGCAGTTTGTCCCCGGCCCTGGTTGGTCGTGCGGGTGGCAGCCACTCGATGTGTCCCTTTCACGTCGATGCTTCTCTCTCTCTCTCTCTCCCTCTCACTCTATCTGTACAAAGGTTGGGAAAATGTCCTCGGGTGAGGATAAACAAATATATAAAAATAAAATAAAATAAAATAAAATAAAATAAAATAAAATAAAATAAAATAAAATAAAATAAAATAAAATAAAATAAAACAAAATAAAATAAAATAAAATAAAATAAAAAGAGTGTGAAATAAATTTCAAGTATAGCCCTACAAATTACTGAAATCACCAAAAAAGAAAAAGAAAAAAAATCTGGTCCAACCAGTTGGCAAGCAAATATGGCATTACAGTAAGTCCTCACTTAATGTCTTCAATAGGTTCAGTGACTTTCAGTGAAATAACACACAATGTAACCAACTGTACCACAGCTTAATTGATGTCAGTAAGAGTTAAGTTCTTATGGCATTTCTTCAATGTTGCAATGAAAGGACATTGAATGGAACAAAGTTATTTGAGGACCTGCTGTATGTCTAAATTACTGTTGAAACTGATTCTAAAAGAAATTTACAGTACGTTAAGATGACTCAAATCTTTTAAATTATATTTTTTTAAAAGTATATCACAGGAAGCTAAAAAAGGAACATAACAATCTCCTCTTCCTATTAAGTAGTATCCTATTAAGTTTGTATTCATATTTTCATACAAAACTCAAATCTCTTTGGACAGAAATGCGTATCACACCAGTTTGAAACCAGCACCTAAAGTTAGTCTTTATTCTAAAAGATAAGCTGCTTATTAAGATAGAGTTTTGCTACAATAAGAATTGTGTTTATTCACAGTTTAAAATACTAGTTATTTTTAAAAGGTAGTAATCTGGTAAAACAACAGATTAATTAAATTGTATTATTAATTATAGTTTGGAGTGACCCAAATGAAAGCATCATGTCAAATTAAATATCTTGTACTGATAGACCAACATTAATGTACAATTCTACTTTTAAAAATTGTAGCAAAACATGTTTAATAGAAGTTAGTACTTGATAAAGTATTTTAACCCATCTTCCAGTTAGCTCATGAGTTACCACCCATTGACTTACGTGAATTGTTCAAAAATGGTGCAAAATCTGTGAACAAATATTTTATGTTGAAGAAAAGATAAAATTGCCAAAACTGTTAAGCGAGCATTCTTCTAATTTATAAAGCCTTTCCATCAATCGAGGTGGTAAAAAACAAGCAAATATCCTCTCCATAGACAAATACTCTCAGAATTACCGGCAAGTAGATGCTGCTTTCTTATTTTTTAATACTATTTTGATTGTGGTTTAGAAAATTCTGCTTGACCAAAATTAAAAATTGTATTTCATTTGTAATTTGGGGACACAATAATATCCAAGCAAACATCCAACACAATCACTTAATAAGGGACATTATGGTAACTTTCAGGCATTACTAGAATTTCTGTAGAAAAAAAGAGGATAAATTCTAAATTCATCAAAAAATTATATAATTAGAAAAAAAGCACTGCCATGTTTACATATATCCAGTATGTTTTAATTTCTTCAAACTGTCTAAATCTTAAACACAAGTCATTTTTATTTTAGAAATGATGAAATAGAATTATTCTCCAAAGTCACTGTTTTAAGCAACTAAATGTTATAAATTTTTACTGGGTAATTTTCCACTACACAAAAATTATTTCTGACCAGCTCTTTCTGTAGTAAACGTGGTGAGAGCACGCTCACACAGGAGGGCCTGAGGATCCGAACTCCTAATTATAAGAATTTACCATGATCTGTCAAAGTCTTAATCTTACAGGCAATAACATCAAGTTACATTTTTGTTAATCATGGATTGTCATCATTTCATTTTCTCAAATTAATGAATTCAAATCCTTCCAAACACTGAACTACAGAGCAGTTCTTTTTAAAGGCTGAGTAGCTGTCCCATTAATGATCCACCTAAGGACAGACTTTTCTCCACTGAGCTTATCAGTATCTCTGGGTCCTTCACCCCTGGGTCCTTCACCCCTTTCACCTGTAGCTCCTGTGGCAGAATTAGTTTTACATCCCAAAAATAAGCAAGTACTTTTCAGAGCAGAAGTTGTATTTTATCCTGAAAATGGCTCATAATCAAATTCTTTGAAGGTTATCAATAGTGCTCAGATAAAATTCCTAAATCTGTACCTGAATGGGACTCTCAATCTATGCTTTTGTTCTTCCCAAACAGTGTATATATATATATTATGAATGAAAACAGTATACGCACCAGCAAGGTAAGCCATGTATTATTTGCTCCTTTGGGGCAAAGTTGGATGAGGAAACTATCAAAGTTTGGTTTGAAAACACAAGAAATATTTGTATATACATTCAAAATGTGAATACAACATTAATTCCCCCTTTTTTATAAGAAGTAATCATTCAGATGTATAAATTGTGGCCCTGGACAGTTTGGCTCAGCAGCTGGAGCACTGGCCCTCGGACTGAAGGGTCGTGGGTTTGATTCCAGGCAAGGGCACGTGCCTGGGTTGTAGGTTCAATCCCTGGCCCTGGTTATGGTGGTTCAGGAGGCAACCAGTCGATGTTCCCTCTCACATTAATATTTTTCTCTCTCTCTCTCCCCCTCCCTTTTTTCCACTCTCTCTAAAATAAATAAATAAATAAATCAAATAATCCTCAGGTGAGCATTAACAACAACAAAACAGATGTATAAATTTAAAAAAAAAAAACATAATGAAAGACTATTAAGTAAAGGTCATGATTGGAACATTATTAAGAACAGACCACTGTGATTTGTACAAAACAAAGGTAACTGGTTGGAAACCTGGTGCAGACAGTGAACAGGTATGGAATCACCCTGCCCTCTTCAATTCCCAGAGGCACATTTCTAAACCGGAGAACACAATGGAGGTCACAAGAAGATCAATGTTGAAAGGGTTTTCACCTGCCACTTGCTACTGCGGGGCGATCACTGCCCTTCCAGAGCATTGTTCTGACTGCTGACACCACTTGACATCTAACATCTCTCTTAATAATACATTTCCCTCACTCAATCTATTTTTGCAACAACTTGGAAACATTGCAATTCCACCATTTCAATGACTGTAATCAAACACTGCTTTTAATTGCTAGGAAAGTGAAGGAGGCAAAATATAACTGAGAGCTCATTTTCTAGTCAAGTTGGGTCATGCTTGCCAAACTATACTATCAAGTGCTGAGACTGCACCCCTTTGAAAAATAAAAAGACATTAAATGCTGTCACCGTGACATTAACCAGAATTAGGCTAATAAATTGTGTCAAGTTAAAGGTAGTAAGTTGAACAAATGAAATTTCAATTATTGCTTTTAAGACCGAAATTACTACTCATATATTGAAGGTATTCTCAATGTATGTGAAAGCTATTGCATACTTTCCCGAGGTTATGTCCACCCTGCTTGATTTTCCAATTTCAAACACAGAACTTTCCTTGTGTGTAACAAAGTAACAAAATTCATTTTGGGATCTCAGTCAAAAAACTCAAATCTTGGTCTTGGCAAAACTCTGGAACAAACCAAGGTCCCATTTCTCACTTATGTTTTCACAGTATTGTAAAATAGTGTTTGCAGTAAACATAGTTTTGTTTTTCCATAGTAAGCTTTACATTTCCACACATAATCTTTATGTATGTGTATCTGTGTATATACATGTATGTGGAAAAAATACCTATTTACAATATTACTGCAAAACCTTTCCAGTATAGACAAGATTATTCTCACCTCTATAATATATCTTAAGAAGTAAATTCAATACTTCTTAACAAGTAAGACTTTAAAGATGTTTTTAACAGAAATAATGCTATGAAAGATAAGCCATCATGGTTGTACTGGGTTCAGTGAATCAAAGTTCTACAGTAAGAAAAAATTTATATTGTACATTTTACCCAATGTCTTATATATAGTTACATGTATTTATATATACTTTGGAACATTAAAAGTACAGATTTGTTTTTACCATAATCAGTAACAGACTTTGGAGCACGTTGCTCTGTTTCAGTATTTCTCTTCTTGTTCTTGGATTTCCAAGCATGATACACTTTTAGTCTCCTGTGAAATTCTTCTCTGCAAGCTGCCAGTAGCTCAATATCTATCGATCACATAGAAAGAGCCAAAAAAAAAACCAGAACATTCTAATTTAGTTGTCTAACATAATTATTCTGTGGCATAAACATATATATTTACAGTTTATATAATACATAGTTTTCATTTTAAATAGTACAAAATCAAAAGTAGGGAGCCATGCTGAGGGAGGGCAAAGGGAGGAAAATGGAGGACATTTGTAATACTCTCAACAATAAAAATAATAAAATTTAAATTTATAAAAGCTAAGTATTGATAAAGATGAATATTTTATGGTAATATTATATTTATATTTACAGAGTATTTTATTATGCATTATTACTATTTTGAATAATTTGCTCCACATAAGAACCTTGGACCAAATAGGTCTTTTATAGATGAAGAACCTAAACCACGGAGGTTAAGTCATTTGTCCAAGGTCACAGGCCACAACAGAATAAAAAGTCAGTATATTCAAATGTAAGCTAGATTTATATACAACACATTTTTAATGTTTGCAGTTATGTAGATAAACTCAGTGAGGTGGGAACAAACATAGTGAGAAGTTCTGTACAAATGTGATACTTTGGTTCAAATACTATGATTTAACCAAGAACACAACTATGTGGGATGCTCTGGATATAGTATTTTCCTTTGTTCTGCTGGAAGAAAAATAGTGTTAAAAAGAAAGGACTGCACTGCCATGTTTTCCTTTGTGTTCATGGACCAAAAGATTCCGGTAAGTATTTAACTATTATAAATAACATTAGAAGGGTCGGTCACTGATACAGCCCAAATAATAATTTCTCTATGCTTCTCTTTTCTGATCTAGGCAAGAGATGGGCAAAATGAATTTATTTAAGCATGTCCTTCTTTTAGCTTTGTCAATAAATTAGGTCTTCATTTCTAGGTAACAGTAACAAAGAGAATGGCTTATACTAATTTATATGCAAAGTTTACAAATTCCACCCAAGATGGGTATTTATTACCTGTCAGGTACAGAGCCTTCCCATTTTTCATGCTCTCCATACACTTACCACAAGAAGTATTGATGGTATCACGCAGGTCTGCATATTTCCATTTACTAAGATCATGTTTCTTGGTACCAGCAGCTGCCTTTGTGGCTTGTACAGCAGGACCTCTGTAATTATTACATAATTTTGCATATTTAAACTGGAAACATGAATGAAATGTTGACTAAAGAAGCAAGAAAGTGAGCTCAAGCTTAAGAACAGGAAATAACTACTAGAAAAACATACTAATTTTTGTATCTTTGATGGATAAAATGAAAAATGGTGTGCTACAGAATGCCCAGGTAAATTAAAATATTTCAGTGTCCATTTAACAGACATGTTAGATTTTTAATCAGAACCTGATTCCAAATTGTAGGGCCATCAGTTTCCCCCAGATTGCAGTTTAAATATTCTAATTGATGGATATATGAACATCTAAAGTTAAAGAATGATTATCTCAAAATCAGAAAAGAAATACTCAATATACCTGAACATCATTAGAAGCACACTAAGGGTTTGTGTATGAGTCTTCAGGCCACACCGTACAATCACCTGTAGACTACTGGAAGCTACAGATGGCCAAGCCCCAGCCCACACCTACTGGCTCAGAATCACCCTACTAGGCCTCTGGGTATTTACAGGGTCCACAGATAAATGTCTAACCTGCAACCCACTGTATTAATCATTACAGAAAGGCTAAAAAAGCGGCTGGATTCTGGAAACACCTGTGACTTTTTAGATTCACTGTTTGAAAAAACACAAAACAGAAAAGTTCTGTAAGCAGATAAAACCATACCCTCATATTTAGTGAATAATAAATTAGAAGAAAAATTTTTAGGTAATAAAGCTGATAACCGAGGCTTTGTTATATCTTGCCCTGTGTACGGTAATAGGAACGTTTGAGTGGGAAGAGAGAAAACATATTTAGAAAATTAAAAATATGTATAAATATAAAAATAATACATTTAAAATAAAATGTGATAAATTCAACTTTTTCATAGTAATGCTGCTCAGGGCTTAAGACTTGTTTCTATACATATAATTTAAAATAATTATTCAGAAACTATGGGAACAATTTGTTTTCTGTAATAATGAACATTATTTTTCAGCAGATGAGCCATAGAGGAGACACTCAGAATAAGTTACAAGTGGATTTTTAAGCACAATGTAACAAAGAAAGAATTTAAACATATCCTATTTCAAGATATGAAAAGATGACACAAACATTAAAAGGACTATTAAAGAACTAAAATATTGCTTCTCAGGTATCAAACAAAGAATTGCCCCTTTATCATCCACTATTCAAAAAATGTCATCGTAAAGAGGAACAATCAAGGTACAATACAAAACCTATTTTCTCATCATTTTACATTTTGAAAGAAAACATCAATCTTGACAGTCAAGACAGACACTTAATGAAAGTAATACTAAAAACTGATGTTTCAGAATATGTATCCTTCTTCCTGAAATAAAGGAAATTATTTCTTCAATGTTTAGCTTAACAATGAAATAAATAAGGTACTTTTGCCTCCTTAAATGGCCTATTTATGCTTTCATTTTAGAGAATAGAAATAACATACTTCAGCTTACACACTTAAAAACCATTGGACACACACAAGCCTGGCTAAAGAATAATGTGTGGTCATTTAGTCCTTCCTGCATTTTTGTAGTTAAAATCTGTTTTAGGTTTTTATTGAAGAATCCACACTTTTCATAAGCTGTATGACTGGCAATTGCCCATGTACGTAGCTTCTTCTTCTTAATTGCTTTGCTCAGAAAGAGCCAGCTGGGTGTCAGCAGGTCTATTACCCTTAACAATAAATTACGCTTTAACATTTACTCAACTATGTATTCTTTTATATCCCGAAACCACCATTCAATAAACTAACAAAAAAAATCCTCTTTTCTTCCTAGCTCTTCTAAGAGTCTTTTATAGGAGAGCAGCTGAAAATTTTTATGGGTTTTTCATTGTTGTTGTATTTTCTTTTTAAAAGAAAAAGTGAATTTACTCAACATACAGTTTTATAGACTGTCAGAAAACACATGGTGTCAATATACATAAGGTGTGTTTTGATACTTTTAAAAATAGTAACACAATTCAAATTATTATTGCCTGAAATACAGTTTTAGTATTACTAACTTTTCATTCATATTACCTGAAACAAAAATACATACACCTGCTTACAAACATATTCAGCATCCTAAGAATTACATGAATAAAATGCATTTAAGTGCCCCCTCCACATCTCTGCAGTTATTAAAATAGTAAAATAAAGCTGTAATTTACTGATTATTTAGACTTATAAAGACAATTGTGTTAACAATACAGTAAGGTAGTAGCGAAATCAACTTTTGATTTTTAAAAATATATTAAATTTACACTTTCAATTAAATCTGTAAGTTCAAAATTAACAGTTAAAATGTTATTGATTCATATCAACCTATAAGGTAATGGACCAGATCCTGCTGAGAAGTTATAGCCTTGAGTGGCTCAATTTTTACATCAGTGGTTTTTATTTTGTTCATCCTCACCGGGAATATTTTTTTTCCCATTGAATTTTATATAGAGAGGAAGGGAGGGAGAGAGAGACAGAGAGAGAAACATTGATGTAAGAGAGACCCATCAATCAGTTGCTTCTGGCACAACCCCACCCAAGTAGGGCCAGGAATTGAACCTGCAACCCAGGTACGTGTCTCTGACTGGGAATCGAACCCTTGACCCTTTGGTTTGAGGGCCAATGCTCTAAGCACTAAGCCAAACCAGCCAGGGCCATCAGTGGGTTTTTTTGTTTTTTGTTTTTTATCCTCACCCGAGGACATTTTTCCATTTTTTGTTCAGATAGAGTAGGAGGGAGAGAGAGAGAGAGAAACATCGACATAAAAGGGACACATCGACTGGCCCAACCGGGGCCAGGGACAAACTGCAACCGAGGTACGTGCCCTTAGCAGGAACTGAACCTGGGTCTCTCTGGACCTCAGGCCGACGCTCTGACCGCTGAGCCAAACCGGCCAGGGCCCATCAGTGGTTTTTGAACTGTGTACTATGGTGTAGGAGGTGTCAGGAGCCACATTCTCCCTCTACTTCCCCCTTTCAACTAGGCACAGAAGTTCCCAGCCAGGGAGCAGCACCACCCCTAGAGGGAGTTTCAAAATACTCATTTTGTCACGTTGCCGGGAAGGCTTCCCCTAAGAGGCTGAGTTGGTGAGGGCCAGTGATAAGCATAACAGTACCACCAACAAGCAAGAGTCCCATCCAAAATGCCAATGGGATCACCACTGAGAAACACCGATTTACAGGAACACTGGTTTTCATTTTTTCTATGTGAGCGTGCAGTGACATTTTTGGTATAGAAAACTGACATGAGAAGAGTAGGTAATTCATATAACAGGTTCTGGTCCAAATATTGACGAGTAATTTAAAAATATGATTTTGAGGTGACACTTATTCCCCCAAATTGCACTGCACTAACCTACTCAAGAATTCTGACATTTCTTTCGCCATTTGTTCCCTATAAAAAATAATAATACAGCATAGTTATATAAAAAGCAATTATGTATAAATTACTTAAAATATCTAAAAATATAATTAAAATTTTATATTTTCAAAATATATATTCTTTAATAGGATTATTGAATTACTACCCATTCACTATTATTTTACTTTGTAAAAGTCTGCAATATACTTAACATACACAGCCATAAAAGACAGCAAAATTTTTGTTTAAATCCAGGTAAAGTTATTTGAGCTTTCCTATTTTTGCTGTAAGAACTTTTAGATAAAATCTCATGAGAGCCATGCTTCTGTGGTATTTTTTTTTTTTTTTTAATGTAGAGAATAAAATCAGCATGTTCTAAATGCATACAGGAAACTTGGCAGGATACAGATTCTATATAAAAATATTTGCACTGAATTGCTTAGAACATATTAGACAAGGCATAATGGTGGTAGACCAAGCTGATCTATTTTACACTGCCAGAGATTAAATAATTCTAATGTATTCAAAGTTCTAAAATTCTAAATCAAAGCATATTTTTTAAAATTCAAATGCATCAAGTACTTGTTCGATATAAAGATCAGAAGTGTTCTGACTTTTTAAGGACAAACATTTCTCAAAGGCAAAATTGTATTTATCTTTTATTACCCCAAAGAGTGTAACTTTCTCAATATTTGTTTAAATCTGTGAAATGGAATGGATGTCTCATCATGTTCCTCAATACTTTAACTTCATGATTTTATTTTCCTGTCCTTTGCTGTCTTCCTTCATAATTAGTAAGTTTCTCGCTCATTCTATTTATCAGACTCTGGTAAACCTCAAAATCCACCTACAAACCAGCAAAACTCAAACAAAAGAAGATGGGTTGGTTGGCTTCAGGCACAGTTTCTGGACGCCTGCCCGCCCGGATGCTCTGGCTAGAAGAAAGCAGAGGACTCTTGGTCTCTCTTTCCTGGTAATGGACACTGGCTCAGATCAGGTGCTGCATGAGATCTAGCCAAGCAAGCCCAGAGAAAAAGTAATCTTTCAAAACTGATGATCAAGGACAACAAACACAAAGTAAAAACACAAATATAATCTAAAGAAATTACATGTTGAGCAATGTATTAATCTCTCCTTAGGCTAGATAGAATTTTCTAACTTTCAAACTCAGCGCGATTTTTTGGTAACAATGTTTACCTCTGTTAATCACCTACGTCTCAGTTTTTACCATCTCTCTCTCTCTCTCTGAAAGTTCTCTCCATTTCTTTTCCCACAGTGGGTTTCAAGGGAATCAGAGCTCTTTTACTACTTGGTCTATTGATCATGTATCGATTTCTCTGTATGCACCAACATGTCACTGGATGGCAATCTCTACAGATTTAATATTTCACCCGACCCTAGGTTACTGCTCTAGGAGCTACACCAATACACTGAATAAAAATGGTTCTGTACCCAGGAGGCTTTTCCTTCTGATTTTCCTAAACTACATGCAAATGCACACAATTTCACCTTAGACATCGGTTGCAGTGCTTAATTTAAGGAGTTTTTCTAACGGAGGGTGATAGTATCCACTCGGTATCATTTTCAAATTTTTTGGTTCATTGTGGTTAACAATGATGTTGGCATTTGATGGGGTAAGAGGTCTGGGATGCCAAAGGTCTTTCTCAAGGAAGAGCTGCCCTATGCCTCATGTGACTTTGACATGTCCACCAGACACAATGAGGCAAAATGCATATATATACATATATATATACATACATATATATATAGTTTTACATGTAAAATAACATTTTTTTTGCCTGGTTTTAATATTCAGATAACTTTTGTAAGAATGTACCTATTGTATAATGGAGAGGACACTGTACTTAGCTCTGTTCTGAACTTTACAAGGATTGTTCACAACTGCATGGCATTTATGAACTGGTAACATCTTACATGAATTTGCATTTGCAGCAGTCACATTCACGGTGATTCCTTATATAAATATAATCATTTGAGTATCTGATTATGTTTTTCTTTAGTTGTAACCAAGCACTTTCATATTAATATAAACATTGTTTTATTATAAATTACCTGTGCTTTAACTTCTCTTTTACATGTATTGTTTGTAGAATTGTGTATATAGGTTGCAACATTTATAAAACATTTGTTATTGGTATCGGTGTCTGAGAGAGTTGAGAACCATCACTATAAATGTCACAGTTGGGGTCTAAATGTTGTTAAAATTCAGATTTTCTATATATTCCAAAATTTTATATATATAATATACAGGCAAAAATGTATTTAATATGCATATCCCAAATGTTACTTAGATTCTCTCTCTGTGGAGGGATTTCCATAACAAAAAAATACATCAGTGCCAAAATTAACATTATATATGGAACTTCAGATTATGAGCAATTTTAGACGTAAGTAGAATAAACTACCATATATACTGAAAACTAAGCTATCTGCTATGACTCAAATATTTTATTTATTCTTACTTATATCTCCCTACCTGTTTCTATAAAGAAAGACATTAAGTAAAGAATAATTAAAAGCACATAAAACAAAATGGGTATTTAAATGAAGTTAGAAAACACAAAGAAGGAAACCAAATCATAAACTACTGTGACAGAGCACCAAAAAAAAGGGCACTAAACATTTTTCCTGGGCAAAAGATAAAAATAAAAAATGAGTTACCTCTTTTTAATAAAAGCAACTAATGTAAAATTCACTTTAATGAGAAAAACAATTTCTCCTAAAAAGTATCGACAACCTATTAAAAAGAAGGTTATATGACTAAGTCAAGTTTTAAAAAGCGAAATGACATACGGTGTCATTTTAGGTCTTGCTCCATGAATTCTGTGAAAATAATACATTTTAATTAATATCAGAACCAATTCTGAACTGTGAAAATCTGGATTGTGCCAAATCTATGTTTCAGTGACTTTACTGATTTAAAAAATTGCATAATCTTTAATCTACGTGTGAGATCACTCAAAATTTTAATGTTTTAAAATCTACTTTAGAGATGATTAAAGAGAAGAAAGTAAAGGCATTCAGTGAAAATTATGGTGCAAATATATTACATCTATATTACAAAATCTATAAATGGTGAGTTTGCTTGTCTGTTTTAACAAAATCTAGACATTATCTTATAATTTCAGGCACAGACATACCTTGTTTTATTGTGCTTTGCTTTACTGAGCTTCACAAATGTGTTTTTTCATAAATTGAAGGCAAAACCCCCCACCAGCAGAAAGATTATGATTCGCTTTATTGCAGTGGTTTGGAACCAAACTCGCACTAACTTCAAGGTATGCCTGTTATGTGGAATCATAACTTTGCATTAAGGATCATATGTGTAATTGATTGAGATCATATTTTAAAACATATTACATATGCGAAAAACAATTCTTACTTAGAAGTTACTGGATGGGTACCCAAGCTGGAAAAGTAACTTGAAATTGTTTAATGCAGTAGAATCCATCTACATATATTTTTTAACACATCACAGAACCCAAGAACAACATTTCCATGCTATATATTAAGAACAGAGTTAGAAAGTTCTCACTCCTAAATTGTTAGAAAGAATTCAGTACCAACAAAGGTAAAATAAACATTCAAAACCATTAATTTAGCCCCTGGAGTTAGATAAAATTATCAAACATGGGAAATTGGTATAGAACATCATCCATAACACATTGCTAACAGTTCTAGTTCAGAGTGTGAAATAAGCAGGAGGTTCCTAAGAGAAGGCATTCACAGGACCTGAGGTCGGTGAACGCTTCCAGGCAGAAGGACTTCCATACAGGAAGGACTGCAGTGGGCATTCTAGAGGAGGGGACGGCATTTCTAGGCCTGTCCCACAGGAGAACTAAAACTAACTCTTCTTCCTTTCAACTTATAACTGCTTGAATATCTCCTAATTTCTTAGTAGTGGTCCCACTACCTAGTTAATTCTGCTTAACTTAAATCACAGGTAACTTGTTATTTATCTTTTTTTTTTTTCCTCACCCGAGGATATTTTTCCATTTTTTGTACAGATAGAGTGGGAGGGAGAGAGAGGAAGGGAGAGAGAGAGAGAAACATCGATGTGAAGGGACACATCGAGTGGCTGCCACCCGCACGACCAACCAGGGCCGGGGACAAACTGCAACCGAAGTACGTGCCCTTAGCGGGAACCGAACCCGGGTCTCTCCAGACCGCAGGCCGACGCTCTAACTGCTGAGCCAAACTGGCCAGGGCTATCTTAAAGGTCCTAAATGGTCCACTCTTTCTCTGAGTCTACTCACTTTGGAAGAAGTGCATCTTTCTGAAGATGGGAAGCAGTCCACTTATCAGCCACTATATTATACATATTATATGGAATGGCACTGGATATTGCTGAATATTTCAAAAGCTCACACATAAAACTTGGCCATGAATACCACTAATGACTATCTTAATGAGTCCTTTAGAAATGACTTTCAGCCATAGTAAAGCCAGCTCTGTCCACTGCAGTACATCCTCACACATCAGGGATGGCAGATGTAAGAGCCTGGTTTGTTTAGGAACCTGGCCAACCACTAGTCAGTTATACACAAAGACTCCTAGCCATCCCAACATAACATAGGTGGGAGGAACAGAACAGCAGCTAAGCCAAGTCTGCAGATAAGAAAGCCATAGATGGGCAGGAATATTTTAATTATGGTGAAATGTTAATAAAAATCCCAAACACTGGACTCAAACCCAACAGCTTAAAAATTATTATAATACCTGTGGTTTGGTAGGCCTATTCAGTTTATTTAAATATAATGCACTTTTATATACAATTCAGGCCCCAGAACTTCCCAATATAATTACTTAACTAGAAAAAGTATGAAGGCAACTTAATATACCCTTTTCCTTCCTATCTTGTTTTCAGTTAAATAAAATCTATGCACTGCCCTATAATATGAACGAAGTTTTTCCCTTCACAAGGAAATAGCAACATCTACCAGTTGTATTTTAATTATATTTTGTCATAAACAGTTATCTAACATTCTGAAAAGCAGTTACATATATGAATGTGCCTCATAATATACACAGAATGTATTTACCTACATATCAAGGAACTCCACAAACAAGTTTTGCTCTGTTTTTACAAATAATCAAAATAACTAACGTTTCTACATTCTAAAATTAAAATGAAGCTATTGCATTAAAACCACCATGAAACTTTTAATAAGGACTTCCATATTAATGGTATTTAGATTTAATAAAATATAGTATTTAGAGAAAATTCAGAAACCTGAGAAGCCAAAATATTTCAATGTGATTAACCTTCCTTCTTAGAAAAAAATCTATTCTGAAACATAGGGTGTGTGTGTGTGTGTGTGTGTGTGTGTGTAAACTCTCTCCTTGTTTTAAATGTCAGGATATATATTTTTTAAATTTGCATTAGGAAAATAAATCCCAATCTCAAATATATTAAATTGCATTAGAATATATTGACTGATTTCTATTCCAGTATTTAATAGCAGGTATTTAGAAATTAGATGTCTACCCTAAATGAGATGTATCTTTTAAGATACAGTGCTCTGGAAATTTTAGGGTAAAAGTTTAGATGTTTTCTTGAAGTACTCATGAACTGAAATGTCAGATTTGTTTTCCAGTACACTCGTCCCTCGCCACTCCGTGCTTCAACTTCGCGGCCTCCCTCGATCGCGGGTTTTTTCAAATCTATTCATTAAAACGTTGATCGAGACAGTGAAAATGATACAGCGCGCTCTGTTGTCTGAGTCAATTTACACCCCTGTATTACAATTAAAATGAAAATTACTGTATGTATGGACTGTAGCGTATGTATTCGAGCACCCCAGGAATCCTTCAACACCAGGTGCAACCGCTGGAGTCTGGAACGAATTAACCGCAATAAACGAGGGACGACTGTAGGTTAATAATCTGATCAAATCAATTTGTTTCATTCACTTGGGTATAAGAATGAATACAAATAAGTTTTAAATGATTTTACTTAAAGTATACCAGGACCTAAGAAATACTGTATGATTTTCTCCCATGTTCTGATTGCCTTCAGGCTGAAATGAGAGGCAGAGAGGTAAAGACAGCAAAGAGAGCACTACCCCAGCCAGTGGCCCAGTACCTCCGGAGGGCCAGGTCAGCCTGGGCCTCGTCGCTGATGAGCTCCGCTTCACTCTGGGCGATCCTCAGGGCCAGCTCCCGGTCCCGGCGCTCCTGCTCCAGCACCGCCTGCTGCTGGGACTCCTCCTCCCGCTGTCGGGCCAGCTGCTCCTCCACTTCAGCCTGCCAAGGACCGAAAGCCGTTTCACCAAGTGTCTCCACATGGCCCCTTGATAATTCCCATTACTATTTAAAATTGTTCCAGACAAGTTCTTTACTAAGGAATATATCTTGTTCAACCAGACATCTCTTCAGACTCTACTCTCTTTTTTATTATGATTTATACTTGCTCTTTCCAAAACAGAGAAGTAGAGAAACCATAGCTGCACCATTCCATATGAGTGTCCCAGGTATCACAGTCAACCAACACCAGACAAGCAGATGGCGGGAATTTAAAGTGTTGGTTGTGCTCAGGATAAATTAAGAAAGCCAAGAAACTCAAATACATGATCAATTATTATCAGACATAGGCTTTTTTAAAAATGGGGGTGAGTGGAAAAAATAAAAATAAAAATAAAAATGGGGGTGAGGAGAAAATCATATCCTAACCTATTACTATTAGTATCTACAAAGTTATAAAGTAATATTTTATCATGTGTTTAATTGGAGGAGTTTATTTTAAAATTACATTTTAAGTAAATGTTCATCTGGCTTTACCCTAGGTATAATAATAGTAATAACAAACTAATATTTATTGAATTGAGCACTGTTCAAAATGCTTTAACATGTGTTAACTCATTTGATGCTCACAACTATATTTACCCACATTACTCAGAGAGAAAACTGTGGCCCACAGTCATTTCCGTCAGTGACAGAGGCTGGATTTGAACTCACTTCCCTAACTCCAAAGTCCCTTCCCGTAACCATTTCAGAAACTGCTTTTCATCTCTGGGATCAACCAATGACAGTTTATCTAGCAAATCACTTCGTTTTATAATTTTGTAGATTCTGTGTTGACAGAAATTCAGTTCACCTGTCTAATCATTACATACCTGAATACGTTTTTCATCATCTTCCCTTTTCTTTCTCTCTTCTTCTTCTTGTTTTCTCTTTGCTTCCATCTCAAGTTTCCTAAAAAAGAAAGAAAGAAAACTCTTCAAAAATTTAATAGAAAATAAGGAATGCTTCAGGAGGTGATTTAAACTATTAATAAATGAAGGTTACAGAATGGAGACTCACATTAACCTCCTGGCCATACACATTATCAACTTATTTTTTTTAAATCTAACTCTACTGATAGTAATTCTTCTGAAACAAAACAAAAACAATTATGTTGCATAACCTTTAACATCCTAGGTGAACTTGCTATAAAGCCTAGCGGTAAGGTCCTGATTACATGTGCTTCCCTCTACTCCTCAATTAAACAACTCTTATGTTCCTTCTGTCCACCTGATTATGCAAATCTTTCAAAATGTTACCAGTTTTAAAACTTCAGAAAAGTAGAAGTGCCTTTTTCCTAGCTTATTAAATAATACACAAGTCACTGCTTTAAAAAGAAGTTAAGGAATCCTCGGGTGTAAGAATCTAACAAATTCAGATTATAGTTAAAATCCTTTTATATTATTATTATAAAATGAGATTTTCTCCATTTTCCAACTTATTCAAAAAATTATAGTCATGAGCTGCATACCAACATTTTGGTCCACAACGAACTGCATATACTATGGTGTTACGCCATACAGCCCAGGTGTGCAGTGGGTTTGTGTAAGTTCACTCTGTGATGTTCACACAAGATGAAACACACATTTCTCAGAACTTATCTCCATCATTAAGCAGCATGCGACTGTAGTATTTTAAAATAACATGACTTTTAAAAATAAGAATACTTATCAACCAACACCACCAAGAATTCATGTTCTGTTCGCTTCTAATCCAAAACAACAATATAGATGCCTTACATCCGCCTTTCCTCCTCTTCCTTTCTTCGGCGTTGTTCATCTTCTTCACGCCTTTTTCTCTCTCTTTCCATTTCTTCTTGAATACGCCTCAGCCTTTCAGCTTCCTCTTCCTGCTGTTTTTTTTTCTGTAAAGCACTGAGGAGCTCCTCTGAGCTTTTAACGAGTGCATCGTATTCTTTCTGTATCTGCTCCCTTGTCATCATAGTGGACTTTAAAAAAATAATAAACATGTACTTAAAAAGTTATCTCTTTTGTTGCAACAATGACAATATACTGAACACTACTGAATTGTACATTTTAAAATGGTTAAGATGGTAAATTTAATGTTATGTTCCCTTAAAATAATAAGTATACACACACACACACGCACACACACATACAGCAAAGACTGGAAAAGTTGATAAGCAATAAGCCCATTATCCGTATTATACTATTTGTACATTTAAAGGTTATCTTTGCACACAAATATCTAGATCTTTTTCCTATTAATCAAGTAATCAATACCTAAAGGGGTATGTGGACAAAGTAACATAGTTAAAATTTATTTTTTAAGAAATAATTTTGCCGGCGTTTACTAACTCTTTAATAATAATGTTCAAACAGTACCTAGGGGATACTTTAAAAACTGTCATTCATCCAAAATTGTTGGATTATTTTCCTAAGTGAGCCCTCAGAACATGTGGCTCGGTTGATTTTAATTGATTAACGTCACATAAATAGAGAGAGCTCCTAACAGATTTGTAAAACCAGCTAAGCTTATCCAAAACATTTCCATTCTTCTCTTGACCTTCTTTCTCCATTCTGCCTCTAAGACTGACCACTATCTACATAAAATATCTGCAGGAAATATAATAAAAAGCTCGCTTTAAGGTATTATATCCCACATAATTGCACTGACTCATTAAACTAGAAGAGAAAACCATCAATACCCTAAAATATAACACACACAAAAATATGAAGAGACAGATTAAATGTAATTACAAGCATATAAAAAAAGTTTTCAATCCCATTGATAATCAAATAAATTAAAATCAATACCAAAAAAAAAAAAAAAGCCCTATTTTTTTTGACAAATTTGGGGGGAAATTAATTGCTATTTTCATAACAGTGAAGTAATTTATGATGGAGCCTATATTAAGACAATTATGGGAACAAGGCATATGGCATAATGATAGGGACAGAAAACTAAATGTACAGTAGGATAATAACTATGTAAAAATATGTGAATATAAAATAGGACAGGAAGGGGAATATACAATAGTTTGTATAAGGGTTGGCTGTGTTAGTTGTGTAAGGATTTTGGTGATCTCCAAATTTTTAATATTACATTACTTTTATCATTTAAAAATTCATTTCTGAAAGTAAAAAGAACATGAAACAAAAAAAAAATTGCATTTAATCCTCTCAGTAATGATTATGCAAAAGCTATTTTCAATAGCAACTAAATACAATAGTATTTTAGTAACAATAAACAATAAATAGTATTTTAGTTACTATTTGGGGGGAAATCTTTCTTAGCAACAGATGAAAGTGATTAACAGTGTTCTTTTTAAATTTCGTGCTATGAAAAGTTTCAAATCATTAGGGAGAGTAATATAATGAGTATCACTTGTCATCACTGGGACTCAATATCCGTAATGCTTCGTATCCTTAACAAAATAAAGGCATTTTCCTATACAGTTCCAACACTAATAACAAAAGATATTAAATTATTTTAAGAAGTCCAAGTCATTTGGATTGACATTACATACCTTAATTTTGGCCATTAAAGCATCAATGGAAACTTCGAGGTCCTTCACCTGTTTATTCACCTCCGGTTTCCCATCTTTCAGTGCACTTACTACTTCGTTAAATTTATCGAGTCGTTTCTTCAGTGTGCCGACCTTAACCAGGCCATCGATGCTGTAAAACATTGCCTCTTCAGTTTGATTTCACCATTTAATGCTATAGGTTGATTTTTCATTTTCATAAAATGCTAAACATATTGTTAAACAGGATATTTTACTCCTGTTTTCGTATTCAGTATTCTCTTTTTTAGATAACTTGTTGAGGGTAAAAACAAGAAATAATCAAATATGGGTGAGTGACACCATGCCTGTCAACAGGCTTTAAGCCTCCTAGATATACACTGAGAAATATAAGAATTCAAACTACAGAAGTTATCTAGTCTCTCTAAAAGGTGTTAAAGCTGAACAGTTATTCAGACCTCCAAGCTTAAAGAGTTGATCAACTAATGATAAAAGAAGCAAATAAGAAATAAAGACTCTATTTACAGTGAGACATTTCCTACAGATAATCCAGAAATTAGGGTCAAAACATCAATGAGATGTTTTTAAAAACAATGTCAAAGTGACATTTGTCAAGAAACGCAAGTCACTAAAATAATCAGAATAAAAGAGCTTCTTTCAACCACTCATTTCAACCTTTTTATAGTTACATTTTTGTAAGCGCCTTCAAATCCTTTTGTAGAAAGAGGCTAGTAATGTAGTAAATAAATATTTTCAAATAAATAATACAAGTAACAGAGTAATAAATCTTTTTACAAGGAACGTAAGAAAAGAAAAAACTCTGAGTATCCACACTGCCCTTCATTATGACTTCACAGCCATGTTATATTTGGGTATTTAAGTTTTGTGGGATTCTCTGGGCACTACTCATCTTACCGAGGTTTGTGTCTCCTTTTGCAAAGCCACATTCGAATAGTTTTTTGCATTTTAATGCAGGCTTCAGCTCGATATTTTATTTTGTTTTTCACTATATGTAAGAGAAAAATGTAATGATAGAATATTACTCAGTTTAAATCAGACCTATAATAGTTTTAAAAGCACTCACTTTCACAAAGCAGTTCTTAAGGAACACGAACTCTTAATGAGCATATTCTACCAGACATCAAAATGAGGAAGTTTAACATTTCTTTCATTCTGTATATTTCTTAAAATAAAAAGTATACCATGTATACAACTAGTTTTACATTTTATTTTTTCATCAATTAATTTATTTTTTGTTACAGATGTTTCTCCTTTTCCCCCCACTGATTCCCCCCTTCCCCTCCCTCCCCGCCCTGTCCCCAGCTTTGTTGTCCATGTCCATTGTTCATGCACACATGCATATAAGTTCTGTGGCTTATCTCTTCCCCCCAGAAGAGGGGGTGGTGGGGGAAAGATAGTTTTACATTTTCCATGTATTATTTCCTTACTATGCTACACTCTTGCTTCCCAAACTGTCCTAGGCAATACTGTCTATGAAACAATGACAGGTGTGTCTTGAGAAAGAGGATTCCCCTGTCAATGAATTCAGGAAAGCTATTAGCTACTCTGGAAGATTCACAATGAACATACTGAGTGAGTCCTCTGAGAATCCTAGAGTAAAGGAATGTAAATATTTAACTGCCTGACCTGGGAACACTTCCTGACTGGTTACTGCACAGCACAGTCCATGCACAAGGGTACAGTACAGATGTTTTAATATACTGTGTTGTCCACCAAGAAGCAATGTGTGAAGCGGAAAGCACTGAACTATATTTACAAATATGTTTATATTTTACTTGGAAAAGGACACGAAAAAGAGAGTCTGCCATCTTTTTTTTATTATAGTTTTCTTTTCATCTATATTCATAATTGTCTAACAAAAGACCTCAATAATAATCTTTGTCTGCGCGGGTCCTTTTCATTAGCTAAAAGGCATTTTATTTCTCTATTCATAAGGAACAATTTACTGACTCTTTTCCATGTGTCCAGCACTGTTCCAGGTACTCTGGTGAGTATGGGGGGAGGGAAATTATAAATGTAATCAAGTTACTGACTATAGCTCCCTACAATGAAAGGTTTCCAGAGCCCCTCAGGTAACCCAAAAATAGTTGGCCCCTCACCCTTTCTGGGGTCACAGGTAGGTCGTCTGTATGACCTGGCCAGAAACACAAGAAAGAGCAGTTCAGTCGAGTGCATCGGAAAACAGGGTCTGGGACAGCCGAGGCAGGAGGGGCGGGGAAGAAAAGCTGAAGCCCCATTTCGGGTGATCTTGAAGACACTCTAAGCCTTTCGACTTTGCTCTGTGTGAAAGAGAGCCTTAATAAGAGGCTTTCAATTTGGAGAGAGAGCTCTGGGAACCCAGGTGAACCGATGTGGGAGCTACTGAAACTACCGGGCAAGTGAGGGGCTCCACTGAGACACCAGCCCGAAGAGGGAAGAACGGACCAAGTTTCTGGAGGAGGAGTCAACAGGGTTGACAAGATTTCAGGGACAAGAAAGAAGAAACCATTCCAACCCTGAAATGTTGGGCATGTTATACGGATAATGCCATGCAGGTGGAAACAGTTCTGGCTTACGTCTGAGAGAGATGGGCGATGGTGTGGGAAAGGAGAGCACGAGGGAGAAGAGAGGAAGAATCAAGACAGTGACTTCTGTTTGTTTAGGACATGATGAAATTAATTCTCCTATAATACATTGAAATAAAGAAGTATCTCATACACTGAAAAAAAAAAGTCAATAAAACGAATTTATCCCATACTACACATGAGGTATGACTTGGGGGACCAAGGAAACAGTGAATAAGCGATGCCATCTCTGTGGTCCAGCACTGACCGCTGAGACAACTTTACAACATTCCACCAACCAATTCATTTCCAAAATAAGTACGGATCTTGGTGTAAAAGAAAGCACCTACATTTGATGACTGAGAGTGAGCACCACTGAACTTTCTTCCAGCGACTGCAGATGAGCCAGTGATTGACCCTTTTAACCAACTCTGCTAAATGGTCAGGGTCCGACTTCATAATCTGATCAAATTCTGCAAACTGGGGAACAAAATTAATTTAAAATTAGTATTAAAAGATACATGGGCTAAAACATACAAAGATACAAAACAACTAACTCAAATCCACAATCTAACGTTCTGGAAACGGTCACAAGCCGTCACGTAGGCACACCGGAGCGGGGAACACAGCAAGCCCAAGCCTGTGACCACCCTGCTGCCTTCCTCCTCCTCCCCTCCTTCAGGATCTCGAGGGGAAAGGTCGGCTACTCACTGCTACTTAGCAGATTCAATGATAAAAGTCGGGAAAAAATCTTAAATGACAATTATAGGTGGTTAGCAAAAAAAAGTTTTACTGAAAAAAGAAAGGCTAATATATCTCTAAATAGGCTCATCCACGCTCTCAGATATCTGTATATAGCTCCTGACAAGTGAAGGTCAGCTATATAATGTCAGATGCCACCAAAACTATTCCATCTCCTCTGAACCCCATCCCTTTTTGGGTCAGAGATTATAAAAAAAAAAAACTGTTGCTAAGAGACAGACAATATAAATAAAACAGCTGTCCAGTTATTAATAAAATGTATCATTTTCACAATTTATCACCAAGTCATATAATTTCTATCCTATACCAAATATCCCACCAGTGATTTTCAACTTTTTTTCTTCTCATGGCACACATAAACTAATTACTAAAATTCTGCAGCACACCAAAAATGCATTGTATTTTTTGTCGATCTGACCAAAACAATACGCAGAATTTTGATTCATTCACATTGGACTGCTATTGTGTTGGTCGTTGTTATTTTATTATTTGACAATCTAAGGGAAAACAGGTTACTGCCCTTGACTAAATAGTTGTGTATTGTATGTTGCAAAAATTCTTGCAGCTTACTAGATGAGAATCGCTATATCCCTCTATAATGCATTTAGGATATCACAGCTATTAATATAGTTCTGTATTATGTATATTTGGTTGTGAAATATTCTTAATTCAGTCTTGTAACCTAGTACAAGGACCTGTAAATACTAAAAATATAGTTTAGTCTAAGAAAATTATGTTACATACAGAAGTATTTATACACTCACTCATTCCAGCATTTGAGAGAAGTCAGCATGCACTCCAGTCCAATGTCCTATACCCTGTACATCTATCATACCCTAATAGACTTGTTCTCCACACAGTGAAGACCCAAAAGTACTGTGAAGTTTTTAATTATTAAAACAGAATTAATATGTTTTAGAAAAGCTTTCAACTTGTTTAAAACAAAAGTATTTTCTGGCTAACCCTCACTTAAACGAAAAATATAATCAATGCTCTGATTCCAATATTTCCAAGGCTGAAAAGAATTGTAAAATTTGTACAGAGTATTACACATTTAAACTTCTTACATACTCATATATGCATGCTGTTAGTGATCATATAATTCAAGAATAATTCAAATCACTAAACACTTAAAAATATTCACAGACTATCCCTCCACCACCACCTATTCATATTCATTATGTTCAAGTTTAAAATAAAAATGTACTTACCTTGCCAGGTCTAAAAAATACTTTTGTTAACCCAAACTTGTAGTCAATTTCATTTAAGCCCAAAGCTTTAAAAAGAGCCTGAAAAATAAAAGTTAAAAAGTTAAATGACAGCTAGCAGTTAATAAGAAAGACGTCTGTAGCTAAGAAACTTCAATCCAGGTGGTATTTGTACCTTACAAAATAGTCTTGGATCTAATCTTGCAAGTTTGTCCGGCATGTACTTTTTATACATGTTGTAGAGTTCATGAAACGAAGCTCGTGATGGGAAACCACCCTGCATCAAGTCCAAAACGGACACCATACCTAGATTCATAAACAAGCACATATTATTGCCAATCACTATACAGAAGTCAAAAAATAACATGCAAATGATCAATTTTACAAATTAATGTTTAGAAAAGTTTTCACATGTCTAAATGGTAACGGAGAGCTCCAGCTCGAGGAAATGGTTCACTATATATATTCAATATTGAAGATTCAGGAAAAGGTAGGAAGAGACAGATTTCAAAGAACTAAAGTCCAACTAGGAAGAGAGGCACTTCCTACCTTCTTAATAGGAGGGAAGGTAATACGGGTAGGTAGAAGTGTCTGGTAGCAGACAGGTGAAGCTTTGAGGTATTTTTGTTGTTGTTAAGAGGTGAAGCTGTCTGTTGGCAGAGGCTGAGAGATCTGAGCAGAGCAGAATGGGTCTGACTAGTTTCCATGGAGAAACAGAATATGCTGACCAGGAAAACTTGGCAGAGTGGGTTGGAGAGCCCTTTAAAGGTTAGTGATTATGAATTTATAATGGTGCCGATCTGTCTTGCCTACCTTATCTGTGCAGATGAGGAAGGAGAAAGGATAGAATTAGATTCAAAACAGCTAAAGTTTTGTGAGAGGGGTCAAGGGTAGATCCAGATTGGGGGACCTGATGTTTTTACAACTGGGGGAGGGCTATTTAAGAAAAAGGTAATTATGAGTTACAGAAGAGTACAAAATCAGGTGCAGGCTTGCAGAAGGAGCCCCTTTAAATGAGGGACCCTGAAGCATAAGTGACCTTCGCTTTATAATAAATCCACCTCTGAGAAGAGCAAACGAAGGAGTCAGAGGGCAAAAGAGTTTAAGGAAGTGTCACAAGCCTTTTGGAAAGGACAGGGCTGATGCCAGGGGAGTAAGTAGTTCAAGCAGGGATAGAGGCTGGGCATGGAGTCAAGGAAAAATAGTGAGCCTGGTGCCTAAGACTTCTGTGATCGAGCCAGGTTAGGATATGGCGGGTGACAGGAAGGAAATTATAGTTTAACCAAATGCATCAAAGTTCCACAGGAGCTGAGAACGTTGTGTTGCTTTCATTTTTTTTTTATTAAATAAGCAATGACACCAAAACCTACCTCCCGATCCAGTTAGGCGGGGAGTGAGAAATGAACCGCTGGACTGAAAAGGCTATTGGAAATCAACCCACTTAGGGAAGATCTACAGGTTTGTAGAGTTTTTATAAATTTTACTTTATGATGTTAAATAACTTTTTTCACAATAAACTATACCCCAATATTACTCAAATAATTTGCCAGCCATGCTTTTCTTATAATTAAAGGAAATGTAAGTTAGGAATCTTATTATACTTAAAAAATCAAGGTGGTTGTGAAATATCTGAAAACACTGGACATATTAAATTGTATTTGAGCCTAGACTCTTGACACACACTGACAGAGATTATAAAAATATGGAAATACCTGAACATTGAAGTTGAGACAAAATTTGAGCACCTTCAAAGTCGTGGCTTGTCATCTTTAAATTAGGTTTTATACAACGAATAAAACTTGCTCCCTAGGAGAATAAAGGTACTTTTTGAGACAATACATATAGCACTCTTATTGTCCTATTGCTATGAATACCAGCAACTTTCAGTGCATACTATCATTAATATAGGAACCTCTTTTAAAATAATCACTGAAGTATATATGTATGTTAAATCACTGTGCTTTACTCCTGAAACTGAGATAATACTATATGCCAACTATATTTTAATAAAAATGAATAAATATTTGGTGAAGAAGATGTGGTGCATGTACACAATGGAACACTGCTCAGCCATAAGAAAAGAAGAACACTGGCACTTGCAACAACATGGATGGGCGCTGAGAGTATGATGTTCAGCAAAATAAGTCAGACAGAAAAAGCTAAGAACCGTATGATTTCATTAATATGTGGGATATAAAACTTAAACTCACAGACACAGACAACAGTGTGGTGGTTACCAGAGGGTAGAGGGTTGGGGTTCAGTAAAGGGAAAAGGGGCCAAATACATGGTGATGGAAGATGACTTGACTTTGGGTGGTGAGCACACAATGCAATCTACAGATCATGTATCATAGAAATGTACACTTGAAATCCATATGATCCCATTAACCAATGTCACCCCAATAAATTTTTAAACATAAGAATAAATACAATTTTTAATTTTTAAAAATAAAATATAATCAGTAAGGAAATAAAACTCAGCATACTTTTATAACTTAAAGCTTAGAAATATACTCATATTAGAAAAATACACTTCTATTTGAGTGCCAAAAATTGTGTTATTGTAAAAAGAATAGTCTTTCATTGTGAAATATTTTAACATATTTAAACTATACATTATCTTTAATCCTAAAAAAATACATTCCTTCTCCATAACAACTAATTATTTTCTCTCTTCTCAAACTACAGGATAATCTTATTAACATCTAGAGAATTCTATATATTTATACAATAATTTGACTTCACATATATATTTAACCTTTTTTCAGAACAATGTTTACAAAAATGACAACCATTTTAAAAATCATTTTTTTTAAATGAGGGAATCTGGTTTCAAAAATATTTCTAAGTATTCCAGATTTACTGTGCTTAAGTAAATATTAATTAATAATTTGAGGACCATTTACAAGCCCTGTGTTATTTAAGTGTACTCACAGTACTTCGCAGTTTATCCAGAAGCAAATTTAACTGTGTCTGTAAAAGAAAGAAAATCACTTTGTTTTTCAAAAAGCAAAAACATAAACATACAATGTCACAAGTGAATAGTAGGCCTTCAACATTACAATAAAATAACATGCAATAATGTGAATATAAAACACATTATAATTTAACAACTTCTGGTACACAAGCTCTTTGACAGTAACATGCAAAGTGTATGGCTAGTAACTCACGTTGCTCATCCAGAACTTGTATAATTAGAAGACTGAACATTAGCACTACTAAAAACATACATGTGCACATGCAGGTGGGGTGGATGAGGAAAGGGCACAGGCAATGGAGTGAACGAACACGCTGGGGGTGCATTCCGTTAGAGATCAGCAGAGCAGCATCTGAATGAGTGACAAGCTGGTGCGGTCTGTGTCACACTCCATTAAGAATGAAGGCATGTTTAAAATATGCACTAATGGTACATATCTAGGTTGTTGTTGTTTATTTTATTTTATTTTATTTTATTGATGTTAGAGAGATAGAGGGAGAGAGAGATGGAAACACTGATGAGCGAGAACATCGACTGGCCGCCTCCGGCACGCCCCACACTGGGGATCAGGCCCACAACCTGGGCATGTGCCACGGAGCCACAGCAGCCAGGCTAGATTGTTTCACGTAACACTGATCATAAATTAAACTATTCTGCCTAGCTGTAGAAATCCTCTTTACTATTTTAAAATATTTCATATCTCAATTATTTTTAAAAGCTTGGACAGTTTTCTCCAAAACAAACTGACAATGAATGAATACTACAAGTTACTACGCTTTCCTATTTTTAATAATATTAAGTATTATAATTAACTCTCATTCAGTATTAATTTAATTTATATATTTGCTTTATTTCTCTGAAAAGTAAATTAACTATATAAAATTATTATATTAATTTTATACTAAGATGTTTATACTATTCATGAAAGATAAATTAAGATATATTTCTTAAATTAACATATGGGATCAGTTATACCTATATTTAATACTACTACTAATAATAATAGGTATACTTTACTGAATGCTTTCTGTGCATCAAGCATCACTCAAAGCTCTTCATGGGCATTATTGTGTTAAATCAGAACAACAATTCTAATTAAGAATATAGCATTAGCCTCATTTTACAGGTGTAAACGTTGAGGCCCAGAGAGATAAATTACTTGCTTAAGACCTTGAAGGTAGTTATGGTAAAGCCAAGATTCCAGTAACACTACACTATACTTCAGACATCACAGGCTTAAGATTCAATCTGGACATCACACAACTGAAAAGCAAGTATAAGAGCCACTAATTTGGAAAGAAACAACTGTCCCAAAGTCCATGCTTCTTAATCCACAGACCAAGCACAGTATTCTCCAAAAGAAAAGAAAAAAATGGAAACAGAGTCAATCAGGAGAGTAGAAGCCCCAAATAATAACTAATAGCATCTGAGAAAGTGGGGAAAATATCAAATATCAAAGAACAGCAGTCAAGCACCATACGGGATAAGGGTAAACAGCTTTACATAACTCATGCTTCATTTGTATTTTATTTTTATTTTAAAGCATACAAATGTTCATGTATATGATAGAATAAGATTTCCATCAAAAAGGATCACTTTTACTAAAACACTAATAGTAAAATGGTTACGTTTCAATAACTTGAAAATGACACTTTTCAGTGGAGAACCTCTGGTTCTCAGCGATGTTAGATAACTGATTATTGTAAATGCTGTTCTGTTTTGTTTTTTATTGCCTCACATACCTTGAATTTAATTGAGTGAGCTATTCTATTCTATTTAAAATTAAAAACTACTATTAATATTTCATTTCAAAGTATCTTGTAAAATATCTTAAATTTTATTATTAATGATGTCACTCGGTCATAGCTTCTAGCAGTTTAATGTGCAAAATACACCTTATTGCATATACGCGATTTTAAGGCATTTCAAGTCTCAACACAAAAGAGTACTTTAATCTAAACAATTTCAAGAATGTTTTTGTTTTTACTTATACTGTATAAAATTTCAGGTGTATTTTAGTATGTTCTTACCAGCAATACTACTGTATTTCTACTATTACAGTAGGAAAATGCTTAATGAATAATATCCATTTCATTAAATTAATGTTGCTATATATCTATTCAGAAATTTAAGAATATCCAAATTAGAGAGAAAAAAATTCCTCAAGAGAATTAGAAACTCATAATAAATGAATACAACTTATAAGAAAATTAAAAACTTTTTACTCAGTTACCTGAAAATATAAGCTTTTTCCTACACTTGTTTCAGCTTTTTAAAAAAATCTAGCTTTGTAAACATGACTTTATCAAGTTAGTCATTTAGAGCCCATTTCAATCAACGAGGGATTTCAAGAGGCTTACATGGTTACTATCAGTATTCTGATACTTAATTATTATTCCTAATTACATCAATTTTTAATATTTAAGATGCACATGTGAAAAGCATATGTAGAGTTTTCTTGCAAATATAACAACAATAAGAGTGAAATTAATTCTATTCCTTTGTTCTATATGTTGTAACCTTTTAGTCATTAAATTTTTAAATTATCTTTTTCTATGCTAAATACTCAACAATTAGAACCAATTAGATTAGTAGTGTTCTAAGACACATCATGTGATAATTCTTTGTCAGACCTCAAAGGATAAATTCCTGATCCAAAACTAATAAAACAAATGAAATGTTCTTCAATGTTAAGCAAGTCGAAGGGTTTGCCACACAGAGCACTCATCTTTCATAGTTTTAAAAGCTTTAGTCAGATTTTAGTGTAATATGCACACCCACAATGCATTGTGAGGGAAAACACACTGAAAGTGAATTGCAAACTGAATCGTTAACTGGAGACAGCCTCTTTTTAACATGGCAGCCACTCTATAAATAACAGACCGTGAAGGTGTTCATTTACCTGAAGCCCCTGGCTGTGCCTGCTTTTCCTCTCTCAACTCAACTAGTCCTCTCTAGCCATCCCGAGCTGGGTTACTCCAACTAAAACAAAACTGCTGAATGAGGAAGGAACAGAAAACACATGGGAAGGAGAAAGTTGGAAGGTCAACCAGACAGTAAGCAGAAGCAAGAACATTAGGAGAAGCAATCAGATATGTTAAGCACCAAGAAAGAAGACATTCATAAAGTTACAAGAATTTCAGTAGGTTCAATTACTACATTTCTTTTATGTGGTTTTGTTTTGGGGGTTTTTTTGTTTTTGTTTTTTGCATACAAGTATCATCAGTGCAGGGTCTGCTCTTGAACTTCACTTATGGGAGTTCCCACCATGCCTACATTATCCACTGTAGAGTATAAAACAATATATTTTATTTTAAATGCAGTAAAAAAATTTTTTTCAAGTGATATACTTAACACAGATACCTTAAACTTGTTTCCCACACTGATGAAGCTAAGTTTTCCTGCTTTTTGTTTAGTGTCTTTGTTGTTATTTGTGGATGATTCAAATAATTCCCGTATAAACTTATCTCTGGATTCACATATTAAGGATTCAAGAGACATATGTAAAGCATCATTATTTTTTTCCACAAACTGGGTCTGAAAAACAAAGCAAACATGAATGATTCGATCCATCTTGAGAAATGTCCCTTAACGCAGCACCGTTCAGAACCTCCTGGGATGACAGGAACGTCCCACATGCGCATTGCACAACACAGTCACCACCAGCCAATGTGCACACTGAGCGCCTGAAGTGGAGCCAAAATACTGAGGAAATACATTTTAAATTCTATTTTTTAATTTAATTTCAATTCAAATAGCCAGATGTGGTGCAGGTTATCATATTACATGGCACAGCTTCAACATCAAATGGTTCTCTCCTGGGACAAGTTATACTCACTGTTTCATAGCACACGGCCCCTGCAAAATGCCTGATGATGAAGCCTTCGTCATCTCTGATGTTCCTATGAACTGCCAGCTTAGATTTTCTGGGAATCTAAAAAAACAATACATAGATCAGTTATTAAACTACCAAAAATATATTACATAATGCTCTTTAGAGAACATGTAGGATGTGAAATACTTAAAGTTACAAAAGAAATTTTCACATTGAATGCAGTTATATTGCTTTTTAAGTATCTAGTAAATCTTAAAGTATAAGTGAAATCTAGCAAATAATTGTTTATATAATCTCTAAAGAAGACCAAAAAAATAATAAATCACACTATTTAAAAGCACATGCAAAACATAATGGGCATTTTATAAAGTTACCTGCCTGTCAAAAGGAGTGTTTCTTGACCTTGGCTGCTGACTTAGAATCACCTGGAGAACTTCTAATCCTGCCAAAGCCCACCCATGACATTGACATCAGGTGATTCCTACATGCAGCCAAGGTCGAGAAACACTGCTCTAGAGAAACACCGGAAAGCACTGGGACTCACTTTCCAACCGTTTTAAACCAAACATCCTAACATGTTTACACAGTTAGCCTGAATCTATTTGAAGAAAACTAAACCATTTCAGGATTGTACTATCTAATTATAATATCCCATATTTGTATCGTATTTAAAACTTTCCAAAATGGTTCACATAAAAGATAAAAGATCACAGCATGGAGGGACCTGGAAATGATTATGATAAGCAAAATAAGCCAGTCAAAGAAAGACAAATATCACATGATCTCATTTATATGTGGAATCCAACGAACAAAATAAACTGATGAATAAAATAGAACCAGAGGCGTGGAAACATGAAACAGACTGGCGAATCTCAGAGGGAAGGAGGAGGTGGGGGCAGGAAGAGATTAACCAAAGAATTTCTATGCATATATGCACTGCCCATGAACACAGACAGTAGGGTGCTAAATGGCTGGGGTGAGGTGGGAACCTGGTGGAGGGGAGCAATGAGGGGAAAAAGAAGGGGACATCTTTAATACTATCAACAAAAAAGATTTTTTTAAAAGATCACAACTGACTCTCAAAATAACCTAAGGTTAAGAAAGACAATCTCATTTAAAAATGAAAAAGCTGTCCGGCCAGTGTGGCTCAGTGGTTGAGCATCGACCCATGCACCAAGAGGTCGCTGGTTCGATTCCTGATCAGGACACATGCCCAGGTTGTGAGCCCGATCCCCAGTGCAGATGCAGGAGGCGGCCAATCAATGTTCTCTCTCATCAATGTTTCTCTCTCCCTCTCACTTCCTCTCTCTCTAAAATCAATAAAGGAAAAAAATTAAATTAAAAAAATAATAAAAAATAAATAAATAAAAATGAAAAAGCTAAGACTCTGGAACCTCACCAGGTGTCTTCAGGGTGAGGGAACTAGCAGACCACAAAGCCTCTCCTCTGTGTGAGGTAATAAAGAGCATGACAGAGAGTGAGGGCCCTGGAGTCAAAATGCCTGGCCTAATTCTCACCACTTTCCTCACTATGCTGAGCACGACTGGTCAACAGCCTCTCTGTGCATGCCTCATCTCTAGCAGGTGATGAAGACAGAATCTACCCTCAGAAGATTATTATGAGGATTAAATAAAATAATTCAAGTAAAATCCTTAGAAGATTGCCTGGCACATGCTAAGTGTTCAATACATGGTTATTATTACTTTTATTCCCAAAGAAATATAACAAAAATAATGGTCTGTACCAATTAGAATTTACCATCTTGCTCTGTTTTGAGAAATGTGGCCAAAGCCCATCCCAGAGGCTTTAGTTTGCTGTCCTTGGAGTTATATGTCTGAGACTCTGGTCACAATTTTGTTGACCAGCAATCAGTACCTTTGGTAAAGATGACCACAGATCCACAGGCTGGTCATAACAAAGACCAATAAGCAATGAATAATAAGATTGTAGATATATCTTCAATCTTGGCAAAAGTTTTGATGAGGATACATACTGTTTTATTTCTACCTCTACTGAAGCAAGAGAAATAGGCTCCACATCACCAGAAATATTTAAGGATATGGAAGTGGTCCAAGTCCATGGAACCCAGGTGGTTGTAGGACCCTGTCTCTAGAGCAGGTTATGGCAATTACATCAGCTTTTCAAGTAAATGCATTCAACCTATTTACCTAACACATTCTACTTTAATTAATCATGTGAGAAGATTTGTCATCATTCACTTAAGCTCATGAACCATTGAAGCAATGATTATTATATGACACTACAATTTTAAAACAATAAACAATATGGGAGGCATTTGCAACTCTAAGCAGTTTTTCTTTATTTTTTTTTGTTGTTGTTCACTGTAAGATGAGGGAGCACCTATCTTCATGAATAAAATTATAGTAGTCCCCCCTTATCTGCATGGGACATGTCCCAAGACCTCCAGCGGATGCCTGAAACCACGAATACTACTGAACCCTATATATACAATGTTTTCCCCTATATACACACATAGCTATGATAGTTTTAATTTACAAATCAGGTACAGTATGAGATTAACAACAATAACTAGTAATAAAATAGGACAATTACAATAATATACTGTAATAAAAGTTATGTAAACCTGGTCACTCATTTCAGGGGATCCCTTCCTGAAGTCTCTGCGTAGGCTCAATGTTTCCTATTGCAACACAACACCATCAATCTGAACATGTTTTCAGTCATGTCCTCCACCCACAAATTTAATGCCTTTTCCATCTTAACTAAGCACTTATAATACACTGTGGCTGTAACTTCTGCACTCTGAGGCACAACAGCAAAACTAACACAACTTTCTTCTTCCTTCTTCACAATTTGTGGATCTTAGGAACCTCAGCCTATGACGTATTCTTTTTCTTTATTAAGAACTCTCACCTTAAAGAAAGCACCTTGATGGCTTCTCTGTGGCATATCTGAATTGCCAGCATCACTGCTCTTGTGCTCTGGTGCCATCAGTAAGTAAAATAAGGGTTGTTCGAACACAAGCACTGCTACACCATGACAACTGATAATGGACACGGCTACTAAGTGGATACGGTGAACAGAGGGATGGTTACTGTCCCAGGCAGGATGGAACAGGACAGTGCCAGATTTTATCATGCTACTCAGAACAGCATGCAATTTAAAATGTGTGCATCGTTTATTCCTGGAATTTTCCATTTAGTATTTTCAGATCAAGATTGACCATGAGTAGCTGAAACCGTGGATAAGGGGGAGACTACCGTACAACCATAGTGCTAGTCAGCTCTTTCTGGGCACAAGGAGTTGTGCTTACAATATCTCAGGTGATGATAGTTGCGTGTCAAGATGAACACATAATTAGGTGAACAGGAAACACCAACAGCCACACAGTCCACACTTGAGGAAAATGGCCTCCTGTTCTTTGCCTCAGTGATTCGTGCACAGCTCTAGGACCCAATAGCGGTTCAGGAAACCAGGTGTTCCCACCCTTTTAGAAGGGTACTTCTCATTCATTTCTACTGCTCTCTGTGTCTGTTTTTCCTTTTAACTAACTCTATTGCTTCAGCTTTTATGTCTGTCTCTGAGTATATTTTCCATTCACAACGCCCTAGGAAAGAGCATCAGAATGAATTGGCTAGTCACTAACATGGGTTGCTTCCACCAGTCAGACTCGAAGCCACACACTTCACTGCTGGTCTTACAAACGTGCAGACAAGTGGTTGCTGTGTCTCTGGATGCTAACACCTGGGACGTGAGCAGGTCATGATACAGAACAAAGCAGCTGATGGCCACTTAGCTCAAAAGGGAGAACATAAAAACAGCAGGTACATCATTTGGTATGTTTTAGATAGGTGAAATGCATTTTACATCCAGCTAAAAGGGCCTTAGGTAGATCATTGTCTTCAAATATATATATATCTTAATTAATTAATATATTAAATGTCCATCTACAGAAGATGCTGTGCTGGATAAATTACAGTTACTCTAAGCCCTACATAACTTATGGTTCAAATTATTGGATCTCTAGTACATCTTTCTACAGGCGTCTCTCCCCAGCAGAGTCTACATTCCGGAACGGCAAACTCACGGTGAGTCGGAAGTGATCCTTGTGCTTCTGGTGAACTGCGGATGTAAAGTGTTGATCACTGGGCTGGGGAAGGCGATTTTCTTCATCCAAAATATCCAATATTCCCACTAATTTTGCTTCAATTAAATCTATTTCAAAATAGTAAAATATGATAAGGTTAAAAGCAACACTTTAAAGATGTGAATAATTTACTAATCACAAATTGCAAGGACTGGTCAGGAACAACGTAAAAGGATTCTGTTAAGTATTCTCTCAAAAACTATACAGAGCAGGTAAATGTTATTTCAAATCTGTTAATTTATTAGAAAGTAGCATCATATAGTTAATATAGTTTTTAAAAAACAACCCCTTGAAGAAAGTGACGAATGTAATAACCACTCCATTTATAAGTGAGGACAAGAGGCTAAGGATCCAGAAATTCCTCCTTTTCCAGATGACATCTACATTCACAATGATGTAAAAACTACAGAAGCTTCTGCATGCATAGCTTTGTAAAACTGCTGATAGATATTTAGCCAGTTTCCAGCAATTCATGTTGTTTGAATTCCCTGCTTGTCCACAATAACTGTAAAATGTAAACTGCTTGAATGCAGAATAGAACTGTTAAATGAACAGACTCTAAAAGCTATAGGACAAATGAAGAGAAACCGAGGTTCTAGCTGCACTGGTCAGAAAATTACGCTTGTAGGGCAGTAAGTGGTAGTGAAGAGGGTCGGGCATGCTGAACTAAGCTAGACAGAGCACTCTGATGTCGAGGCTGTGGAGGTAACTGAAGGAGAGGAGTTCCAGCCAAAGGCACAGAGATCTGAGAAAGGATAGGGTACACAAAAGGAATGTTGATAGGATGTAACAGTACTTTGGAAAATTATACTACTATAAAGAATTATTCTAGCCCTGGCCGGTTTGGCTCAGTGGTTAGAGCGTCCGCCTGCGGTACGGAGAGACCCGGGTTGGGTTCCCGCTAAGGGCATGTACCTCGGTTGCAGTTTGTCCCTGGCCCTGGTTGGTCGTGCGGGAGGCAGCCACTCGATGTGTCCCTTTCACATCGATGTTTCCCTCTCTCTCTCTTCCTCTCTCTCCCTCCCACTCTGTCTGTATAAGAAATGGAAAAAAAAAAAAGAATTATTCTAATAATACTATCTTGTCGCCCTGGCCGGTTTGGCTCAGCGATTAGAACATCGGCCTGCGGTTCAGAGAGACCCGGGTTCGGTTCCTGCTAAGGGCATGTACCTCGGTTGCAGTTTGTCCCCGGCCCTGGTTGGGTTGTGAGAGTGGCAACCACTCGATGTGTCCCTTTCACATCGATATTTCTCTCTCTCTCTTCCTCTCTCTCCCTCCCACTCTATCTGAACAAAAAATGAAAAAATGTCCTCGGGTGAGGATAAAAATAAAAAATACTATCTTGTCCAAATCTAGCACACAAGTTACTGACTCAGTTGTCAAAATGAGTTTTAAAAACTGTTACTGGACCGAACCAGGTCCAATTACCCAGCGGTTGTCAGCCAAAAAACATCTCCGATCAGATTTTATGAGAAGGAATGTATGTTATTGCACTCCAGCAGGCAAGAACACACCTGGGGGTGGGGGCTCGCATCCCAAAGTGGCACATCCTGAACAAGGGATAGGATTTGGCCTGATCTGGAGAAATCGTGCATACACATCAAGGTGAGCTTCAGGGTCGCATGTATGGGGGGGGTCATTCCTGTGTTTGCACAGTTAGAAAACATGCCTACACATACATCCATGTTCAAAATGGCAGAAAATCTCCACCTCTGGGAGGATATTTCGTATTATAATGAGAATAGTTCATGCACAGGTCAGTACACAGTCCTCCAGGCCACTTCAGCCAGCCTCAGGCAGCCTGAGCCAGATCAGAACCCTGGATCTGCAAATCAGCCTGGGCTTACCCCTGAAAAAGCACTGCTGGCGATCATCACCCTCAGGGATGGCACAGGTACGGAAGGAAGTTTAACCAATCACGTCTCAGCCCTTCTATTACATTTAGCAAATTAAAGGATATGCTTACACAAACCTTATAGCACCCAGGGTGATCTAGGGGGGTTTACAGGTTAATCTAAACAAAGTTATAAACTCTAAATAAAAGTGACAATCAACAGTTCATTTTAGAGATGTTGTGGGAGAGAAAAGGAAGTCTGAGCACTTGCAGGGTAGACAAAGAAATGAATACAGACAAGAACAGAGAGCCTACTCCCATGCACAGTAGTATCTGTGACACACAGAAGTCGTGAGGCCCACTTGCAACCAGCCAGGGGGTGCTACCAACGCACAGAAAACGGAAGTGAGAGCGGCCGAACAGCGGAGCCAAACCCTGTCAGACCTCACCTGGAGCCCGGCTCAACACGAACTTCCCCGGGACAGATCACAGATCCCTTTGCTGCTTAAGCAACTACACACCTGTTAGCTATTTGGGAAAGAAACCATAACTCTAGAAACGTACATAATATTGAATGTCAACTGTAACTGAAAAACTTAAAAAAAGAATATAAAATATTCATCACAGTAAATAAAATAATTTTTAGGAAAACTTTCAACGTATCTGAATTTGATGCCGTAGTAGAGAAAATAACTTCCTAGCAATATTAAAGAAGTAAAACCTCTCTGAAATACCAGTTTCGATAAGTTCTCACAGCCAATAATATCAATCACAGAGCACAGAAAAATTACTAGTAAAAGCATTCACTGTATCTTCCCAGGTTTCCCAAAAGTGGAGTGAAAAAAATACATACCTATACAATCCTGATTGTCCACATAATGCACTTCATTAACACCTAAACCTTCTTTTTGATAGAGCTCTTGTTCCTAAAATGAAATAATCATGACCATAGATATGGAAATACCACGTGACACACAATGGATTTGTTTTGTGCCATTTCTGATCATAACGTTTATTTGATTGGTCAGAATACAAAAGTTCATATAGACTAGTTTGGGGGGCTGGGGAGTATACAAAACATCGGGGAAGCAAAATCCTTGTCCCTAAAGCAATGTGAAGTCAAAAATTAAATGGCCAACGAAACATCTGATTTACTATGCGCAAACATTCCCTCCTGCAGATAAGCACTCTTTTCTTGAGAAATGGAAGCAGCTATGCACAAATCTGTGGATGAGCACTCACAGCCCAGGAAGACCAGGGCTCTGAAATATTTCAGCAATTTTAAAGTCAAATCTTTCAGGAGAATAAACCAGGGCACAGCACATTTTTTTTCTGCAAAGAGCCAGAGAGCGTATATATTCAGCTGTGACCACACTGTCTCTGTCACAACCACTCAGTTAGCCACTGCAGCATGAAAGCAGCTACACGTAACAGTAAAAGAAGAAGGGAGGAAAGGAAGAATTTGGATCTATTAAGTGAGAGCATACTGGTCAGACTTCATATAGTAATGGAAGAACTTAAGACATTTTCAGAGAAACTATCTTAACTGAGAAGTACTTGTTTGACCTATTTATTTATGGCACAGCTGCTTTAACTATAGTATGCAAGTAAAGATATAAATGCTGGAATGTGCTGGGAAAGCCATAAAGACAAAAACATAATAAAAATGTGGGAAAAGATGAGTGGAATGGGAATAGAAACAAAAACATTTCACATTTCCAGTCCAGATATAGCAGAGAACAGAACTTAGAAAACAGCAGTGCAAATATAAAGAAAATACACTGTTGTGGGCCAGCAGCCAGGAAAGGGGGTTCAATCTACAGAAATCAATGGACTGTTCTGGGAATTCATTTCTTCATCTGTAAAATGAGGGGCTGGACCAGATTACTTCTGAGTTGTCTTTTACTCTACTACTTCTATTCAGTAGAACATACCTCAAACAGTTCAAAGGAAGGGAAGTCAAAGGAATTGGTAGGAAAATAATGGAGAATTCAAATACAAAGGGGAAAATGGTGAGCCTTATCACAAATCAACTGACCCAAAGCTACCTTCACTCTCTCTGTACTCTACACAATTATAAGGTAACTTTCCTAGACTCGGACTGTGAGTGTCAGCCACATCCATAGTTAGTTACTACAAGGAAGTTCCTTATGGGATTGGAGATGGTGTCCGGCTGAAGCCACTGTTCACAGGCGACTGGCAAGGACAGCACTGCCCAGAGGCACTCCAGGCCAATGGCTCACTGAACCTCCTGATTTGGTGGCTTTCCTGCCACACACAGAGAGAGCAAGCAGGTAGCAGAAATGGCAGGAGCAGATGACAGAGGAAGGGTGGGAGATGCCACTGTCAGGGAAAAAGTAGAAAGCTGACTGGCAGTGGGGGAGTAAACACAACAGGAACAGAAAAAAGAACAAGTAGAATTTCAAGTCCAGTAAAAGTCACTAGTAAGAAGCAATACATGTTCACTTCTGAAGAGGTGCCTACTAGAGTTTTTACTGGGTCCTTAAGCTTCACCTGTACCAGTAACACGTCTGACATGCCTGAGCATCAGCTAAGACACTGGGACCTATGCTAGGCGGCTCTGATTCCCTGGGCCACCTTACATTACAGCCATCAACCAGGGTAACTTCAACATGCCTCTGTTCCCTAAAACCTAAAACAGCTTAATGTAGTTCTTAAATTTAAATTGTAATGGTAATTACCTCCTTCAGAATCCTTTCGTTGAAAAATTGTTGAAGTTTTTCATTGCAATAGTTGATGCAAAATTGTTCAAAACTGTTATGTTCAAAGTACTCTGAAAACATAAAACCAAAATCAAGAGTCATCATCAGATCAACTTCAATTTATCTTGGGATAAAACTGTATTGTATCAATGCTTAATTTCAGTTTACTATATATATATTTATATATATATATATTATATATATATTATATATATATATATATATATATATATAAATAATTGCTCTGTACTCTCCAAATACTCATTCCAAGGCTTAAATATTATTAGGCATTAAAATTAAGTATTAAAAGTACCTTTCTTGACAAAAAGGTATTTGTCAGCTGAGCTAAATGTCATTAAATGTAACATCACTTGAACATAATTTAAGCACAGGTGTTAAAGTAATCTAAATTAATTAAAGAAAATTACAAAATGCATCTTTTATATTTCATATTTTTCTGTGTAATCTGTAAAATTAACTAACTCATTTCTAAAATTAAGGGGTTGTATTACATTATCTCTAAGAACCCTGCAGCTCTAAAATGTTATGATTCTGTGTACGTGTTAACAGACTAGGAAACACATGTCTAAATGTAAAATCTTAAGTCAGTGAGAACAAAAGGTAACGATTTATTATTCATTTTAAAATAAGTATCACATTAAAACAAAACTCTGCCCCTCTCAAAATGTAAACATTCAGACCTCCCCTTGGCAAAGGTACACACACCACAAAGGAGGAAAGTACTACTCATGCACAACCAGAAGGAACATCCACACTGATAAAGCCCAATATAAAAACAGTCAGATTTACTTTGAAATTTTTACAACACAGTCATTCAGGACAAAGTAGCCTTCAGATGTTGGTGAGTCATTCCATTTTTGGTTGCACAGCTCTGCAGTTGTTCTCAAATATTCATCTTGATCTATTATTCACTTAGTGGAAACTAACTGGAAGTAGCTATCTGTTGACAATTAACACTAATGATAAATTTTTACACATAGTAATGAGTTTGGTCTATGAGTTAGATCAACCTTTACCCAGCTCTACACTGTGGTCAATGGTTTTAATGACTTAATTCTGTTTATCTGTAGCACTCAGCACTTGACCTTTACTCAGCTGCATTCATGTAAGAGTACTGAGATATCTATCTCTTAACTACAGCAGTACCCTCAACAACATTATTTTGTTGTAACACTGATGAAAAAAATTAATTCCCAGCCAGGGTGTTTGAGTTTGCCCAGTGATGGAAGAATGTCTTGTGGGGGGAGGTTTCCACCTTGCGCCCTGAGCTGCCAGGATAGGCTCTGGCCCCTCGAGTCCCTGAATTGGACAAAGTGGTTTAGAAAAAAAAATCCTCTTACATGTTTTTATTCATCTTTCGTAAATGTATGTATAGCTCACATTTATTGCAATGTTTAACATTAGAAATGTTGGGGTCTTTATTTGGAAGTTTGGTGATGTTTTTGTGACCAAAAATAGGCCTAGTAACTTAACTCTTGTTCATATCAATTAGCCTGTGGTAAAAATGAGTTCATTATACATCTTCTCACTTAAAGTCACAGCTTCCAAGAACCTATTGACAACATTGAATGAGGACTTCCTGTAGAGTGGTTTCAATCAACATGTTTTAATTTTAGCATTAGTGTGACCAAAACCCATGAGTCTTTCCTTTTTTTTTTTTTAAGCATCAGCTTCCTATTTAAGTCATATTATGAAATGAAATGTAGGTAAGCACGTATAACTGAAAACACATCAAGTGAAAGGTAATATGAGGGGCAGTTATTTTTTTAATTTTAAATGAGGGAAAAAAAACTGAATGAAAGAAAAAAATCAAACTAACTACAAACACACAAACAAAGCTATACTTACCAAAACCAGCAATATCTAGAACTCCAATAAAATAAGATGATGTTTCAAAAGGAAAACATTGATTTACTCTGTTTACCACGTGATCAAAAAGATGGCTATAGACAGTCTTTGCCAAGGCATCTCGAGCATTGTTTGCCTGCTCCACCTTCAGGGGTACCCTATAAAAGAAGACTTGTCAGTGAAAATCCTTCATAGTGATATATTATAAAAATAATGCCAGATACCCAAGATCAAAGTGTATCTGAATGTGTTCACTGTGAAGAACAAAATAGTTACAAAAGGTCCTTTTTAGATACACACAGACAAATGGGGTTAAGTACAGAGAAGAACTAACGGAATTATCTACAACCTGATTTTTTTAAAAATCTATTATTAAGTAAAGGAATTTCAGGCTCAAAATTCTTTTTCATCTCAATTTACACTTCACTGCACATGCAGAATATATAAAAATTATTCAGAGGAATAATCTTCCTTTTGACCTCTCGTAAATGCAAAAAAAAAATGTGTTTCATTTGGGATAACTTTAAAAGTTCAGTAACGTGTTTAACATTGCTTAGAAAAAAATGTTGATGTCTTAAAATTTGAACTCTATAATTTAATATAAGTAACTACCTGGTATAACAGTATTAGATGTTGGAGATACAGACACACAGCCCTTGTCCTCAAGAAAATGATAAAATGCCCTGGCCAGTGTGGCTTAGTTGGTTGGTTATCATCCCATGTACCAAAAGGTTGCTGATTCAATTTCTGGACATTGAGTACATGCCCAGGTTGTGGCTCAATCATCCGTGAGGGGCATGCAGGAGGCAGCCCACTGATGTCTCGCTCTCACATACATGTTTCTCTCTTCTCCCTTCCTCTCCCCCTAAAAATTAATAAACTATTCTTTAAAAAGAAAATGATAATCTGATGAAGAAAGACTGCTCATAAAAGAGACTATCCAAACGCCATGCTAAATGCTATCATAAATGTAAGTATGAGGACCATGAGAGCACCAGAAATCCTTATTTTAATTTGTTGAAAATTTTTCTGAAATATGTCGCTGGAACTCACAGCCTGCCTTATATAACAAGGGATGGAGGATCTGACTATTTCTTCACAAAGGAAGATCTTACTGTGCCTCAGAATAATTACTGAATATCCATTTATTTTTTTTTTATTTTCCCTTCATTTTTTTTATTAATTATTTTTGTTACAGATGTTTCCCCTTTTCCCCCACTGATTAACCCCTCCCCCTTCCTCCCCACCCTGTCCCCAGCTTTGTTGTCCATGTCCATTGTTCATGCACACATGCATATAAGTTCTGTGGATTATCTCTCCCCCACTACCCCTTCTTCTGGGGAGTATCAGTCTGTATCCCACTTCCACGTCTCTGGGACTACCCCCATTTCTCAGACTGTTATGTTCATTATATTCCACAAATAAGTGAGATCATATAATACTTGTCTTTCTGTTTGGCTTGTTTCGCTTAGGATGATACTTTCCAGGTCCCTCCATGTCATCTCAAAGGATAAAAGATCTTTCTTTCTTATAGCTGCATAGTACTCCATTGTGTATATGTACCACTGCTTTTTTATCCATTCTACTGATGGACATTTGGGCTGTTTCCAGATCTTAGCTATTGTAAATAGTGCTGCTACAAACATGGGGGTACATATATTCTTTCTGATTGGTGTTTCAGGCTTCTTAGGGTACATTCCTAGAAGTGGGATCATTGGGTCAAATGGAAGTTCAATTTATAATATTTTGAGGTAACACCATATTGCTTTCCATAGTGGCTGCACCAGTCTGCATTCCCACCAGCAGTGCACTAGAGTCCCCTTCCTCCACACCTTCGCCAACACTTGTTGTTTGATGATTTCTTGATGGCAGCCATTCTGACAGGTGTGAGGTGATACCTCACTGTTATTTTAATTTGCATCTCTCTGATGATTAGTGATGTTCAGCATTTCTTCATATGTCTCTTAGCCATTTCTATGTCCTGTTTGGAGAGGTGTCTATTTAGTTCCTCTGCCCATTTTTTAATTGGGTTCTTGGTCTTCCTTTTGTTGAGTTGTATGAGCATCTATATATATTGGAAATTAACCCCTTATCCGATATATCATTGGCAATTATGCTCTCCCATATAGTGGGTTGCCTTTCCATTTTGATGATTGTATCTTTTGCTGTGAAGAAGCTTTTGAGTTTGATGTAGTCCCATGTGTTCATTTTCTCTTTTGTTTCTGTTGCCTTAGGTGATGTATCAATGAAAATTCTGCTGCATATGATGTCTGAAATTTTGTTGCCTATAGTTTCTTCTAGGATTTTTATGGATTCATGAGTCACATTTAAGTCTTTTATCCATTTTGAGTTTATTCTTATGTATGGTGTAAGTTGATGGTCTAGTTTCATTTTTTTGTATGTAGCTGTTCAATGAATATCCTTTTTATTTTACAGTACTGAAAACAAAAATACTTAAAACACAGGATATGGAGCCAAAAGTGTACATAGGCCCAGATACAACCCAGCCTCTTCCCTAGACTCTTATTTTCCTATCATTTGTAATTTCCTCTAAATGAAGAATACTAAGTAAGGGGAAATTCCATTTGCTGAGTGTTTTATTATAGCAATTTCTACTTAATGGAAATTTTAGTACATGCCATTTGCAAGGAAAATCACTTTTAAAGTAAAGTAAATGATCGGCAGCCTTCTGGAACTAAATAATGGTGATGATTGCACAACTTTATAATTATACTAAAAATCACTCAATTGCATACTTCAAAAGAGTATATGATACGGCCAGTGTGGTTGAGCATCGACCAATGCACCAAGAGGTTGCTAGTTTGATTTCTGGTCAGGGCACATGCCCAGGTTGTGGGCCTGATCCCCAGTGGGGGGCATGCAGGAGTGGGCCAATCGATGTTCTCTCTCATCAATGTTTTTCTCTCTCTCCCTTCTTCTAATATCAATAAAAATAAATAAATAAAAAATTTAAAAAAGAGTATATAATAGCCCAGCTAGTGTGGCTCAGTGGTTGAGCATTGACCCATGGACCAGGAGGTCACTGATTCAATTCCCAGTTAGTTCAATTCCCAGGTGGGGCACATGCCCGAGTTTTGGGCTTGATCCCCAGTGGGAAGCACACAGGAGGCGGCCAATCAATGTTTCTATCCCTCTTTCTCCCTCTCCCTTCCTCTCTGAAAAAAATAAATCAATGAAACTTAAAAAAAAAAATTTTTTTTCCCTATATTGATTTTAGAGATAGAGGAAGGGAGAAGGAGAGAGAGACAGAAACACTGATGAGAGAGAACATCGACTGGCCACCTCCTGCATGCCTCCACTGGGGATCAGGCCCATAACCCAGGCATGTATCCTGACTGGGAATTGAACCAGCAACCTCTTGGTGCATAAGCCAATGCTCAACCACTGAGCCACACCGGCCAGACAATAATAAAACTTTTTTTTTAAAGAATATATTTCAAAATGTAAAGTTCTGAAAAACTGGGGGGAAAAAATGACCTGTCACCTAAAATAAATATTAACAGAATCAACTCATACAGGGTGGGGCCAGAGTAGGTTTACAGTTGTTTGTATGAAAAGTGATACAATAACTAATAACAAATAATACATGAACAAACTCTGTTTCGCATACTGACAACTGTAAACCTACTTTTGCCCCACCCTGTATTTTCATATTGTACAAAAGTAAACCTCTCTCTTACCTTATAAATTCCCATTTTGTGCCATGTAGTATATCTATAAGGAACAACTTTAAGAGCTATGAAAGTCAATGCTAATTTTTATGATGGATTACTGTGGTGAGATGCACAGAATTTTGGTCTATCAAGTACACGTTTTATAACATTATAATGAAAAGAATGAATAATACATAAAGATGAACTTTAAATCTCAGTGCTCTCAAAAACAGACTTTTCCTTGACAAACCCCAAGACAGGATTTTTACACGGCAGAGGCACTTACTTGATAACTGTTCCTTTGGTGCCCCCTGCTGTTGTCAGCATGACTCTTGTAGTTAAACTTACGCGAAGATCATCTTGATCCAAACCCAGTAATTCAGCACAGTATTCCAAAGACTGAGTAGACTTATTCTTCAGATTACAACCACCTAGTGAAAATGCATTTTAATTTGAAATTAATAAACATTATATTAACCATATTTTCAAGACCTTCAAATGATGAAATAGATAAAACTCATTTATGACCCTACAAATAAAAAAATACTAATGGTCAATGATAATTCTTGCTAACATATTAAATCTCTAAAGAAATGCAGTGCCTTATCATTAAAATTCCTATGACTACAGAAAATTTCAAGGAGTGATTTTAGTGGTGAATGCTGTGAAGCACTTTAGTAAGTGTGTGTGTGTGTGTGTGTCTGTGTGTGTGTGTGTGTGTGTGTGTGTGTGTGTACCCATGAGTTCATACTGCCTGGGGACAGAGGAGGAGGGTGAGGAGGCAACTGCTACAACCTGTACATTATATCTACAGACTTTTATTTATGGAGGCTATTTTAAAAAATATTAAATAGAAAGATGTTATACCATAGTGCTTTAGACCCTGGGTTGATATGGCTCTACAACTTACTAGCTGTGACCCTGAACAAGTTATTTACTCTCTCTGTGCTCCCTATCTTCATCCATATAATAAAAATAATAAAGCTGTTATGAAGTTTAATAAAGTTACATATGTGAAGTGCTTGGAATAGTGCTCAATACATTGTAATCATTATATAAAGGTTAACTATCTTTATTGTTAGTACTGATGTTAAAAATAATAAATATTTCATTAATATTTTAAGTTTTAATGATCCTAAATGATTTATTTCAAGACCAATTTCAAAACTACATATGAGAATCACAATGAGAATTTTATCAAAACTTATTAGTAAACTATTAAATACACAGATCTCAGAAGAAACAGACCTTGAGATTTTATATGAATAAGGGGTTGTCAACCTGGCCGGTTTGGCTAAGCGGTTAGAGCGTCGGCCTGCGATTTGGAGAGACCCGGGTTCGGTTCCCGCTAAGGGCACGTACCTCGGTTGCAGTTTGTCCCCGGCCCTGGTTGGGTTGTGTGGGTGGCAGCCACTCGATGTGTCCCTTCACATTGATGTTTCTCTCTCTCCTTCTCTTCCTCTATCTCCCTCCTACTCTATCTGAACAAAAAAATGGAAAAATGTCCTCACGTGAAGATAAAAGAAAAAAAAGAAAGAAAAAAAAGGGGTTGTCAAGACAAGTCATTGGGGGAAAGAATAGTTTTTTGAACAAATGGTCCTGGAAAAACTGGACATCCACATGCAGAAGAATGAGGATGGACACCCACTTCACACCATACACAAAAATTAACTCAAAATGAGTCAAAGACCTAAATGTAACCTAAATCTATTAAACTCTTAGAAGAATATACAAATAAAACTCTTAAGGATCTTGTAGTAGGTATGGTTTTTTAGACAAGGCAACAAAAGCACAAGCAACAACAACACAAAAAAGATAAACTAAATTTCATCTAAAAAAAAACTTGTGGCCCTGGCTGGTTTGGCTCAGCGGTTAGAGCGTCAGCTTGCGGTCCCGAGAGACCCGGTTCCGTTCTCACTAAGGGCATGTACCTCGGTTGCAGTTTATCCCCGGCCCTGGTTGGGTCATGTGGGTGGCAGCCACTCGATGTGTCCCTTTTACGTCGATGTTTCCCTCTCTCTCTCTCTTCCTCTCTCTCCCTCTCGCTCTATCTGAACAAAAAATAAAAAAATGTCCTTTGGTGAGGATAAAAAAAAAAAAACACTATCCAAGATTTGAAGACAACCCATAGAATGAGAGAAAATATTTTCAAATTATATATCTGATAAGAAATGTATATCTAGAATATATTTAAGAGAACACAACTTGATAATAAAAGGACAATCCAATTAATAAATGGACAAAAGATACAAATAGACATTTCTCCAAAAAGATATAAAAATGGTCAATAAAGCCATGAAGAGTTGCTCAACATCATGAGCTATCAGGAAAATGCAAACAAAAGCCACAAAGAGGTAAACACTTCACACTCACTAGGATGGTGTTGGTGAGGATGTGGAGAAATACTGTTGATAAGAATGTAATGGTACGGCTATTTTGAAAAACAATCTGATGAAATTTCCTCAAAAAGTTAATTCCAGTTACCTTATGACTCAACAATTCCAGTCCTAGACATATACCCAAGAGAAATAAAAACATATCCACACAAAAACTTGTACACAGATGTTTATAGCAGCACTATTCATAACAGCCAAAGACAGAAACCCAAATGTTCATCAAATGATAAGTGAATAAACAAAATATAGTATATACATACAATAAAATATTACTCAGCAATAAAAAAAAATACAGACACAAAAACAAATTCACAAAAAAACACATATTGTATGATTCAACTGATATGAAATGTGATAATAGGCAAACAGAGAGAGAGAAATTAGAACAGTGGTTGCCTAAGGCTGAGGGATTTATGAAGGAATGGGGGTTGGGGGTGACTGCTAAAGAGCGTGGAGTTTCTTTTGGGGGTTGAAATGTTCTAAAGCTGATTGTGCTTATGGTCACACAATACTGGATATACTAAAACCCAATGAATTGTACACTATTTTTTTAATGTTCTTATTGATATTTTTTAGAGACAAAGGAAAGGAGCCAGAGATAGAAACATCAATTGGCTGCCTCCTGCATGCCCCCTACTGAGGACTGGGGATCAAGCCCACAACCCGGACACGTGCCCTGATTGGGAATGGAACCAGGAATCTCAGGCCACGGGACGACACTTACTTAATCCACTGAGCCACACTGGCCAGGCTGAATTGTATACTTTAAATGGGTGAATTGTATGGTATGAATTATATTTCAACAAAGATGTTATTTAAAGGGGGAAAAAGAATACTTAGATTTACTAAACCTCTAACTCTGTAAAAATAAGTGTACTGTTAATTTTTCATTTCTACACACCTATGTGTTATCTAAAATTATATAACTGAAAAAAAAGATCACCAATAATTTGTTAATTCATTTAAATACTTCTTTTCTACTATTTTGTGAAGTTTCCTACACACTTCCGGAATTATGTAAAGCTAACATAAGAAAACATTTATTTTAAAAGTTTTTAAAAGGCGAAATGCTGTAAAATAATGTAAGGTTGTCATGTTTCTCCCCTCCAAAGAACTTCTTTGAACATTTAAAAGAAAGTTTTTGGTTATAATAACATATACTTTTGTTTTATGAAATTAGAAAAGCATGGAAAGTCCCAATAGAGATTTTCTGCATTTCCACCATGCAAAAACTATGCAGTAACAGTGTCTTCTACAAATCTACTGGAGAATAAATTTTCTAATAAAATAATTACCAAAAAAATTCAGAGCTTTTTCAGATTGTGAGGAAATGCCAAAATTGAGCTCTTTAGTGAGAAAAAAAGAGTCAATTCTAATTAGAAAGAAACTATTTGGGTCTATAGGAAGGGTCATAGGAAGGATGAAGAATAATATAAGTTTAGCTATTAAAATAAAGATAATCTTTTTTTATTAATTCTATTGATTTATTGCTTCATTCCAATTTTCTCGGCTTTCTGCTTGTTTTCCCTTCAACAGAAAAAAGTTTGAGAAGAAAAATAAAAGGATAATGTGAATATGTGCTCTGGGCCTTTTTACTGTTTTAGTGCTTTTCAACCATCTAGACCATGCCCCAGGTCTGATCCTCTACATACATGTGCGTGTTCTACGCCAGGATGACAGCTTGAGGTGGGAAAATGCTACAAATCCTCACAATCTGAAAAGGCTACCCCTTCTGAAACACTTCCAAAATTCGCATTAAATGTCCTCCTTTTGCCCTGGCCGGTTTGGCTCAGCGATCAGAGCGTCAGCCTGAGGACCACAGAGTCCGGGGTTTGGTTCCCGCTAAGGGCACGTACCTCAATTGCAGTTTTTCCCCAGCCCTGGTTGGGATCATGTGGGTGGCAGCCAATCGATGTGTCTCTCTCACATCTATGTTTCTCTCTGTCTCTTCCTCCTTCTCTCCCTCCCGCTCTATCTGAAGATAAATGCAAAAAACAAAAAACAAAAAAATAAATGTCCTACTTTTTTTGTGTTACTTAGAACTCCCACATGCTCCCTTGGTATAACAATGACATAGAGGAAATAAAATGTGTTATAACATTAATTACATTTTCAAAATAAATGTTAAAATTCCTCAAAAAAGAAAATCTAATTTAAAAAATTAAGGCACACTAGAACATAATTGGTTTTGCTTTTTTTCTCTCATTTTAAACTGGGAGTAATCTATATTTTTATTTTCATTACAAAAAAAATACTTATGCATTAAAAATACTCAGTGTGATTACTATGTGCCAGACATAAGTAGTCACATCATTTTACTAATATTTAACTCATTTGTTCCTCTTTATACCAGGAGGTAGGGTTGTTGTCCAGTACACAGGTAAGGAAACAGACAGGGAGAAGTTAAATTCCTGGCCCAAGGTCATGCAGGCAGTTAATAGATGGTGAACAGTCTGGTTCAAGAGCATGTGCTATTAAACACTACACTATGTTACATCTGTGCTATTGACTTCACAGCATCACAGGTCATTACATCTAAAAGTCATTAAGGCTGTCTATTTCAATCTGTTCATTCACAGATCACTTGGGAAGGTCAGTGACTAGGGGCACTGAGGGACAATTACCTGAGTTATTAAAACATGGGGAGAACCCAGCTCTCCCATCTACAATTTCATTAACAACCATTGTATTTAACTTATGCACAGGTTGCACTTGTGTAAAATGGAGATAATATCCCCTACCTCATTATCTTTATCAAGTTGAGATTACGACTATGATGTTCCTGATGAAATACAGTATAGAAAGGTTCTTGCACACAGCAGACACATTTTTAAATGTTATTTTTCCTTACTCTTGTATCTCTTCCCTAGATGCATGCGATTGCTAGAAACTACACTTTAAAAGCACTTCTCATGGACTATTTCTTCATTATTTTACAAATGAAAAAAACCAAGGCTCAGAGAGCTTCTGGGACCTGTCACCAAAGCCCCCATTATTGACTACTATATGAAATGGTGCTTTCAATTTTTTAACCCAGTAAAAGATATTTAAATAACATATTTATTTAGGAGTCAACAAGCTTCTTCTCTAAAGTGTCAGAGTTTAGGCTTTTCTGGCCACACAGTTTCTCTGTCACTACTCAGCTCTGCCACTGTAGCACAAAAGCTGGAACAGACAAGACATAAGTGAATGGGTGTGGCTGTGTCCCAACAACATCGCATTTACAAAAACAAGCCGCTGGTCAGATTCAGTCATGGGCCATAGTTTCCTAACCCCTCTGTTCACAGAACAAACTTAAGAGTATATAAAAATTCTTACTCTTTATATAAGACTGTACCACTAGAGTTGAAAAGTTACTATCATGCATGCATTTAAATGCTCTTTTCAACTTGCATAAAGCTCACCCTATTTTAATTTCTCAGTAATAAAGAATATGGGCTTTTGTGTCTTTAATTGTCCTAATTAATCTAAATTTAAATCAATGAACCTAAAAAATGTCAGTATACCTTAACAGATGGTAGAGAATTCTCCTGTTCATTAATTGGGAAAGTATAATATCAGTTACTTGTCCTTCATAAAATAAGTCTATTGCCCATCAGAATCACTAATTTCTTCAAAACAGAGCTCACAGTGATCAATAATGCTGCATCCTTCATTTGCATGATTCACCATGTAACACTATGTTCTAGAAATTTCAGGGTATTAACAAACCTGCACATGGATTTAATTCACACATGACAAAGAAATGACAGAACCTCTATTTGTACTCCCCCTTAAAACAAAGCAAAGCAAAACACAAGGATACCTGAACTGCTTCCAGCTTCCTCAAAATCAATATTCCCAAGATGCAGGACGCCAGCCACTACCCGGAACAGATCAAGCTTTTCTTCATCATCCAAACCAATCTTTTTCATGGCTGTGCACATTCTAATAAAATCTCCATGGTCATCTAACAGAGGATCCTTCAAAGAACCTGCCTTAAGATACTTTAAAATAAGAAGACGTCAATTAATTACACTTTATATGATTTAAGCATACTGAAAAAAAAAAAAAAAAAACTACACGAGGTCTACTGATGCACTATATAACATGCAAAAATAAAATGTGTTGATGGATAAATTTTAGTGTTCTAACAGATTCAAAAACTGAATGGCTAGGCAAAGTGTACACAGAATCTCTCTGAATAATTTCTTTCAACTGCATATGAATTTATTATCTCAATAATAATTTTAGTCAAAAATAGAATGAGATGTTTTCCAGTTAAATTATAATATTATCTCTAAAGCCTTATAATGCTAGGCTATTTGATAAAAATAAAAAATGAGTAAAAAAGAATGGAATACCAGTGGTTGGCATGAATCGACATGAACCATGGGTCAAAAGGAACTAAGGCAAAAAATTGTAAAAATTTTTTATGATTTAACATTATACTCCTTTAGGTGAACTGCCATCAACAGCCCTAATATTCACCAGCAGTAAAAAGTGAACAGGCTAATAACAGTTTTCATGGACTGAGAATTATTTTTTAAACCTTTCTGTGTAAGTATATATAAGGTAAAATGTATTAGTAAGCACTATGCTTACTCTGAGAATTTATGCAATGACTGAAAACGTTTCAGAAAAACAATGAAGAGAAAGTCTGCTTTCTCTCCTAAAAGAGCATGCATCTAAAGTATTCATTTGTTAGAGTCTATAACAAACTCAGAAAAACGAAGTAAAAAGTCAAGCCTGCAAAAACTAAAAGGAGAAAAGTAAAAGTTACTGGACACAGAAAGGTTGGACCAGAAATTTTCCAGAACTTGAGAATGAATAAATAAAATTAAAAATTAGGTAACACAGCACGAGAATTAATTGACCATTAAAGATGCCTCTAGAAGATGTTTCTTTTCCTCCCAGTTGCCTATTGTTTCTCAGTTGTGATTGCCTTCCACGAAATTCTTTAAGATGTTTAATTTAATGTGAAACTTCTGGAAAATGTCTAGATCAATAAATTTAATTTTATTCTTAAAAGCAGCAAAGGAAACAATCGCGTGCAGCCAAAGTCAACAGGAAGCACACATCTTGCAGAATTTTTAGTCTTGCAATGGAATGGTTACCTCATTTAAAAACTGTTTCAAATCAAATGTTAATAAATATATTGCTGTATGGAAGACTAAAAATACTGCACTCTCCTAAAACACAGCTTAAAGACACTCAGATGGAACTAGGCAAAGGATTCTAATTAGTCAAAGTGATCACCTCATCCTCCTGATAAAGAAGACATAAAATGTAATTTAAACATATTAATCCATAGTTCACTTATATATTTTTATATATAAACTCAATAATATGAATAAGATTCCTAACAAAGCATGCTGACATGAGAATCAGAAAGAGTACATTTTCTTCACAGGAGAGTACCAAGAGTACATGTTACTCTTTAAAGAGTATAATCCAGTTTTCTTTCCTCTCTACTCGATTATTCCATGCCTAAGGAAATGTCTGCATTATCTTAGTGAAAGAATACAATTTCTATATGTTGATGATGCTTTTAGAAAATATAAGATACCATGACGAAGGAAGAGACAATATTAACGTTACTTCTTTAAGTTCCAACCATGGATGAAAAAAAATAAACTGTGCAATTTATCATTCAGACTTCTGTGTCTCAAATGATAAATAAATGTCAACTTAAAAATGAAATGCTTAGGCCCTGGCCAGTTTCGTTCAGTGGTTAGAGCATCGCCTGTGGACCAGAGAGTCCCAGGTTCGGTTCCTAAGGGCACGTACCTCGCTTGCGATTGTATCCGGTCCCAGATGGGGTCCTGTGAGTGGCAGCCAGTCAATGTGTCTCTCTCACATCAATGTTTCTCTCTCTCTCTCCCTCCCTCCCCCCGTCCCTCCCTCCCTCTCTCCCTCTCTCCCTCCTGCTCTATCTGAAGATAAATGCAAAAATGTCCTCAGGTGAGGATAAAAAAAAAAAAATTAATTGCTTAAAATTCAAAATAATGGGAATTGTCATTTATTTTCTGTTCTTTTCTGTGAATATAATAAAGACATAATTCATCTCACTCATTTTGAAAGGAGTCAAAAGCATCTGACTCTGAGATGCAGGAGCATTAAAAACTGAGTACAGCCCTGGCTGGTGTGGCTCAGCTTGTTAGAGCAACATCCCATACACTGAAAGATCTCGGGTTTGATTCCCAGTCAGGGCATAGGCCCAGGCTGCAGGTTCGATTCTCAGTTGGTGTACATATGGAAGGCAACCAGTTGATGTTTCTCTCACACCAGTGTTTCTCTCTCTCCCTCTCCCTTCCTTCTCTCTGAAATTAATAAGATCCTCACATAAGCATTGAAAAAAATTTTAAAATTGAATACAATAAAAACTTTTCCAATTAAGTACTCAATTTAAATCTTTTAATAAAATTAATAAAGACAATAGAACTAGTCCCTATAATTAATCCTTACCTTGTATTTTATAATTTAAGCTCCTTGGGTAGACACAACTTCATACCATTTATTACTTAAACAATGCATATTAAAATTTATAAGGGTTGTAGTAGATGTTTAGATTAAGGATTTAACATTTTTAAAATAACACTTAACGGCATAATTATAAATAATGACTCTTGGAAATATAATAATTTAATAAGATCGACATACAAAACTTTTCAGAAAATATTACAGAAATATGTTTTAGAGAGAAATACCTTAATATATAAGCTTAATTCACAATAATGCTTACTCAGTGTCTATTGCAAAGCTTATTTTTGCCATGAAGCAGGCAATTATAAAGGACATATTTTACTTAACCCAAAAGGGTTATATGAGAGTAAGTTTCAAAACATATTAGCAAAGGATAATTCTTAGGCAACTCGACACAGTCGTACTGGAAAAAAGAATGAGGAGAGCAGTGTACTGAGGCCTAATCCAAGAAGAACCAGAACCAAAGCTCGGCAGAGACCAACACAGGCAGTAAGTACGACATATATTCTGGAGAGACGTGGATGAGTATTTCATTTTTAATAGTACAAGCTTAAAAGTAAGAAATCTTATTTGGGCTCCAAAATAAAAAATACGCCTTGCAGCACAATTATTTTTGTATTAAAGATTTTAATTTAAAAAAATAGTCTACTGTACCTCAGGACTTTTTCGGTTCTGCAAAATTTGTTTGTCAGTTTCCTTGTTTGCAAAGTATCTAGTGCAGCCTCGGTTTAAATACTGTGACAAAGAAGTGTAAAATATAATTAACAAATATGATCCTCAGGAAAATACTACAGAAGACAACACAACTTATCAAGCAGTGCTAACCATACAGAATTTCTAAACATAACCTGAGTATCATTTAATCTCTCAATTAAAATCAGTACTTCAATATAAGCACTTTATTCCTACTAAACAAACAGGGATGTTGAAAATCCCAATTCCTCAAAGTAGATTAAATGGTATGACTAACATAAAAACCAATACCATAAAGCTTTCCTATATTTAAAAGGCAGCAATTTTAAACATTCTCAGTGTCAAATATCTTTACACCGACTACAGATAATGAAAATCACCTTATTACTAAATATGCAGAGTTTCAAATAAGGACCCCACAAAGTGCAGTTTAATATTTCAAGTAATATTTTACATTCTAAATAATTAACAATCTTGGAATTTCTAAATTTTTTACTTTTATAATCAGTTCTTTAAAACATGCCTTTTATATTTACTCTCAGTTAACAATCACTATACATAAATTACAATACTTGCTATATGAACCTTCATACTCAAATAACAATTTCAACTTTTATCTCAAGGATTTATTTTATTATCCAGAATCCTTTGAAAGGCTATGTGCTTTCAAAACATAGAACAAAGGAAGTAGTCGAGAAGAAAACAATACTATATTGATCTTAAAGAGAATCCATTTCCCACCTTGAGGGGAGTGGGGGGTGGGATGGAACAGGAAGGAAGTACACAGGGAACAAGGTGGCAAATTTTAAAAAACATCTCAGCTTCTCTTGTATCAGGTCACTATGATTCCACTCATCATGGCATGCATTGCAAGATTAAATATATCACATTATATAGATACCAAGGAAAAAATCATAACAAACTTTGGATAATTTTGAAATAAATTAATATTTAGGTGATCAATGTATCTATCTTTTCCCCTCTATTATAATGAAATATTAAAATTGGTAAAAAACAGAAAATGGTATGAGTTTTTCTTTCTACCCTAGAATCTCAGGGTAGGGGGTAAAGGGAGGGATAATATTACTGGTAAGCATTTTCAATTAACTATTTCTAAAAAGAACTCTTACTGTATAGTAAGGTAATAGTAGCTTAAACTTATAGAGCACAAACAAATATTTTCTTTGCTAGCAAAAGTTTTATCCCCCCAACAAGTTAATTGTTTTATCAATGACTTGGCTTTTGGACAGATGGACTTAACATTACAACCTAGGAAAAACTCTTGTTTCTTCCAACTTCTCTGTAAGTAGAACGTTGTTAACTATTCTTGCCATCCATTTTCATTCTACTCAACCTTTATTTATGTTCAAGGATCTTTTTGCATGATTATAAAGAATGCTTCCACAAAACATATGCAAAAATATTTGAAAATTTTGAATAATGCAAGAATTTTAAACCTTTTATTTGCCAAAATACATGTGTAGTTAATACAAATGTCTTCAAACAGGTTTCTCTCTATAATTCTGTACATACTAATTTGGATAGAGAAGTAACAAAAAAATTTTGGAAGTGTTTACCCTACTGTTGGGTTCTCCTTTGTCTACAACCTTATCTATAATTTCTGTAAACTACAGAAAAACCTGATGAAGTTACCAACACACTTTCAAATCACTTTAAGGTATAATCATCTGTGGGGAGAAATACAGAGGTGTGTATGCATTCGTGAGAGGAATATCCAAGACAGCAGATGTGTTTGGGTGAAAGGTAATGCTGTTCCTCTAGTCTCCTAACACCAAAGGACTCTTGTAAAAGAGGAAATCATGCCTCCCAGTTCACACGACAGAGACAGGAAACTCTGACCTGATAAAAAATTTTAGTAGCTGACCCCTTAGGATGCCTGCCATTGTGCTAGGAAAATCAGTACATTCTGAGACATGCAAAAACTATGCTCCTAAGCCTCCAAGCAGAAACACTAGATTAAGACAAGAGTCGTCACATCACTTTATCATTAACTCATTAAGGACAAAGCCACATCATCATTATTACATTTCATATGATTCATAGTAATTTTATATTTCTTTTCTAAAAATCATTATAGAGATATGCCTCTTCCACTTTCATGAAGATAATGTGGGCAACTAACTGCAAATTCCGATTAATTTGGAGAGTTCTAGAGAAGTTGGACATTTTAGAAGTATATAGATGCAGTTATAAAGTATTTTAATACAAGTTGTGAAATTTTCAAGTACACATTAAAAGAACTAATTGAAGCTATACAGAGAAGCTGGGTTGTAAAAACAAACACAGGCACACACACTCACACACACACAGAGAATAAATATAAATGTGTGTCATGATTCTCAAATGAAAGATTCCTGTCCAAAGAGGACTATCAAAATTACCTGGAAAAATTTATACAAACTACATTTCTACATTTCTACACCCCACCCCATAACTCCCATATAGCCCTCACAGGGACACTATCTTCTAGCTGAGAATTTGTAAATTATGCTCACCCCCAGTCACCACTTCTTGAAACTCAATTAGCTGGCAATTCCTGGCAGTAATGATTTTCCCTGTACTTGCCTCCCAACTCCACTCGTGCTTCCTTTCTTGGGCAACTCTTTATCTATTCAATCTCTGATTTTCTACATTATGCAGTCTCTCTGGATAATCTCATCTACCCACTGTCATAGTTTTAATGACCATCAAAGTACCAACATCTCCCAAACCTGTCACTCCAGCACTGACACTGATCTTCAGATTAGTATACATAACTGTCTTCTGAACATCTCTGCTCAGATGATCCATAGGTTCCAAACCGGACTCATCCTATATGCTAAATCTTCCAAATGGCCCCAATATGGTATTTACATCCACCTAGTTTTCCTAGTCAAATTTTGGAAAATTACTCCACTCTTCCTTCTCCCTATCATACCCAGACTCCAAGTCCTACCAATATTACCATCTAAATATTTCTCACATCCCCTACTCTGTAACCCTCCTATCAACAAACCAAATTTAGGCACTGAGCAACTGTTACTTCAACCTAAAGCTATAGATTCCCAATCAATGTGCCCACGTTTCCATTTCAATCCATCCCATCCTCTATTCCCTTAAAGCCATCTCCCTATTAGATCTGATATCCAATTTTCTACTTAAAGCCCTTCAATAGCTCCTTATTAACTACAGAAGTGCAAACTCTCAAGCCTCACCTCCTACCATTTCCTGCCCTGCTGTTTCTTGCCTTTCTGTTCATCTTTGTTTTATCTACCAGGTACACCATTTGCATCTTTCCTTCTCTAACTAACACTTGAAAATCCTGCAGGATTCAGATCAAGTATCAGTTGTTCCAGTAAGCTTTTCCAAAATCCTCAGCATCCTATATCACAGCATTATATATATATATTTCTTATTATATATATATCTTTCTTATTATTCAACACATCAGTGTGTGTGTGTGTGTGTGTGTGTGTGTGTGTGTGTGTGTCCCCAGATCCTAATTTGCTCAAAAGAATTTATCTTTTTGACCCTGGCACAATGTCTGGCACTCACTGGGCAAGCCATAAATATTTGTTGTTGAACTGAATTAAGAAGATAATCATGAGTCCTTTATTAATATTAATTCAGTGGTCAAACTTTTTTTTTTTTTTTTTTTACAAAAAGTCAAAGGTAACTTAAAGCCAGCATAACAAACTAGTATAAATTTCTTATTCAGCTTAAATTGATAAGGGGTTTAACATCTACCCTCTTACCTCTTATGGTGTTATAAAGTCAGCAGTAAGTCTCAATAGAGATCTACCTAGTACAGATGGCATTCAGTCACGTTATACTAAATTTAATGTAAGTCACATAAAACTATCAAAATCCACTAAAATAAGTTTTCTAGTTGAAGGTAATTCAATTTTCAAATCTTGTTTGAATCTTTTTATCCAACCTACCCGAAAATTATCTGGGGAGTTCAAATGAAGTTTTTCCCTAATATCTTCAGAAGCACCAGCACACAACCTATAAAAGATATGATAATTCCTTTCCTCTTTGCCTTGAACACAGATCCTAGATTTCTCTAGAAGATAATGTGAAACAAATCCTCCAACAACTGAACTCTAAAAAACAAAACAGAGAGAAAATACATTTTTACATTTCAAGTCTTAAAGTATAATCAACAAATGTTAAAGTATTTATCTTTTCTAATAAACATTTGTCCATCAAAAAGGTTGTAATATTTATCAAATAAAGGGGAAATACATATGTCTAAATATAAGCTTAAAGTGTTTATAAAGGTCACAGTAAACATATATATATTCTCCCAGCCATCTAAAGTAACAAGAGAGAAACTTAAACAAATTTACCACGGATTCGAGTACAGCACCAATTCTATTGGACCCTTGTACTTTTCAAAACACTCCCCAAACATATCACCCCCAAACTCACTCTCACCTTTTCATTGAAATGTATTTCTACAAATTTTCCAAATCGACTGCTATTATTGTTGCGAACAGTCTTTGCATTTCCAAAGGCTTCTAAGAGTGGGTTAGCTATTTAAAAAGAAATGAAATATTCCATCAAAAAATTATCATAAAGGAAATTTATAAAACAATATAGCTAAAATAATGTTCTCAAAAATATTAACATGCAATGTCAAATCCCACAAATATTTACTGACTACACTGTATTCAGGCCTTATTAATGTGCAAGAGAAAGGAAAATTATCAAAATATATTTAAAAATATAAATGTTATGGAAAAGACTAAATTTTTAAAAGTTATTAGCTTATAAAATTTATAACTCAACCTTTTAAATTATTCCCTAAAAATGTTAAGATTTTCACAAGTACACCAGCCCTACTAGAATAGTGATTACAATATAGAAAACAGCAAACCTCTTGTGACAAAATAAGGCAACAAATAAGCTGAGTCACTTGTCTAAAATATTTTATATATTAATAAAACCTCCATATTTAATATTTTTACATGCACATCCAACAAAACTAACAAATTAGTTTATAGAATTATCTACAAAAGGTTCTCAGAACAATATTTTTCAAATCCCAATGAACAAATACAATACTTAATTGTTTTGCCTCAGCCAGTTTTTCTCAGTGGTTAGAGCATTGGCTCGCAGACCAGAGTCACAGGTTCAATTCCAGTCAAGAGCACATACGTTGGTTGCAGTTTGATTTCCGGCCCTAGCCAGGGTCATGCAGGAGGCACCCAATCAGTGTGTCTCTCTCGCATCGATGTTTCTCTCTCTTTCCCTCTCTCCCACTCTATCTAAAAATCAAAGGAAAAATATCTTCGGGTGAGGAATAAAAAAAGTAAAATAAAATTTAATTGTTTTTATTTTATAAAGAGACATATCACATGACCACAAAAAGGTTACCAGAGTCTATTCTTGTACTCACCTGTACTCAACTGTAAACATACCAGACTAGTGTCAATCTTAGTCACGTATTTTCTATCAACCGCCTCATAAGTTGCTTCACAATATCTACTGCTAGAATATTTTTTACGAAATCTTTTCAAGTCCATTTCTCTTATTCTATTCACAGTAGAAAGCTTAACTAGTCTCTAAACCCATTTAAAAATCACTCCCCAGTTCTTTCACTTGCCAAAATAAGTAAGAAAGTATGTAAAAGTAAAAGAAATGTTAACGTATATATCTCGCCTTTCAGGTGGGCAAAAAATCTGATGCCCAACAAGGTTAACGTGGAATACCACGTGACTGGCTACTGGCTAAAGAGGGACTTACAGGTCTCCCTGGCTCCTTTACTGACTCCATTACAGTTTTTCCTGAAAGATTTAATATACTAATAAAATATCCAAAAATAGGATATTTATATCAAGAAACATGAGAAACTTGACCGATGCAACCTTTAAAAATACTTATTAGAGTTGAATTTATATTCATCCACATGTATATTTTATACAAATGATCTAACAAAATGCATGAACATAGATAGGATAAGGGTCTCTACATCAGAAAACTTGATTAATGCTATTAATGACATACTCATTCCAACCTTCAATTAATATGGCATCTAAAGATTTCTGTGTCCTTCCAGTTTATCTATTATCCTCTAGTAAAGGGCTGTAGAAACATTCGGAATAATACATTCCAACGTTTCTCAACTCTAGAACACTACATGCTGTACAATACATCATGGAAGAAACCAGCCTTATAACCAATTCTCAAGCAAGCTTGCACTGCAGGTAAACAAAATCAGAATACTTATTACCATTTTGTTGAATTAACCTATAATTTGTTCTCTTTTATTTATTTATTTAATATTAAAGGGTGATTCCCTCACTAAAGTAGGTACTTTAGAGTGAATATAGCATTACTTATAAGATCCTCATTCCTGGTGTGTCACAATACCACAGTGAGAATTATAAGTAAAACTAAAATATTTATATCAAGAAACACAAAAAACCTTACTGATACAAACTTTTAAAATATTTCTTACAGTTGAATTTATAGTCATCCACATTCATAGTTTATACACATGATCTAGTAAAATGCATGAACACAGAACACCCCTAATTCATATCTGTTCAACTGAAATTTTTCTTTAAATTGTCAAGAATGTGAAAATATGCACTTAGTATAGCAGACAGTTAAGATGCCTGGGTTCATATCCCACTTCCACAACTGATAAGGCATATGGCTTTAGCAAGTTACTTAAAATCTTTCACCTCAGCTTCTTAATCTGTAAACTAGGGATAAAACAGTACCTAACTCAATCTGTGAAGCTTTAAATTAGATAACAGATTTTAAGCAAATCAGACAATACCTAATAAATACATCCTACATATGTTAATATCATCACTATTATTAAAATTGAGTGCCTATTAGGGGACAGTGAGGAAGGGGAACAGAGAAAGAGTATCCAGAGAGGCCAAACAGACTACCAAGAAACCACCATGAATGACTACAGCATAAGAATTCTAAGGAAACATGACTCAATTAATCAGAGGAGGCCAGACCACACAGAGCACTGTAGGTGATGTTATGGATTTGGGGCTTTATCTTGAGAACTAAGTGAAGCAGTTAAGGGGTTTACAGCAAAAGAGGTCATTCCAACTTCTACACAAAGAGCAGATTAAAGGAAAATAAGAATATAAGCGGGGAGACCAAAAAGGAATCTATGGTGTACAAGGGAGGTGCGGATTCATTAATTGTACTCTTCTGTTAAAATAATTTTCCCAAGCCCTGGCCGGTTTGGCTCAGTGGTTAGAGCATCCGCCTGCGGTCCGGAGAGACCCGGGTTCGGTTCCCGCTAAGGGCATGTACCTCGGTTGCAGTTTGTCCCCGGCCCTGGTTGGTCGTGTGGGTGGCAGCCACTCGATGTGTCCCTTTCACATCGATGTTTCCCTCTCTCTCTCTCTCCCTCCCACTCTATCTGTGCAAAAAATGGAAAAATGTCCTCGGGTGAGGATAAAAAAAAAAAAAAAAATTTTCCCAAGCCCAACGGGTGTGGCTCAGTGGCTGAGTGTCCACCCATGCACCAAGAGGTCGCCAGTTCGATTCCGGTCAGGGCACATGCCCAGGTTGTGGGCCCAATCCCCAGTGGGGGGCATGCAGGAGGCAACCAATCAATGTTCTCTCTCATCGATGTTTCTCTCTCTCTCCCTCTCCCTTCCTCTCTCTCTAAAATCAATAAACAAAAAAATTTTTAAGAGTCTTAAATAATAACAATAATTTTCCCAAAAAAAGCACCTTAATTCCAAATAACCCTCCTGCTCTGTTTTTTCACACACACACACACACACACACACACACACACAAGTAAAAACAGGAGGTCAAAGAGCTTCCTGTATTTCTTTCATTTGTCTAACAGATGCTTCCTGTGTTTCCTTCATTCATCCATTAATATTTATGGATCACTAACATGCTATGTATCAGGCACTATTCCAGAAGTTTGGAATATATAAAAATTACTACTGTCTTAGCACTTACATTGGTGGAAGGGAGCAGGTGAGAATGGATATCAAGTAAATGAGAACATGATATCTGAGCAAAGATTTATAGAAGGGAGAGTCTTTTGTATCTCTGGGAGAACATTCCAGACAAGGATTCTCACACATATCCAACAACATAAAGTAAGAATTTTTAAAATTAACAATACCTTCAACAATCCTATCATCAATATCTTGACCTGTTCCATAGGATTCAGTCAGATATCTGTTTAAAATATAGGACATAAACATTTAGATGACAATATTGTACACATTATAATTTTAATATTGTTCAATCCATGTAAAATTTAAACCTGGAACATCGTTGTAACTGGTTATTTAAAAATTACAAGTTTGTATTTAAATAAAACTATTCTGTTATAGCTCTTTAAACACTGAAAATTCTATTTGGATTGCCTTTAACATCTAAATCAGAATTATTTTTAAGAAACTATTTTGAGAAATATTCTAACTTTACCAACTATTTTTTTTTTTAATATGCCATACATTTCACACAGGAATATTCATTTATGCATCAGATTCCAAAGTCTTTTGTGATAGCCTATTAATTCAATGTTTCTGGCTAGATAAAATACAGTGATCTTTCACTGAACAACTAGGAAGTTACCACTCTCCGAGTTGTTACAGCGCTTGCAAGATAAAACATGATGGAACAACTGCTTGCCAGGCATATTTCAAAACAGTAACCTCTAATTTACAATATAAGTTTACATTATAAGTTTACAGTTCTTAATTATGTGTTCATTTTCTTTTTTTAATTTATTTTTGTTACAGATATTTCTCCTTTTTTTTCCCCATTGACACCCTCCTCCCCATCCCCCCACCACATACCCAGCTTTGTTGTCCGTGTCCATCGGTTATGTGTACATGCATATAAGTTCTGTGGTTTATCTCCCCCCTCCCCCATCACCCCCTTTTCTGAGGATTGTCAGTCTGTACCCTACTTCCACATCTCTGGGTCTACCCAATTCCCCAGACTGTTATGTTCATTATATTCCACAAATAAGTGAGATTATGTGGTATTTGTCTTTCTCTGCTTGGCTTGTTTCGCTTAGGATAATACTTTCCAGGTCCCTCCATGTCGTCTCAAAGGATAAGAGATCTTTCTTTCTTACAGCTGCATAATAATCCATTGTGTATATGTACCACTGCTTTTTTATCCATTCATCTACTGATGGACACTTGGGCTGTTTCCAGATCTTAGCTATTGTAAATAGTGCTGCTACAAACATGGGGGTACATATATTCTTTCTGATTGGTGTTTCAGGCTTCTTAGGGTATATTCCTAGAAGTGGGATCACTGGGTCAAAAGGTACTTCAATTTTTAATTTTTTGAGGTAATACCATAGTGTTTTCCATAGTGGCTGCACCAGTCTGCATTCCCACCAGCAGAGTACTAGAGTCCCCTTTTCTCCACCCACGCCAACACTTGTTGTTTGATCTTAATTGCTTGTTTATTTTCAAAGGTCTACATTAGCCACAGATTTACTATATGACTATTACATATAAGAGAAAGAACCTGAACCACTTAGAATTCCAAGAGTAACAGAAGTATTCATTTAACTAGAATTGTATATGCATAACAGGCAATAACAAAATCAAATTGGTTTCATATAAATAACTCTAAATAGCATACACTTTTGCATAATGAAATAGCAAAATTTACCCACTATACAGCGATCAACTGAAAACTACAATACAAGTGACAACACTGGTGAGAATTTAGAATGTACTCCCTGGTCCTAGCAGTAGCTTCAACACTAGATTTAACATCCCTGAGTATGTAAATTGAAAGAATTAAACTATAATAAGAATTACTGTTCCTTCTGTATTTAAAATGCTATAGTTGTAAAGTGTAGAGTTTAAGCAGCTTGGGGGATACACTGGGAGGAGGCTTGTGGGAGGTGGAAATAAGGTCAGTTGTCATTAGCTTAAAGTAAAAAATAGTTTCAACCGTACTAATTGCAGGAGCTATTGAGAACAGAATGTGAAGGTTAGATCTTGAAGGAATATTCTTAGAATTTCTTTGCCTATCTAGCACTGACCTCCTCCAGTATCCTCAAGAGAATAATGTCATAAATAGCTTTCAATCTACAGCTTTGATTCCTTATAGGTGTCTGTTTCTAAAAAGGGAGAGAGCTCATTAATTTAAACTATGTCAGAAAGCATGCAAAAGAATTCAAAATCAACCTGTTCAAATCAATCTCAAAGAGATATTTGTATCTTTGTTCATAATCCACTCATTGCAGCACTATTCACAATAGCCAGGAGGTGGAAGCATCCCTGTGCCCACTGACAAACGACTGGGTAAACAAAATGTGACATATACATACAATGGAATATTAGCCTTACTAAGGAAGGAAACTCTGACATATGTTCCAACATAAATGAACCTTGAGGATATTACGCTAAGTGGAATAAGCCAGTCACAGAAAGACAAACACTATATGATTCACTTATATGAGAGGTATCAAGAGTAGTCAAAATCACAGAAGCAGAAAATAGAGGGGTGGTTGCCAAGTGTTGAGATAGAGTGAAACGGGGCTAGTTTAATGGGTATGGAGTTTTGGTGCTGCAGGGTGAAAAGCTCTGGAGATTAGCTGAAAAGCAATGTGACTATACTGAACACTACTGAACTGTACACTTAAAATTGGTTCAGATGCTACTTTTTGTTATATATTTTTATCACAATAAAAAAAATCAGCCTGTTCAAATTATTCCAGAGGAGCTAAATATTCCTCACCTTAGAACAAACTTCGTATTTTCCGTTTTGCCAGCTCCTGATTCTCCAGACACAATGATAGACTGACTCATCTTGAGCACCTTCATGTCTCGAAAAGCCTTATCAGCTGGGGTCAAAATAATACATTAATGATGAAGAGTGAATTAAACACAGATGTACTCAATGATAGAAAATTCATTTACTATCAAAGAGAACTTGCTCCTAAAGAAATTTAAAATGTGTGTTTGTAATTAGTACATTTTTAAAATAAAATCATTCAAAAGTATTCAAAACATTTCTGAAGTATTTACTTTAAATGGTCTAGCAGCTTATTATCCTGACAGCTAAGTACTATGAAAGCCAAATAAACAACTCTTATGTTTGTACTAGAATGTCTCCATATTATGAGCTATAGCTCAGTGCTTCCCAGTGCCAAAGAAGATCTGCAGAGACAAGAAATGCTCCCTATGAATAGCTAATGAAGTCCTCAGAGAAAAGCAAGGAGCTGTCAATTAAGAACTCTGAAAAAAAATCTGGCAATCAAAAATTCTTCTGGAGAAAAAAATACATAATTGCAAAATAAATCTGTGTTTTTTTCCTGTAACACTACTGTACTACTAAATTTAAACATCTTGTAGAATTTATCAGCATTTCAAAAACAGGCAAAATTAACTCCTTTAATTGGTTCAGATTTGGAATTGTTTATATATATATAATTTTTAACTATCTTCATTACATTCCAACAAGTAATGCTATAAAATGTCTTAAGACTACACAGATAAATTGAGCATGATTTAATTATGTTAAAGTGGTCTCAAATTAAAACAATTTTAATTAAAAATTAGGTCCTAACAAATTCAGTCCTATAAGACATCTATTTCTCACCTCAGACATGTGCTACCCTTACCAATGAAGAAGGCTTTACAAATGGCTCTTACTCTAAGAACTAAATGCAAACCACATGCAACAGTATACCCATTCTCTTGACCAATTTTTCAGCAATCTGTTCCACTCACTTTTGTGGAGTCATTGTAAATACTATTTTTTAGCAGTAGAAAACTAAAAATAAAAGCCAGTTTATTTACATTTTAAACATGTAACTTCTCTCCACTGAGGAACTGTTCACATTCAGGTTCTAAGGATTTTGCACCATTCTGGTAGCTCATAGAAAACATACCAAGGCCCACTGGAGCATCTTAGAATCAAAAGTCAATCTGTGGTTGCACTGGATTTGGCTGACATATTCGGTCTGCCTAATAGTACACAGTACACAAGTCAGCCAAATCTGGAAGTGCTTGAAGTCTAGTTAGGCCAAAACACAGGCATGAAGTGAAAGCCCGAAGAGAAACAGCTGCACTAAAAATCAGAACCAAAACATCTTATAATTTAACTGCTACTTATGTCTGTATCCAAAGGGTTAGCTAATATCACTGTACTTGCAGTTACCAGCTATGGGTCAAAGAACTCCATCTCTGTTCCTCAGAGCTACAGTGCTTTACGATGAGAGAGAGCCTGAGAAAGGCAAAGGTGGATAAACACTGCTGTCTTCCCACACAGATTCCCAGGGATATGAAGCATACACCATTTTCAGTCATTTAAGTTTTATAAAGCCCTGATGCAAAATAAGGCCTGGAAGACATCTGCTCTTACAGCTCATATCCAGCCCAAGGAACATGCTCACAAGTGATGACCTGGGGAACAGCAGAAGGCCTGTTCCTCAAAGCTATAAAGGAGGACACCTTTAAGCTGGAGCTGATCATGCTGAAGAGTCAAAAAAAAAACCATGAGGTCAGCTTTTATTATGTCCTACTTTCAACTGGGTGGACACACTTAAAAAGACACGGGCATTTAACAAAGATAATGATATACAACTGCCCCATTTGGCTGTAAAAGTATTCTTCCCCACCCTGGGTAAAATTCATGCTCCTAACAATAGTGATACATTCAAAATGCATACAAGTTCTCCAAAATACATATTCAATTCATGGTATCTTCTATTAATCCATTTAAAAAAAAAAAAAAAGAGCAAATGTGTACAATGTAAGAAAAAATAAAAATTAAGACGCACTGAAATTACTTACCAATTGCAAAGACATGAGGTGGCATTGTCCCAAGAGATTTTCCTTGGTACGACTTTATTGTTTCTGAAGAATATATTTTAGGTATGTCAAAGTATGGGTTCACTGCGATCAGAATGTTGGCGACATATGTCTAGATAGGAAAAGCATAAATGTAAAATTTCCCAATTAGTATTTTCATTTAAAACTAAATGAGACTGATAGGTAAAGAAATACAATACATACCTCGGATTCTCTATGTAACTAGGATTGCCAAATCTGCATTTCCACCCCTTAATATTCCCTGATCTCAGGACTCGTATTTCTCTAATGCTTAATAAATACATCTTCTCATCCTATACTCCTCTCAAACTCAGCACATCCAAAATCAAGATTATTTCTCTTGACTTCTTTTAGCCTCAAAGAAAACATTCTCCTCCCATGTGCTCTCTAGGTTGGTTCATGGTATCACCACCAAGTCATCAGAAAAAGTTGAGTCTCTAAGCATCTAGCTCAATCAGCCTTCTTCTGTTGACTCTACTTATGAAATCTACTCTTAGTTCTATTCCTACAGCTGGAGTTTTGGTCATTTATATTCCTCACCTAGACTATTTTATACACCCTATTACTGAAGAATTGAATATAGCTCACAGGATCCTCTAGGCCTATTCCCATCACTGAATGACAAAAATTAATTTAGCTCTGTGGTGACCACTTGGTCCCAGATTTTTCAAAACAACACATGCTAACCATTACCTAGAATATTGACAGGATAAATGTTTAATGAACAACTTAAGCTTACTTTTAAATTTGGAATTTAACTGTGTCTTTAAAAGACCAAAAAAATGCACCAATAGAATTTATAAAATTCCTTGTGGGTAGAAAGAGAGTTGTGGTTTAGCAATTAGCTGTGGTTTACTGGTCAAACTAGGACACACAGGACCGTATTTTTCTCTTTTCTTCTAGTTGTGGAAGGGAAATGATGCGGAAATCCTGAACTCTCAGACTACTAATCTAAAATTCAGTGAATGCTCCCAAAGATGTTTCCTGGAGTAGGGTAAAAAATAAGACATTCCAGAAAATTATCTTTTTATGGGAGACAAAAGGAAAGGAAGAGATTTTAGTTACCAACAAAAATGTTCAAGTGAGCTAGCTATTGTTATACCTAAGTCTAAGGGAGAATAGTGAGAATTTTGGTTGATGAGAAATATAAAAATATCAAATTTAAACTCTTATTCCAAATTGCTTCCATCTCTTACATATAATAATAATAATAATAATGACTAAATTTATATATTGCTAATTTTTAATGGCTTTATAACTAAAAGGCATTTTGGCTAGGAAAAAGCATACCAATCATGGCTTTGGTTAACTTTGAAAATACTGGTTCTCCAAACAGGAACTGATGAGGTGAACAGCCATTATGTAACAGAGGTCATTTGCCCAAGGGCATACATATCTTAGGAACAGAGGGTCAAAAAGCTAGGAAGAACCCTAAAATTCTCCAGAGTGATATAGACGTTATACATGAGAAAAAAAAAACCTAAATTTCACAGATAATTTTTTTTATCAACCATGCAATTTAACAAAGACTCGTAAGTCAACTAAACTCACTGTGAAAAAGAGACAACTAATTTTCTAAATACAATTAATTCTGCATGCAAAACTCAGTTATTAATGGTTATAATTAGTACATATAGTACTACTATAACACATGAAGTATTAAAAGAGCAATTAGAATCCTGTGGGTAGTGAGCTTTTATATAAACATCCCAAATAAAAATGATGTATCTTAATTGCTAAGAAGTATGATGATTCTGCAAAGGTATAAAAAGTTTCTTAACTTCAAGAAAAAGATTTCAGTCAAAATCTGCACAAATAAGTAAGACTGGTCTACCACCATCAAGCAATATAAATAAAGAAAAAATAGGAGCCAATTCTATTTGAAAGATGATGTTTCCTGGTTATAGCCAGTCAACTTTTATTGACTTATTACAAGTTAAACTGCTTTAACAAACAATTGAAAAAATCTGTATTACTTTGATACCTAAAACGGCATTTAGCACACACCAGAGGCTCAACAGTAGTCTGCTGATGGAGTAAATTTTGCTTCTAAATATATTTCTAATCAAGAATAACCATATATCAACGTAAGTATACTCTCTATTTAGTTGATGTTGAAAAAAATAAAGAAGGAAAGCAAAGACTTAAAACTGTGACACGTATAACCGAAAGATGGCAAGTAAACTCTTTTGGAAAAGACTAGATTATTTCTATTTCCCAGCTGTCACTAACTGGACAGATGGCAAAGACTAAAGGTAATTTAGTCAGAATTAAGTAAGTACAATTAGGCAAATGGATAGTGTTATAAAAGATTAAGACTGTCATTTGATCTAGGAGGTGTCAAAGAAGCCATGTGTTTTCTTCGTTCAAAAATAATGAAGAGTCCCTTCTTTATAACAGGAGAACTACAGTGGGTAATTTATCTCCAGCTAACAAAGGAATCGACAACTAGGTCATATTAGAATAAATCCTCTAATGTGCCCAGTGAATAATTATAATTAAAACATACTAGTTAATTATCCATCTGAATGAGTTGGTGCAAATCTATTTACACTAAAAGCATTCTCTTTCATTTTTTAATATTCTGGATTTTTAAGGTAAGGTTATCTATTTAAGAGTTAATGAAATACTACAACTATTTAGACTATATAGTCAGCATTTCAGTTCTTGATTATTTCCTCAATACTGCCTTTACTGTCATTTACATTTTTTTGCCATCTAAGTTTTTAATTTCAATGTATATTTCTTATAGGATGCCTTGAATTCTTTTCAGAACAATATAGAAAGTGAATTAAACAGGTTTATAGACTTACATCAAAAATAAAAAATCAAAACCCAAAATAGTGTTTTTTAAAATAAAAACTGAACATTTTTAAATCTGATAGATACTAGGTGATGCTCTGAATTCATTATTTTATTCCACAAATGTTGGCCAAGTGCCTACTATGTACACATGTTCTAAGCCCGGGAGTTACAGCAGTAAATCAGAGAAGAGTCCTTATCCGCATGGAGCTCAACAGGCCCAGATCAAATATGATTTCCTGTTAGAAAATTTCAAGACTGAGAAAATTATTTTATATCATCAGATATAAAATAATTATCCCAACAAAACTTAAATCATAGGTAAAATACTTACATAAATTCTGTCTTTACTGTATCGAACTTTGATATTATGGAGAAGTGTGGCTTCATTTAAATACATTAGTGAACCTGAGACATAAAATGTACAAATCATTAGATATTTGAAGGGGAAAAAAAGTAAAGTAAAACAACACTATCTTAACCTGAATCACACTGATCCAAGCTAAAATTCACCTGTTAGATTTAATTCCATCTTTTTCAAACCCTGGTACATGTAAACCCAAGAAGCCAGTTTAAAATATATTCAGTTTAGCCCTGGCCAGTGTGGCTCAGTTGGTTGGAACATCGTCCCTTACTCCAAAAAGGTGGTGGGTTTGATTCCTGGTCAGGAATATAAATCCTGGTTGCAGGTTCAATCCCTGCTTGGGGCACATAGAGGAAGCAACTGAACAATGTTTCTCTCTCACATTGATGTTTCTCCCTTTATCTCTCTCTCTCTCCCCCTTCCTCTCTCTAAAATCAATCAATAAATAAAATATATCCAGTTTACATATGTGTTACAGTAATATTTATAAACAACAAATTTCTAATCAGGTGAGTACATGTAGTGAGTACCAAGTGAGTACACATTAATGAAGGCTGGTTACAAAGTCAAGTACAATTCAAGTGGAAAGAATTACAACTATATAGCACTGATTTTAATGCACATGTGGCATAACAGTGATGATGATAATTTAATCTGACAATTTGAATTTTACAGAACAAAAACATGAAAGATAACATTTTAGCATGAGATGGAACCATCAGATCCTTCAGCCAGTGCCTCACAACCAATATGACGAAGTAAGAGTCCTGGAGAAATTATGCACTTGACCCTTGAACAATTTGGGGTTAGAGTTGCTAACTACTCTTGCAATCGGAAATCCAGATATAATTTATGTCAGCCCTCTGCACACCTGAATTCCCAACCACAGATCAAAAATATTTATATGTCTTAACCCAGGATATGCAGCTAATTAACAGCAGAGTCAGGGTAGAAATCTTGTTTTTCTGATGTTTGTTCTATTAATATGTCAGAATATACATACATATGTACACACACAATGACATATTCTGTTCTCCAAGCCTAATCTACTCCCCCAGTCCTCCAATCTGAGCTCCATTTCCACATTTCCACCACATGCTAGAGCAGACAAAACTCCCCTTCTCTTCAACCACGTTGTTTCTATGATTAGTGCCACCAGACTACAAACCTTAGTCAGTACTTAGAGTAATTTTGCTCTCTCTCCTTGCTCTAAACCAATTTCCTACTCTTATTTTTTAAATCCTCACCGAAGATATCTTTCCATTGATTTTTAGATAGAGAGGGAGGGAGGGAGGGAGGGAGGGAGGGAGGGAGGGAGGAAGTGAGAGGGAAAGGAAGGGAGAGAGAAACATTAATGTGAGAGACACACATCGATTGGCTGCCTCCCACAGGACCCCAACCAGGGCTGGAAATGAACCACAACCGAGGTACTTGCCCTTGACTGGAATCAAACCCATGACTCATTGGTCCGCAGGCCTACACTCTAACGACTAAGCCAAACCGGCCAGGGCTCAGCTGACCTTTTCATATAATTTTCCACAACTTGCTTTAATATGGTCTAACTTACAGGCAGACTAGCCTATTTATTAAACTCAAATATTATTCAAGCACTGGACTTACCTCTACATCTCTAGGTGTCAAAAATCTACCTATCCCTGAAGGTCAGTTCAAAGATTATCTCACAAATAATACTTCCCCATTCTCACCATTACCACCACCACTAGAATCACTTTCTTGTTTGTACTTTCTTGATGGTGTTGAACATTGACTACCAGCATTGTAATTATAATTTTGTATATCTGATTTTGGCTACTAAAACAGATCTTTGAGGGCAGGGCCCTGCCTTATTCACTTGCTTGTTTGCTTGATTCCTTATTGAAGTTGTACACATGCCCACTCTGAGTTATGCCTAAAATACAATTCCACACCTAACCAATTCTGTCAAACAACGCCTCTTGCTATACCTGTCTCAAAGACTGTCCATGCTTCTACACTCACACAGTGTAGCCAATTCTTGCCAAAGACACATGGCTCACTCTTTCCTGATGCCATTTATGGCAGAATAAAACAGAGCAAGAAGTGGGTGGAGCCTCCTAACAGCCTTAATGGCAGCTGTCCTTTGAGTTGAGAAAATATATGGACTCAGCAATCCTACTTCTGGGAATATATCCTAAGAATTCCAAAACAAAAATCAGAAAGAATATATGTACCCCTACGTTCATAGCAGCTTTATTTACAATAGCCAAGATCTGGAAACAGCCCAAGTGCCCAGCAGTAGATGAATGGATAAAAAATGGTGAGGTACATTTACACTAAGGAATACTACACGGTTGTAAAAAAAGAAGAAACTCTTACCCTTTGCAACAGCAGGGAAGAACTTGGAAATTATTATGCTAAGCAAAATAAGCCAGTCAGAGAAAGGCAAATACCATATGATCTCACTAACATGTGGAATCTAATGAACAAAATAAAGTAATAAACAAAATAAAACCAGAGGCATGGATACATGAAACAGACGGACAAATGTCAGTGGTAGGGACTGGATAAAAGAAGGTGAAGAGATAAGCCAAAGAACACATATGCATAGCCCATGAACAGAGACAATAATGTGGTAAAGGCCTGGAGGGGGGGAAAGTGGGGTGCTGGGTGGAGGTGGGCAAAGAGGGAGAAAACGAGGGACATCTGTAATGGTATCAACAATAAGAAAATAAAAATACTTGAAAAAAAAGATTTGGGAAGGCAGGCAGCAGAGTTGTGTGTAGGCTGGATTTTTGGTCATCTACCTTTCTAGAACCCTGCTCTCCTTCCACCCTCATCCCCCAGGAGCCTGGCATCCAGACAGCCTTTCCTTGCTCAAAGCACAATGCTGAACCACTCCCAGATCTCTCCCTCACCTTCCTCCGCACTGCCTGGTTGTGTGATATCCTCTCTGCTCCCTTTCAGTAAGGATTCCTAGTCCCACAGTACAGCTCCCCTGGAAAAGCTAATCACATAAGCTACTGACATGCGACTGCTTGCTCTCATTTCTTTACCCCCTTCCACACTCCCACCAGCCTTCTCAGGTTATCTGTCAATTAAATAAATCTCTAACTGATGAAATATCTGCCGGTGACAATAAGAATATCAACAGGAGGGAGCTTCCCATTTTTTCTCAGTCTCTTAACGACCTAATAATAATAGCTACCATTTACTGAGAGACTCTTAAAGGTTAAGAAGTGTGCCAAGAATTTTAAATATATCATCTCCAGACATGCAACAGACACATTATTACTCCCACTCTACAGATGAGAGGCTGAAAGACTAGAGAGAAAGTGCCCGAGGCACAGAGCCTCCAGCAGCACAGGTGGAATCTGGGCTCGTGCTCTCCGGGGTCCACCGCTCCCCACCGCTCCACGCTGCCCACTCACACATGGGGGCTGTACAGTCTCACTCAAATGTGAACTCAAGAAAATCAGCATGGACAAAAGATATTCCTTTCTCTTATCTCTACTCTTCAAATGTAGAGTTTTTCCTGTCAGATACCTTTAATGAAATCCATGACAACTGGACATGATTCTTAAATGTTACCAAATAAAAAATAAATTATGATTACTACTTAATCTTGAAAATGTAAGAATTAACATGGCTTGTTCGCTGAACAAAGTTTTTTTCCACCAAACATGTTAAGATAGTGCTAAGTCAAAATAATGTTTCATTTTAATATAATGTCCTGGAATCCCGTTTTCAATTAGTACTTATAACACAGTATTTTAAAATGTTTTTTTCCTTCAAACAATGACATGAAATGGGTCCTCTTGACTCAACCTCCAAATTATTGAACCACATATACCTACTATAAACATCATCTGATTCTAGATGAGGCTCAAAATAACTTTCAAAACCATTACAAGGGATCTTGAGTTCCGACTGCCAGGTAGATGATCACCATTCCCTACACTTACACACTCAGATAACACTAGAAGGACATCCAATGTGCAAAGGCGAGGCAATAATACATTTAGGGCTTCTGAGCTTCTCTATTCACATGAATCTTCATTTCAAAAGGCTGTCTTTCTTATGAACCAGTATCGTGTACCTAGTAATGTAAACACTAATTTATTTTTTTGGAGGAACAGTTCCTTTTCTGTGCTGGGAACTATGTTTATACTTACAGTTATCTTCCACATCTTTTTTACTGTCCTCTTCTGCAGGGAACACTTGGTTTATGAGAGCCAAAAATGTCTAAAAATCAAAACACAAGTTTATTAAACTAGAGGTTTATAAATAGTAAGAAAAATAAAGAAGCTTAATTGGTTACATACATTGTAACAATGGCAACAATATGCTCTTCGTTAAAATGTAATACAAGATCCTACTATTTAACAAGTCACTAACCCAAAAAAACAGAATAATAACTTTACTCAAAAATCTTAACTACTATTACTATTACCATAAAATCAATCATAGAAATCGATAAAAAAATCCTATGCTCTAATATCTAGAGTAGGACAAAACATGAAGTATATTAACATTTAATACACAGGGGCATGCTATTAACAAGTAAAACTTTTAATGTTTGCATATACTACAGCAATTTTATTTTTAAAAAGGAAAAAGTAACATCCAATCAATCAGATATACCAACAGACTATTATTTAATTAATGCTATTGTCTGAGTAAACATATTAGACACAAATTCTTGTATAGGTGTGTGCTACAAATATAGAGTATCTAGAACTGCCCTGGCCGGTTTGGCTTAGCAGTTGGAGCATCGGCCTGCAGACCAGAGACTCCTGGGTTCGGTTTCCACTAGGGGCACATACCAAAAAAAAAAAAAAAAGAGTATAGGTATGCATGAATAGTTTGCATTTGTTATATCACTTAAATATTATGGTGGAAAGTCTAGAAATAAGATAGTATTTTGTGCTCTGCCCGGTTTGGCTCAGCAGTTAGAGCGTCGGCCGGTGGACTAAAGTGTTGCTCGTTCGATTCCTGGTCAAAGGCATGTACCTGGGTTGCAAGTTCCGTCCCTGGCTCCAGTTGGGGTCTGTGGGAGGCAACCAATTGATGTGTCTCTCTCACATGGATCTTTCTCTCTCCTTCCCTTCCACTCTCTAAAAACCAATGAAAAAGTATCCTCAGGTGAGGATTAACAACAACAAAAAAAGTATCTTGTAAGAGAAAATAATTGATCTCAAATTACATCTAGGGAGAATTAAATTTTATCCATGCCATTCTAACAGCAATCTATAAATTTATACTTCAAGCAATTACAATTACTCTTGTGGTTGAAGTTTTCATCAATATCAAATAAAACTCTAAGGAAAAAATTGTTCAATTATTTAAAAATATGTGTAGGTTTGTATATGTATACATATATGTGTAAACACATACATGAATATAAGACAAGGCTACTGCTATATTTTACAGTGTAAATCCTGGCTGCTAGAAGCAGCTCAATTTAGTCATACTCAAATTAGAAAACTGTTATGCCCTAAATATTCTGGAATTTAATAATTTGGAAGCCAGTACACATGTTCGTTAGTGTTATAACTGTAGAAAGATTTAGAGGATAGATCACAACATTGAAACTAATCCATTACGTACATTAAATATATTAATGGTAATATAAAACAACGCATAAATTATAATGATGAGTCTACAGAAAAAGGCATTCTGAAATAAATTGCTGTCATAGTCCTATGTGGCCACTTTCACAGCGATGGCTATGGGGGAAGGCCGCCCCCGACTCCAGGTGTTGGCTCTATCCTGTTAGGAACCCTGGGAAATAAAAGAAGCTCCAGGAGTCAGAAAATGGGGGAGAGGTGGAGGATAGAGTTCCCAGAATGGGGAGGCTAAGAGAAGGGCTGGAAGGCCAGTAACAAGTCCTAAAAGATAGTTTCTCACCCTCCTTCATCCTCCAGATTATCATCAGCCCCATCTTCTTCTCCCCTTTACCACCAACTCAATGAGAAAGAAAAAATTTGCATAACACAACTGTTTTCTCCCAGAGGCAGAGGCTTTTACTTCTATCAAGAGAAGATCATGTCACAAAGCACACAATGATCACCAGCAACAAACATCTACCCAGAGTCATCAAGCTCCAATGACAAAACAAACAAATAAAATAGTCCCTGCAGTTGTGGAGATTACAGTCTAGCAGGGAGGGGGAGATAAAGGTAAACAAGTATCTCCAATGAAGTATCACAGGAGGCTGAGGATTTATTCCACTCCTTGTAGGAAGGAGTAATCAACAGTAAATTCTATTGCATGGAGGAGGAGAAGAGGGAGATTTGGTATCTGTGGAAAACTTTCATAAAGGTGACCTCAATCAGAGTCTTGAGAAATAAATATTTGCTAAGCAAAGGGCTAGGGAGAGTGGCATTCCAGGCAGAAGGAGCACTGTGAACACCACAAAGCATCACCTGGTCCGTGATGGAGGCTTGATAAACACAGTGAGGGGAAGGATGAAAGAGAAAAAAATTCACAAGAATAAATACATGGCAAGAGTACGAGGGGGCAACTGCTGGTTGACAGAAGATAAGACTAGCAAAGTAGACAGGGAAGAGAAAATAACCCTCAAATGCCACATTTTTAGGGCTGCAGCCTGAAGGCCAGTCTGCTGCAAATAATGGAACACAAAATCAATTGAGTGGTTCAAGACAGCATTTTCAACAGAATAGGACATTAGACGATACCAGAATGCACACAGGCAGTAAGGATGCTTCATTTGACCAACTCTGTTTCATTTCATGAATACACATGCACACACACAAGACACATGCTTGATGACATGTCAAATCTACTTCTTATAAATACACACACACACATACTATACATATACCTAATGCAATGTAAAATCTATTTCTTACTATGGGTCACAATCAAAAAACGTTAGCCCTGGCCAGTTTGGTTCAGTGGTTAGAGCATCGGCCTGTGGTCCAGAGAGACCTGGGTTCGGTTCCCAGGACACGTCCCCGGCCCTGGTTGGGTCGTGCGGGTGGCAGCCACTCGATGTGTACCTTTCACGTCGATGTTTCTCTCTCTCTCCACCCCCCCCCCCCACTCTGTCTGAACAAAAAATGGGAAAATGTCCTCGGGTGAGGATAAAAAACAAAACAAAACAAAACAAAACAAAAAACGTTAGAAGTCACTGCTATCATCAAAGACATTAACCCCGCTAGAGTTAAATCATTCTCTCTGCTATGCTTGTACTTTATCAGCAAACAGATCTACTAGATTTGTCCCACACTTTATGCACTTAATTCATTGGTATTTACTTTTTTGCATTTATCTTCAGTAGGAGGAAGAGAGAGAGAGAAACATCAATGTGAGACAGACACATCGAGTGGTTGCCACCCACACGATCCTAACCGGGGCCAGGGACAAACCACAACCGAGATACATGCCCTTAGCAGGAACCGAGCCCAGGTCTCTCTGGTCCACAGGCCGACGCTCTAACCACTAAGCCAAACTGGCCAGGGCTTAATTCATTACTATTTAAAAGTTGCTGATCTTGCCCTGGCCGGTTTGGCTCAGCAGTTAGAGTGTCAGCCTGCAGTCTGGAGAAACACGGGTTTGGTTTCTGCTAAGGGCATGTACCACAGTTGCAATTTGTCCCCGGCCCTGGTTGGGTTGTGCGGGTGGCAGTCACTCAATGTGTCTCTTTCACGTCGATGTTTCTCTCTCTCCTTCTCTCTTCCTCCCACTCTGTCTGAACAAAAAATGGAGAAATGTCCATGGGTGAGGATTAAAAAAAAAAAAAAAGTTGCTGATCTCTATACCATGAATTACCTAGGCAAAAACCTGCTTCTCTTGTGGATCTTTTTAACTGTATGGTTATAATTTATACTTTACAATTTCTTAAGACTACAATCAGAAAGTAGGGGAAAATTTTAAGATTAAAGGCAATTACTGAGAATTTAACCCTCAAAAAAAATGCTTGTGAAAAAAAGCTTCAACTTTAGTTTATAGAATTATTTACAGATCCACAGTATTTATGGCTTTATAATTTACAATTTAAGGATTTTACTGGCTAATTAATATTCATAAGGCACAGTTGAAAGCATATAAAATATTTAAAATGTGAAAAAGCATATACCCATGAATCAAATTTCTTCTGTGCTTGAAATAAACTGTTGTCACCTATAAATATAACAGAATTACCTCATTTTGGCCTTCTGATTTACTGTCCTTATAAAATATGTTCAACAAAAATGAAAAAAGACTCTGAAGGATGGTGAAAGGCTCACTAAATTGCTGTCACCCCAAAATATGACACTTTTGCATATTGATTATTTTCAGTTAAAGGCACTTGAGAAATAGCAGGTGCAAGAAGGGCCCTCTGACCCTCCTTTTTATTCCTGAAAACAGGACTTAAACCCCCATGTGAAGGTGCCCTCCCTATGCCAGAAGGCAGGCTGACAGTCTTACCACAGAGAAGGGGAAGGGAGGCCAAGGGAAATCTGTACAAACAAACCTTGTTATACTAACACTTATCTTTTGTTGTTGTTAATCCTCACCCAAGGATTTTTTTTTTCCATTAATTTTTAGATAGAGTGGAAGAAAGAGAGGGAGAGAAGGAGAAAGAGAGACAGAAACATCGAAGTGAGAGAGTCACACCAATTGGTTGCCTCCCACACGACCCACACCAGGGCTGGGGATCAAACCTACAACCCAGGTATGTACCCTTGACAGGGAATCGAACCCGTGACCCTTCGGTACACGGGCCAACACTCTAACCACTGAGCCCAACCAGCCAGGGCACCCTTACCTTCCTAAGCACTTCTCCACAATTGACTGCCCCTAGCCCAAACCCCCCTTTTCACTGCTTCACAAATCATTTCTTTGTCTAGAAGGTAACAAAGCTTTCTGCTCTGGGCACTTCTTCAGTTCTTCATTCTTTTGTGGAGGCTCCCATGTGCATGTGAACATTTAATAAAACCTGCATGTTTTTCTACATAAATCTGTCTATGTCAGTTTCATTCTTAGACCCAGCCAGAGGCCCAAATTAATAGAGAAAAATGTTTCCTCCCCTACAAGTTCAAATAAGTAAAAATAAATTAGTTTTTTTCCCTCTTTTTTGAAATATGTACCGCACTATAAGTACAAATAGATGCTTGTTAATAAGAGAAAAAACTTAGAAACACTTTGTCTTTTCTTCCCCGAGGGTATCTTTAACTGGCCTCCTCTAACAGGCCACATTATATATTATGCATTTGGGCTCCTGGGTTGTTTACAGTAACAGAATCGTTTCTCTGTGAAAAGACTCAATGAGAGATCCACCTTGTTTTTCTAAGGTTCCCAGAAGGATGGCAGTCATATGGCATTAGTTAACCCTGTATCAGCAGAATAGAAATTATTCATGAACATTCAGAGTCCAAAGCAAACAGAAATGACCATCAACACATTTAATTTCACCAGAAGACCTCTTTAACAGGAAAGTTAATTAAGCTGAAAATACTGAAGATCACCCATAAAGAGAGTCCCTACGGTCCCCAAAAAGACTGAAAGAGATCCCAGGTCACTTTTCCCCCGAATTCCCATTTTGTGATACTATCTGGTCTGTGTCTAAGCATAAAACGAAATAGATACCATTATACAAAATTAAAGTATGCTTCGTGTTTAAAAAAAACAAAATGTTTTATCATTATAACAAAAACAGGAATAGATTGGTTTCAGATTTAAATATCGTTATTTACTAGAAACAAATTTATTCCAATTTCATGTTAATAAATTTAACAAAAAGTTTAAAAGAATTGTCTAGGATCTAAAGCAAAAAGCAAAATTTGATAACATAAGCCCATTCACTTTTCATATTTTTGCTTTGTACCATGTTGCATACATCACATAATAACTTTTATAATGTGGATAAAGAAGAAGAATGTTATATTTTATCATGCTATTTTTTTTCTTTAAAATGTGACAATGAAAGGCTTACTCAATTTCTCAATTTCTGTCTGATTTTATTATAGGGCACCATTTTTCCTCTAAGATATGTACTTCTGATTTAATCAAATAACTTAATAGAAAGCTAAGAGTCACTTACAAGAACACTGCTTTCCCCTATTATATTGTGCTAGGAATAGCTACTGAATTGATAAAGTAGACACCTATATAAAGAGAAATCAAATTCTGTAATCTTTCTGAAAAACTCACCTTGCCTTTTTGGGTCAAGGGTTCAATTGTCAAGCTGTCAGGGCCAATATCCACAATGTTGCCCATCTGAAATCCATCTGTAGGGTGGGGCGCCCAAACGGGCTTTCCATCCTCCATTCTGAAGGGAGCTATCCACTATATCCTGTTTCAGAGAAACAAGTAAAGCAACATGAATAACTTTGGAAATAAAAAACAAACAACATGTCTTTTTTTTTTTAATTAACATGTGAACTGCAATTCATAGAAACACATGTCTACCCGTCCCATGGGTAATCTCCACCCCCTCCCATCATGCAACACCCTCCTCCCCCTTTACCCACCTTTAGACAAGGACCACGCAGAAGCTGCCCTACCCTCAGGTAACACTTGCTCTGCTGCCTTCCTGCTGTTGTGACTGCCGTCCAGTACCACACTGAGCAGTACAGAGAGAGAGCTATCGTCTCAGGTTTTACCTACTGTCCCAGTGTGATTTATAACAGCACCCCCTTTTACTACCTAAAGTATTCTGATTGCACAAAAAATTAAGCAGTCATCCTAGGAATTGTATGGAGTCAGCTAAGAGTTGAACAGTACGTCATTTTAGACCTGAAGGGATAAATATGAACGAAATGAGAGATTACTTCCTCTGGAAACTTTCCCGAACAATCTGAGACTACAGAGATGCCTCACCCAAGTGTCTCCTACACACATCCAAACAGAACCACTCAGCATACTGTTTTTGTGGGTCTCTTATTTTTTTTTACTGAGGTAGACCTTATATATACAGTAAAATGTACAAATCCTAAGTATACAAAAGTTGATGAGTTTCAACAAGTGGATATACCCATTTAACAAACACCCATTCAATATACAAAACATTTCCATCACCCCAGAAAGTTCCCTTACGCTTCCTCTGGTCAATCCCTATTCTCTACAGATGTCTTCTGGGTTGGTTTCTATCATCGTAGAGAAGTTTTTGCCTTTCCTTAAAATTTATATAAATAAAATCATACAGGATATATGCTTTTATGTTTTGCTTTCCTTCAAAAAAATGTTTCTAATATTCAACCATGTCAGTGTGTATACTAGTTCACTGAATGATTGCATCACAATTGTTTACCTGCTGTACTGTTGATGAACATTTGGATTGTTTCCAGTTTGGGCCTATTGTGAATTCAGATCTAATTTTTCAAGTGTTTCTATAAAGCTTCTTTCATGCTTGTCATCTCCAGACCTAACATTTACAATTCTGTCTTTTGAGAGTATCCAAAAGGGTCCATGACATGTAAAATATTTAATTTTCATGAGCCTCGATTCTAGGAGACAATGTGTAATGGTGAATCAGCTGCTGAGTGATCCCAGATGTTCTAGTTTTAGCATTTCAATGAGAATTTATTTTTCATTACTTATCTATACTTAGAGTTCATGCATGTGCCATAACTCTCCTCTTACGCAGCACTTTTAAATCTGGGATTTCCCATGTTGATGTTCTCAGTTCTAGTCTCCCGTGGAAGTTAACGGTGTTTGGTATGTAATTCAATCAAAAAGCTGCTAACTAATGGCATGTTTGCAATATGCTTGTTGGTTAGTGTCTCCCATGCCATGGCAACACATTGGGATTTGCTTTCCCCATAAATGAGGGTCCTCTATAGAAGTGAATCAGTAACTCTGCTTCAGACTTCTTATTACCACAACTACACACTTTCCCTGGATAATCGTATCTAGTCCCGTGGCTTTAAATATCATCTATATGTGAGTGATACCAAATTTTTTTCCAATCAGAATACCACTGAGTTCCCAGATGTTTACTTGCCTACTGGACACTTACCCATGAATATAACTAATAGGGTAACATTGTTATTATTACAGTATTATTCTGTTCACCACTCCATCCTGTTCTTTCTTATATCATTAAAGTCACCAACAACACTCATTCAAATCAAACCTGAAGTCATCCTCAATTCTTCCAGCTCCTTCCAAATCCACCCCAACTCCAATCATGTCGGCTTTGTCTCTAGTGGGTACCTTAAATCCACCCACTTCTCTGTATCTCCTCTGCTGTCCTTTACCAGGACGTCTGTAATTAACTTAGCTGCCTACCCCTACTCTTGCCAATCTGCACAGGTGACCAGAAATCCTACTGAAAGATAAATCTGATCACATTAGTCCTGTACCATCAGGGCAGTCCTCTCAATGTCCCCGAGGCCGAGCCCAGAGCGGGCAACTCGGTATTCACTGAGTGCATGAATAGACTGTCCACAGTTTGGCGAGAGTAAAAGGATGTAGTAGACTAAAAAGAGATGAAAGGTCTTAAAACCTAGGAGTGCAACTAAACTCCAGCACGGTCTGACTCGCTCTTAAGCAAGTTACTCAATCTCTCTGATCATTATCTTTATCCTTACCCATATGTGATAATATCACTTACCTTACAGAACAGCTATGAGGATTAAGTGACATAAAACTGAGATCAACATTTTAATGACACCCAATAGATGCCAGTCACACTTCTTCTACCTTCCCCCATATTCCGTGTTTGAAGCCACCAGTAAAGTTCAAGAAAATGGTCTTGAGATAGTTATAAATATAAAGGAAAATTACAGAATAGGCATGAGGGGTCATTTGGGAATAATTAAGTATCTGGGGGGGAAACAATCACAGCAAGCAAAGCCCCCAAATTACAAAAAAAAAAAAAAAAGTGGCAAATTGCTTGAACTATTCAAATTGCCTTCCCATTCTGAACCATTTGCTATAGCTTCCCAGTTAAGAGCACCGACTTAAAGGTGCATACCTAATGTTCTTCAAACCCTAAATCTACAGTACAGAAAGTCCTTAAAAAATGTCAGTCCACAGGGAAGGGGAGGACCAAAGGGGAGACAACAACATCCTAGAAGTTGGAAAGCAAATGGCTGAGAGGCAACTGACAGCAAACCCCAGAGAGCTGAACTCCCAGGAATGACAAAACAACCCAGGAAAACAACCCAAATTATACCACTGAGTCTCAAAAGACATGAGACCTACAGTGTGAAGATATTTCTAGAACCAAGGGTGCAAAGAGGGAATCTAATAAGGAAGACCAGGTGAAAGGTGTTTGAGAAAGAGATTTCCTAACACCAATCGCACACATACTCTATGGTCTTGGGCAAATGACTCCCCAATCCCATACCACCCCAACAGGTGCCTAGAGGTTATTCTCAGAGAAAATAGAGGGTATCTGGAAACACCAGAAACAACTAAGGGCATGCATGCATGCAAAAAACATGCTGACAAAAACTCTCCTTGACCACCTTTAGTTAGGCTCCTCTGAGCCTTCCCGACTAGGCCTCAACTAGTCCTTGCTGGGCCTGGATAAGCCAGTTTAGAGAAACCCCCCTAGCCTTGCTATCTGATAAAGTTCTTCATCCCATACCTCTGATCTGCATTCAGCAAGTATCCCTTACCCTTGCTGTTTCCTCTTAATTATTTTGTATTCACCTAACTCTGCTCACTGGCTATAAATCCCCCAGCTGTTTTTGCTGTATTTGAATTTGAGCATGATCTCTCTCCCCTATTATAATAACCCTGTTACAGATTAAATATATGTGTTTGCTATGGACTGAATTGTGAACCCCAGACCCATAAATTCACACGTTGAAGCCTTAACCCCCAAATGTGACTATTTGGAGATAGTGCTTTTAGGAGCTAACTGAAGTTAAATGATGTCATAAAGGTGAGATCCTAATAGAACTGGTAGCCCTATAACAAAAGGAAGATCTCACCCTGGCCGGTCTGGCTCAGCGGTTGGAGCATTGGCCTGTGGACCTGAGAGTCCTGGGTTTGGTTCCCACTAGGGGCACGTATCAAAGAAAGAAAATTAAGTCGAGGCAATTTTTTAGAAAGCCAAGAAAGAAAAAAAAAGAGAGAGAGAGAGAGAGAGAAAGGGGGGTGGAAAGCAGAAGCAAAAATAATGAAAATGAGACAAGTAGAAAGATTCAGCATCAAAATACCAGAAGGGGCAGACATCCCGCCCCCTTTAAAAGGGGGAGACAATTCACCTGTACTGAAAGGCATGGTTTTCTAGAGTCTAGCCAAAATACTCATCAAGTCCTCAACATAATAACTGAAAGAAAGACACCATTTCAAATTTCAGAACTCCAGAAATAAAGAGAAGATGCTACGCATTCCTCAGAAATGAGAGGGGAAAAGAAGGACAAAAACAGGCAATAACCAAAGGATCATAAAGCGAAATGGCTTCAGCAGCACTGGCAGCAGGAAGTCAATGAAATGCCTTTCACATTCGGAAGGAAAATGACTTCCAACTGAGGACTCTATACTTAGGCAAACGACCAGTCCAAACTGGAGCAGTCTGACCCCAGAGACAGCCACACTGCACACTGCCGTCAAAGACATCGACTGCCCTGGGACCAGGTGAACCTGGCCTAGATTCTTACCTAAGCTCACCTTATTCTAACACTCATACTTTCCATAAACATGTTTCCATATAAAGAGTACTTAAAAAGATACTGTAAAGGGAATTTTTAAAAAGACAGTCTTAATTCCCAGCGCTGCTGTCCTTAAACTCATTAAAGGCTGACTACACACGCACTGCAGAAACAGTGAAAAACATAAAAGAAGAACGGTAAGAGGCACTGCAATCAGTTATGCAAATTTAAAATTCTTGACATTTCCTTAAGTTTTTCAGGAAAAGAGGAGGAATGCTCTACAATACCCTATTATCGTTTTTAGTGCTTATTTGACAACTGACATTTTTACAGTAGGCCCTAAAGTACGCTATAGAAGCATTAAGTAATCTCTAAAAGGCCATCTTCAGCCCTTCAGAGGTGACCCCACATTCATTCTTGTTGAAAGGTCAGAAACACATCACTGAGAGGCTCTCCATGAAGCAAACCTACTGAAGGCTAGATAGAGGGACAAACACATTCGCATCCTACTCTTTTTATCTCTGCAACCCCAGCGACGATCCCGGTAACAACCATGTGCCTTGAGCAGGATGAGGAGATCCATACCACAAAATAAAAGCCGTCACCTGTTATGCCACCATTACCTTCAAAGATTACCCTTTAAAAACTACAGTCCGATCATTACAGTGCCTTTTACTTTATTAGCTAGGGTATTAGAAATTGAACACTAGCTAAAAGTAATGTATAGTTGCTCAGAAAGAACTGG